CAAACTCCCTTGCGATATATTGGCTTCAGGCATATTCCCTCACCCATATCCCGGATAGGGGCATGCCGTACTGCGCACGCTGCGCCAGTACTGGCTGAATCTCCAAGGCTAACTCGCTAACGCGAAGGGACAGAGGGGCCGAGGGCCACGGGCCTCCCAGCCCACAACTCGTCAACTTGGAAGATCAGTTACTATTAGGTTGTAAAGAGCTTAATACACGTTCTAACATTAGCGCTCCAGAGTTGGGTCCATTAGTCCTACCCGATGGACGATAATCAGCGAATGATATCGTCCTCGATACCTATTATGCAGCTTCCCCTACTTGTCGGCACGTTTCGGTAATTGCTCCAAAGTGTATCATCCGCACCGCTAGCTATTAACACGGGTGGAAGAAGAAAAGAAGACCCAGAAAAAAAGGGCAGTTGGTACTCGCTGGCTCACACGAAAGCAGAAAAGCAAAAAGAAACAAAAAGTCATGGACCGAGACCGTCACGGTCCTAGCCCACCCTTACAGCAGGCCGGCCAATCCTCCGCCCCTTCCACGTCTTACGACGCCGTGTAAAAGTTAAAGGCGCCAAACTCCCAGTAGGCCGTCTTGAAGGCGTCCGGGTTGTTGGCCTGAAACTCGGCGCAGCTGGCGCCGCCGCAGCCCGAGTCGGCGTACTTGGCCTCGACGAGAGCGCCGCAGACGTCGATGTTGATGATGAGCGACTGGTTCCGGAAGTGGGAGGCCACGTCGCACGACGTGTCGGGGAAGTCGGCCAGGGCCTCGCCCCAGCCGCTCGGGTCGGGCGCCTGGCCGGTGACGTCGGGCGGCACGGAGCTGCGCGGGAACTGCCACACGCGGATGCCCTCGTCGCGCCACTCCATGGCGACGTAGCCGCCGCCGGCGTCGTTGAAGGCGGTGCCGAAGGTCGACGCGGGGCCCTCGACGCCGCACCCGGCGTTGCTGTTGGTCGAGTTCTTGCAGTCCGTGTGCAGCGCCTTGCCCGTCTGCTTGCGCTTGACGTCCATGGCGCACCCCGACGTCGTGTGCAGCGTCATCTGGTTGCCGTCGGTGCCCTGGTTGACGGCCTCCATGACGTCGATCTCGCCGGCCTCGGGCCAGTTGTTGGGGTCCGTAAACCACAGCGCCGGCCAGCTCGCGCAGCCGTAGGGGGTGTGCTTGACGTCGAAGACGAAGAGACCCTTGTTGTACTGCGTCTTGGACTCGACGCGGACCGAGAACCGGCCGGTCGACGCGTCCGGGGTCGACGTCGGGCCGACGGTGTCGTCCACCCTCAGGACGGCGGTGTCCGATGTGGCGTAGGTGAGGTTCTGTCAGTTGCGAACCAACTATGCTCAGCCGGTGGTTCCCAGATAGTGAGGGAGTGGGGGTGGAAGGGGGCGGGGGGTGTCATGTACCCTGCTCTTGGCCTCCGCGGCGGCGACGTAGTGAACCATTCCTCCCGCTGTTTCCCTCCCCAAACCGGGTCAGTGTTGCTGCGCCAGGCGGCCCTTCTTCATTGCAGAGGAGACGCACTTGGGTCGTAAGTGTTGAAGTAGTTGAACTTATCGAAGAAGGCCTCTCCCGAGTCTGTCATCATCAGCCAGAGGCTCGCGCAGCGGGAGACGACGACCCTGGGCACGGTTCTGTACATGTGTCACTCAGCGTGTACGACAGCTTCGTGTAATCGGGGTACCGGTTCTTGTTGTGCAGCGTGACGGCGACGGCGACGACGACGATGATGATCAGGACGACGCCTCCGCCGACGCCGGCCCAGACCCGCTTCGTCCACCCTTTCGGGTTCCACCACGCCGTCTTCCGGCCGAGGCTCTCGTTGGATAATCCGTATATGCCCATGGTGTCGTTTTGTTCAAAGTCTTTCAATGAGTCCGGGTAGGGGGAAAACCCCCGGGGCCACTCCGGGGTCTTTATCTCATCGCGGAAAAGTGGGTGGATCAGCACCTTGGGCGGCACTACGAGGACCTCCCCAAAGGGTGTGTTGCTATTATTGTCTGACCACTGGGTGTATGTGCCTGGCTCCGCCACAAAGATGCTGGACGGAAGCCGTTGGCTAGGCCCTGTCGAGACTGCCCTGGGCTTGCGAGCCGGTGTGGAGGTGGGCAACAGCGGCTCCCGATCGACAGCGACGGGTTGGGATTGACGCCTTGATCCGGGAAGGACGGGTTTCGGACCCTTCCAGTACTCAAACGGCGTGTAGCCGAGCGAAGCGGCTGGGCCAAGAGTTGGAACCATCTTGTTCAGGCTGTAACGCTTCCCCGATTTAATAGAGTGACGATTACGCCTATCATACGTGAAGTGTACGCGTACGTGGGTGGACCTCAAGGCCGGTCCAATGGCTGGCTGAAGTGGCCGGCGGAGCAGAACTGGGCCGACTTAGACTGCAGGGTACGTCGATGCGTCCTTTGCAGTAGGGGGAGGACCAAACGCGCGAAGATCGGGCGTGGAGTTTCTCGTATTACTGTGATGGCTTTGATCCTGCCAATAGCGCGGGGTTTGGCCGGAAGCGGACGGGTAACTCGGGTGAGCGGAAGGACTTTTTTGATAACAGTGACGGTTATGGTGGTTATACGAGTTGACCGTAAAACGGCGGCGCAGTCCTCTCGAAGGCGTGTAGATGTATTAAGGACAAGGATTAAAAGATACGTCAAGGTGGAAATAAACGCCAAGGCCGGGCAACGAACATAGATAACACACGAGGAGAGAGGAGGAGGAGAGATGGGGAAAGAGGACAACTGAGCTCCAGTCGGGGGGTGGGTGGGAGACAGGGACAAATAAGCATCGATCGCAGATGTTCCTCAATGTGATGCCAAGACGATGACAACGACCGCGACGCCGCCGCGGCGTGGGTCAGGACATGATACAAGGTCCCTCATAACGAGCTGCCGGCTTGGCATTCGAACTTGGACTTTGCGTCCGAGCTGCCCCCCCTGGAGATGGTATATACTTCAGGGGTTGAGAGCATGAAGAAACGAAGAGAAGGACGGGCAGGTCCGCCTGGGTTGCCGAATGCGGATCACGGACGTGGTCTTGGATGGAGGCACCGAAGAGGCTGCAGGAGCCAAGAGGTAGACAGATATGATAGGACGGGACAGGACATGACGCCTCACAGGCTTTCTGACAGGCAAGGACAGCACCCTGACAGGCTGAAGGGACGGGGTCGGGACCAAAGTTGCATTACAGAGCCTGAAAAGAAAAACGTCAGGACCTGCCAAAGTCATGCTGTCTCTAATCGGCGGCCAATGCGTCTGGGGTGTTTTGGGTGGAGACGGGGCTTCGTTCATGCTTTGGAGGCGGAGACACGTCTCGAACATAAATACCTAACGAGCCGGGCGCGAGGAGACGTCGACGCAACATCTGAAAAGAGCGGACGGGTGGGAGCGTGCTGTTGTAGGTAGGATCGAGGAAGACGAGAATGACAGATGGGATGGATGGGTTGAGCTCAACCCAGGATCGAGAGGTTCGAGGCAGGGCTCTCGGTCCGAACTCAAAAGGACAGACAATGCCGAGTTTTGGTTGCCTCTCGGGACGAGAAGAAAAAAGGGGTGGCCCAAAGACCGTTGCCTCGGCTCCCCTCCCAGATGGACCATCCCGTGTTTGCTTCTTGTGGGCGAGGGCTGGCGGGGTGCCGTGTCGGTGCCAACCGCAGCAAGAAGAAAATCCGATACCGTACGGGATGAAGAAAGGGTGAGGTTGACTTGTCGGATGAAACAGCCGACGAGATCGACGCCTCACAGCGGTTCAGTGGCATGCACTGGGAGCCTTGGCCCCGTGCTTCAGGGGCACGGCTTCGAGGTCGAAGAAGGCGACCGCGCTAAAGGGCTTGGCGGCATGAGTCAAGTTGGACGACGCCTCCAAGTCCCCATCAGAAACGCCAAAAAAAAAAAAAGAAAGAGCAAAGAAAGAAAAGAAAAGGAGTCTTCACGACTGACGATGCCTTTTTCCCGAGCCGTCTGTGATCAATCCATCCCGTTCTCCGTGCAAAGTCCCCCCCCCCAACCCAAGGACAGGCCGCTTCACATGGCATCTCACTAACCAATAACCATCCGATCGGGAGATGCTAATTACACTTTCGTACGACATTGTGCGGACGAAATGATGCGGAGCAGACACCAGCTCTTAGACGCACGCACTCTGCTCGTCCTCAAGCCAAAGTCCAAGGCAGGTGGCCCCTATAACATGGACACGCACAAGGCAAGGCGAGGAAGAAGTAGACGAAGACGCAGAAGAAGGACGGGGGAATGGACGAGGGCAGAGTCGGCCCCATGAAAATACAAGGCTGATCATATCGGCTTTGGTGCTGATCGCATTCCTCTCTCCCGCATTACCGGCCGTTCGTGTTCGACGGTCAACCCACATTGAGGGATCGCGGCCCTCCCGCGTTGATCTGCATGTGGAAACCCCCGGTTCGGAGCCCTGCGCAAACTCCGACACCTTGATGAGATCGGCATCATCTTGGTCGGCGCCTCACAACACAAATAACCGCACCGGCAGCGTCTGAGGACGTGCCCGACACCGAGATGCGATGGACAACTCTGATTCAGTATTTACACACGCAAACCGTGTCATCCTCTTCATGCTGGTTAAACCTCTTCATGCTGGCTGAATGCTGAAGCTTACCAAGGTGCGAGTATAACGCGTTTCCCCCGTAATAGCGTCGCATTAAGCTTACAACAACAACTCGCCCGGCATCCCCAGGTCTCTCGCGATGCTTCAAAACACCAACTCTCTTCACCTCGCAACATCGTTTCCCCTTCCCCCCGCGCTTGCTTCTTCCCGGCTGTCGAAACCACCCCACCATCACGTATCTCGCCGGCGCTGGACGGCCATTGGCCGAGACGCGGTGAATCTCCGACCCAGAAAGACCGCTGCGATGTTTCAACCACCTGTCAACCGAGCCTGGGTTATCAACGTAGGTAATTATAGACCGGAACGTCCAATGCCCCAGCACCCACCCGCGTTTCCCACCCTGCCTGATCTCCGTCTCAATCTCCCCTCCCTGGGTCCCGTCCCGTTTTCGGCTTTAACTTGTCGAGCGGAGCAGAACCGCCAAAACAACAGAACCAGGTCCGCATGAACTCAACCTTCCCTGAAACGGCAAACGTCGCTGCGAGCTCGCCAGATCGGCTCTCTGCCCTTCACGGTCCGCGGCCCCCTTCTAACAAAAACGGCCGCGTCTACGCAGGCATCCGCCGTCTCTCGTCACCGAGCCTCGCAACGGCTTCTGTACACAGCTAGCTCATCAAATTTCTTTTTTTCTTTTCCTTTTTTTCTTTACTTCTCTTGCATCATGTCGCATTGAAGCGCCTGCAATGTTGCAGCTTACGACCCGTATCTGATGCTATGGATGAGTCGTCATCTCCATGTGCCAGCCAAAAAAAATTCCCACCCTGTACTGTAACGGACCTCACTGTCGGAGTGCTCCTATGTTGATTCCGTCTCTCTACTCATCGTCGTCCTCTTCTACCCGGGCTCGCTTAGGCTGCCGGGAGTCGTCGTCCTGGAGTCCGTATCCCCTCTTCGACGAAGAGTTTTGCTCCACCTCGGACAGGAACTTGTCAACGTTGAAAGGATCTCCCGCGTCCTTCTCGAACTGCACGGGACCCTCCCTTGCCTGTGTACAAGAATCCGTTAGCGCGCTACTACTCCTGGCTATCCCGTCGGGAATGATGCACTTACCTCAACGTCTTCTGTGCCCTTGAAAGTGCCTCTGCCCAGAGCCTCGCCGAAGCGGCTAGATTTCTGAATCTTGGCCATCTCCCTGTCGCCCGCGGCTTCGTCTTCTTCGTCGTCCATGTTGGCCCGCGGCCGGTAGATGCTGCTGATGACTTCTTGTGCCGCAAAAAGCGGCTTGTCGTAGTGGTTGTCCTCGTTGAAACCGCTGTCGAAGCCGCTAGACTGGTTAAACAGCCTCGAGTCGTACATGGTTTCCTTGGACTGTGTGGGTTTGGCGAGGCCGAGGGCAATCTTCTCTGAAATGTCTCGGTTTTGCTCCCTGGCCATGACCTGGACCCTCCTCTCGGCTCCCATGCGTGATTGCCGGAGCTTCCTCTCCTCTTCACGCATCCTCTCCTTCCTCGCTCTCTCTCTTTCCCGGATCTCCGAGTCCTCCGAGCCCTCCGAGTCGGAGCCGCTGTAGCTGCGTGACCGCGAACGCGAACGCGACCTCGAGTCCCGCCTGCCGGCGCCGGCACGCTCTTCGCGAGCCTTCTGGGCCAGCATCCGGAGGTTCTCTTCCTTTTGTGCCTTTTCCTTCTCCGCCAGGCGCTGTTGCATGGCTGCGCGCTGCCTGACCTCTTCGCGGGCGTGCCTGTCCGCGACGTACAGCGCTTCGGAGAACTGGGCGAACTTGTCGTTGATCGCCACGTCCTGCAGGCCACGGCCATCGGCTGCCAATCTCTTGTCCAGGGGGACCGTGAAACCCTTGGGGTTCTTCCAGTTGGACACCGGTGGGGGGATGCGCCAATCCTCCTGGTCCTTGGCCGTCAACTTCCGTGGCGGCGACCGCAGGACCGGAGGAGGCGGGCTTGGGGGCCCGCGGGGAATCTTCTTGTGCTTGAACTTGGGCGGCTCCAACGGATCTCTCTGTCTCTCGACGATCTTCATGATACGGTCTTGCTTCTTAGAGTGGTCTCCCATCTGGTCTGCCGGCGTGTATCGCACGAACGTAGGGTCGTTTCGCTTCCCGACGCTAAGGGTCTTCGGCTTCTGCGATGCTACGGCGCCGCTGACCAAGGCCGCCAGCGCGTTCTTTGTTTTTTCCGCCGTCGCGGCCACCTCTTCTTGACTCGGCCGGCTCAGGTCGATCTCGCCCGCATCTGCGCGTTGGCGAAGAGGGATAAGGTCCTTGAACGAGGTGTGAACGATTCGGCTTTCGCTGTGGCCTTGACGCGCAATGGCCCCGTAGTCGAGCTTGCCCTCGCTGTCGACCTGGATGGCGAGCGCGTTGCTGGCTGTCGCCCCCTTCTTTCCCATGTCGAGCGGGTATTGAGCAACCGGGATCTCGGGGAACGCGCCGCCGTCGCCAAAGTCTTCGGGTCCTCGTGGTCGCCATCCTGCTCGCTGCTGGTAGGGAGGAGGGCCGGATCGCTTCAGCACGATTTGCGTCTCGTCCAGCTGGCCAGCCCCGACGATACGCGGGCCGCGTTGTTGGGCGCGTGAAGGTATCTCTTCATCTTCGCCAGTGTACTTGGGTTTCGGGAGGGCCGACGCCAAAGATGCCGCGATCGAGGCCATGATGGATGGCTGTTTGGGTGAAGCTGTGTCTGGATAGAATTTGGAGAGATGTCACCTTGAAATTCGTAAGGCAGGTAGGTAGGTTAATGCGCCCGATCTCTTTGGGCTAAGCGTGAATTTAAAGCGGGTCTGTTCGAGTACCAGTACGTACCTCCACCCCAGACCTCACGACTCCACCGTCAACAACCTCAACTCAACCATCACCATTTTGGGTAGAAACTGTACAGACTGACGAGAACTCAACTACTCCTCACATTTTCTTTCATAGAATTAGTATTCTGCCTGTCGCTGCTATATTGTCAGTTATGACGTACTTGAGTGGAAAACACCTCCAGCTTTGTCATCATTTCATTATCCAAGTCCTTAACAACTGAACGTTCCGCGCTGCCGCATTTCACCACCCGGGATGAGCGACGATTTGTATGCCCGCCATGGGCCCCCCCAAAAGAAACATTACGATTTCGAGTTAGATGAATACCGCATCACTGAATCAACAGTCTTATTGGTGTGTCGGGATACTATAATCGCTATTCGAACGCATCGTGAGATCGTCTACTGATCATCCAGGATCTGGGATATATATAACATATAACGCCGGCTACTCTTCTGTACAGCAACAATATTTACAGAGAACTCCAAGAATTCAGACCGTTCTCGCCAGAGTGCACGGCCCAACTATACGATGATATCTTACTGCTTGCGGCACAGCTTACTGTTCTGGGACGGCAGGTTGCCTAGAATCATCTCCGACATCTCCCAGTTCTCGGAGCCGACGGCGTTTTGGGCGTAGAAGACGTCGTTGGGGTCGTACTTCTTCTTGAGATCGAGAGCCTTTTCGTATTTGGTGCCCCAGAAGGCCTGGGTGAAGTTGGGCTCGATGTAGTCTGACTCAGACATGTATGCACCGGCACCGGGGGAAACGTCACGCCAGCTCTGGACCCAGTCGAAGGTGAGCTTGTCGCTGGCAGCCTTTCTGACAGACTCCTCGGCGGTGGGGTCCCAAAGGACGGCAGCGATACAGTGCATGACGGCCTCACGCCAGGCAGGGTTGACGGCGTTGTCGGGGAAGCCGGTCTTGGGCGCGGCCATTATGTTGAAGGCAATGATGAGGCCACCGTCTTCGACGACGGACTTGATGGCCTCAAAGGTCGCATTGAGCTTGGTCTCGTCCTCCCAGTTGGCCTTGGGGAAGAGACGGCTACCCTGGCGGATGGCGTTTGAACCCCAGGGCTCCAAGGGGAATGAGGTAAGCCAGGCATCATGGAAATTGTCGTACTCTGTGTAGACGGGCTCGACTTTAACACCGATCTCGGCCCACTTGGCAAAGAGAGGCGCCGTGAGCTCACGGAGCTGCGCTTCAGTCATGTTGGGAGCCCACCAAGGTCCCATGTCGAAGGCGAGAGAAGTTCCCAGGTTCTGAATGCGGAAGTATTCATAGTTTGCGTTGTCGACGGCGTACTCGATGAAACCATCAAAGTAGGCGCGGAGGGCCGCCCAGAACTGGTCGTTGGTGACGTTTGCCCCAGTAGAGAAGGCAAAGGTCATGGTGGTGATGTTGATCTTGGGGAACACCTTGACGACGGCAGAGGTGACGACGCCATAGGTCGAGCCACCACCGCCGCGAAGGGCCCAGAAGAGATCAGGGTTCTGGGACTCGCTGGCAGTCAGGAAGCGGCCATCGGCAGTGACGACTTCGAAAGAAAGCACGCTGTCGGCGGCCATGCCCCACAGACCGGACATGGGGCTGTGACCGCCGCCCAGGACGTAGCCGCCAATGATACCGACAGTCTGGCCCTCGCCTCCAACGGCAGTGACGCCATACTTGTTTGCGGCTTCATACACCTCGAACGCCCGGACGCCGGAGCCGAGCTTGAGGGCGGGACCACTGTACGAGTCCTGTTGGTAGCTCTCCAAGTATTGGATGTTGTTGAGCTTATGGGTCCAGATGGACAGGGAGCCAGCGCCGGTGGATTTTGCGCCGAAGTCGTGGCCAGTGTTCTTCACGACGAGGCGAAGGTTGAGATTGCGGGCGAAGTTGACGGCCAGCTGGATGTGGGCGACCTGAGTGGCCTCGACGACATACGAGGGAAGGCCGCCAACCTTGCAGTCAGTCTCGCCGACATTGATCGTGGGAGGCATGCAGCTCAGGCCCTCGAAGAGGACGGCATTGATGGCCGTGGGATCCTCCGTATGAATGTACGAGCCATTGACCCAGTTGGCGGTCAGGAAGTCGCACTTGGCCTTGTCAAAGTTGCCGAAGTCGTTGTAGCAGACCGAGGCTTCAGGAACGGTCTTGGTAAGAGCACCGCCCAGGAGGAGGTCAAAGATGTTCCAGATCAGGTCGGTGGGGTACAGGAAGTCTCCGGGGTATGTCTTGCATCGGCCGAAGAGTGATCTCTTCGCAACCGAGTACGAGTCCTCGAAAGAGAACAGGGATATGTTGGACAGCTCAAGGGCGGTGAGGTTGGCAAGGACAGCATCTGTCAACTGAACATTCTCCTCGGTGAAGAGGCCGGCAGCGGCCGCGGCGGCGGGAGCGTCAGCGACCGCCGCAGCCGGGGCAACGGTGGAAGCGTTGGCAGCTGGACAAACGGTCAGTCACTCAAGGTCAACCAAGCGTGTCGATCTCGGTGCAATAGCGCTCACCAACTTCTCGGCCATCAACCTTCAGGGTCTGGGCCACAGCCAGGCGGCCGACAGAAAGAAGAACCGCAGTCAAAAGAGAGCGCATTAAGGGCATGATTGCCACGTGGAGTCAGACGCAATGTCGCTGCAAGACAGATGGGGAGAGTGTCGATCACAAAGACGAAAGAGGTTGCTTCAGATATATAATACCTCACGGGTCGCTTTCACTAGGCATAGTGACCTGGGGGTGGAGGTGAATACGCGGAGACCCAGAGGAGTAATAGAGCGCTAGACATTTGGACGGTTGGAAGAAGCGGCAGACAGGCTGCCGAGAGTCAGCGGGCACACTTTTGCCACGACACAGCCAACACGGAGACAGGCTCTTCTAGGCCCATGCCATGCCTTTCTTAGATGAAAGGGGACGCACTAAAAGGTTTGACCACTGAGAGTCGAGACTCCCTGAAGCAAGCGATGGAGGCGAGCCGTATTATGCAACTAACATCTTCTCGTCCGGACCCTGGAATGATCCCGAATACTTATCTTGGTAGAAAGCGTTGAGATACGGTAGCCGGAACACGTCCGAGAGAGATGAGCAATGCTTGCCCAGTGGGAGGCTATGAATTTGTGGGTTGAAAGGCGTAGAAGCGAGCCAAGCATGCCAAGCATGCCAGTCAGGTTCAAGACGCTGTGAAACTTTCCCCGGGGAGTGGGCAAAAAGGTCTTAGAGTCTTGATTAAGGTTACTCACAAGAGAGGAATCGATGGCCTGCCCCCCGGCGCATCAGAGACGTGCACTTTCGACTTTGAGTCGGCCCCAAAGTCTAGCATCCCGGCAGCCGCAGGAATTATGATCCAAACCTTGCATGTCATCTCGGCCCTGCGTCTGCCCATAACGATTGACGATGTACGGATATACGGATACCAACCCCGTGAGTCCGCCAACCCGGATTTGCTTCCCCCTCTTTCTTTCTCGGCGTACGAGGCAAGACAAATCTCAACTCGTGTCTAACTTGGTACACTGGTTACTACATAGTAGATGCTGGTGGAGCTGATAATGCGCGTTTCCTGCTAGCGAGTCAAGTTCCCTAGTTCCAACGGGGAGCGGCCTGCCTCACAAAATGGTATGACATTTGCAACATCCGGAACCTTTTCTTTTTTTTATTCCCTCTTGTTACACTAAACAGTACTCCACGGTGTCCACTTGATGGACTTGTCTTCGCCTCTGGTTGATCCACACTTGCCCACTAATACCAACCGGCGACTATACAATCTGCGCGGTGTTTGAAGACCAGCCCAATGAGGCACCCTTCTATCAAAGCACGGTCACCTCTGGGCGAGTGATGAGCACCGCAGAAGTCACCTCACTAGCGATTCAGTTATGCGCCAGGGGGGCTGTCAGGCGGGGTTGTCCTTGCTGAATGCGTGGGCTGGCTATTTCAGTTTGCTCTTGGTGCATACGTTCATGACGAACCCGTCATCTCTTTTCTCCTTCTTGAGACGAAAGCTTAAGTCTGTCAAGACGACACTGATGGGTTATTTTCTCACCAGGAGTCTTGGGTCACGGGTGAACGGCTGCCTGTGTCTATACCAACAGTCTGCCATGGTACGAGGCCAGACTTCGGCCCGATGGCGCCCAGTCTGATGCATTTCCTCCCAGACGCAAGGTGGAAAGTCGGCACGTCCATTGGCTGCAGGACAATCAGCATGGAGAAGACTGGCCCGAGGATGTTGGCCCCTGTCCTGCGCAAATACATAGCAGGTTGAGGGTGTATTAATTTCGGCTCCAATGAACTCTCTTCAGCCTGTCAGTCCATCTGAGCCAGGTGCAAGCTGTGTCCTGGTTGCGGTAAGCGAGCTAGCCTCTCCAGTGCAGATGTCTCAAATCGCGCTATGGATCTGGAATTCTCTTCCCCGGGGTATTAGACACTACTGTTGACGAACCTCACTTAGCAGATAAACATATCATCAAGCAGACGACCGACCCACAGGCCCTCACAACACTAACCACGCCACAACGACAACGCTGCGGCAAAACAAGGAAGACTGAAAAAGTGTGGCAGCAGTTAATCTCCGACAGCCCGACGGGAGAAACACCCATTGGTTACAGAGTAACCTGGTCGCGGAGGCATGGGAGGCATGGGAGGCATGGTCTACTCTTGGTTGATCACCCTGCTCACAAGACAGCTGCGTCGCCGCCGTTGACATATATAGGACACAATGTACACCTAACGTTACTCCGCGATATCGGCAGTAACGGCTCTGTCACCAACGATTCGCTCATCTCCACCGACTCACAGTGCTCGCTCGTCAACTTCGGCCATATCAACGAGGGCGGCGGGAACCCCTATTCTCCTGCAGCCCGCGGACCACGGCGAGATGCTCAACTCAGCAACTCGCTTAGAGCATTCCATCCCCTCGTTGGAAGCCGCAGCCGTGATATTAGCAACGGCACCCCAGTTGCGGAGTCGGTTCCGCCTGGTCCGAACCTCATGCATAGTTCCAGCGTGCATGCGTCCCTGGAATCTGGCCCGGGAACATGGATGAATTATCAGCTACAGCTTCCACGAAGCACACATTCCACCAGACTTATACAAGTATTGATGCGCATGATCGAAGCAATCCTCATTGTTTGCCTTATGAGCCCAATGAATGATATTCTAGTGGATGATTCTGTAGCCGTGAGATGGTGCCAACGATCTCGCAAATCATTCACCAAACCCTGAGGCACCCCCCCCTGCAGCGAGATTCGCCTTCAACCTATTCCGTTTCTCAGAGATGGAAGGGTCTTAAGGCGATCATATGCGGCTTATTTTTCCCTCTTGGGAAGTTTAACAGGCAGAGTACTCATGGGAGCTTGTCAACGGGAACTCACAGGAGTGAGTGTACTGGGGCCGCACGAGAGCAAGGAAGAGGAGATGAGATGAATCAAACGGTTGCTCACCCCCCTCCCCTCTTCTCACGCCACTGGCGCTCAGTAGTGCCAACTGTATAGCCGCAAATGCGAGTCTCATCATTGGACCCCTCTTCGAGCCGTCGTGTGCTCAGATAGATCGACGGCGAGATGTGAGACGAGGAAGAAGATCGACCAAAGCAGGGCTGGAACGTCTTCGACCAAGGGCCGCGCACTCGCCCGAGTCAAGGTATCCATTTCCAGTGTTGTACACAACTATGCAGACCAGCAGGCAACAAGGAGTAGTGGAAACCGATGTTCCATCCCAGCTCCAGTTCTGCCATGGCCAACCTACGTAACAGGATTTGTTTTGGATGCTCAGACGCCACAGGTCACCAGTTCAGAGGCAAAGGGAACCGAGAGGTCTTGACTGTCGGTATCGCCGTTCCTCTTCTTGGCTGGCCCTGTCTGCAGCACGAACGGGAAGAGAGTTTAAAATTCCCCGTTAGATCTTGGTCGATCTTTCTCTATCTTCATCTTGATTCCTGCGCCGGCTAGCAGTACATGTTGGGCCCAGAACGGCAAAGAAGAAGTTGATTTTTCTTTCCCTAGTAGCTCTCGGCTTCTTTTTAGAGAGGTGGCAGTATATGGAACCTACTCTTGTCCCCAGCCTATCTTCCTGAACCGTTCCCCACGTTCTCTTCTCAGATACCAGGCTACCGCATACCTGTACATCGCGGCTCAGTTAGGCTTGGAAAGCGCTACCAAACATTGCCCAAAGAAAACGACAACAATCAAAAGAGAGAGAGAGAGAATCACCAACATGTCGGAAACCATCGCCGCTCTAGTTCACGCGGCGCTGTTGGCCCGGCGGGAGGACACAAACTCCTCTGACGCCGCTCCCGCGCTGCCTCCCGTGTCGAACGACTACCCTTACCCGTACTCGCCTCTACAACACACCGGATTCTTTATACTGTTCTTCTTCCCCGCCGTCGCCCTCATCGTGGTGGCTCTGCGGGTGTACAGCCGGGTCAGCACCAAGCAGTTTGGCTGGGGTGAGTGATCCGCATAATCTGCTTCGGCATTGACAGACCCAGGCGCAGGTCGATCCCGTTCCAAAGCGACACAGATGGCTAACAAGGTTTTGCGGCAGATGATGGGTTGATATGCTTTGCTATGGTAAGCTTGTTCTACCGACCTCCAGATCTACTCGAGAGGGCTGCTCATCATGATACTCCCAGGCCGAGTCCGTCGCCGAGACGATAGCGTCCTACTTCGGCATGCGATATGCCTTCCTCGGCGTTCATGTATACGACATTCCTTTGCAGGCCGACTCCCGGCTGGGCTTCCAGTGGAACTACATCATCCAGCTCCTGTACAATCCGATCCTGGCGCTCGTCAAGACATCGATGCTGATGTTCCTGTTGCGGTTGAGCGGCCAGAAGCGTTCGGTCCGATTGGCCATCATCGGGCTCAACGTCTTCAACATTGCGTTGATGATCGCAATCTTCTTCACCATCGTGTTTCAGTGCCAGCCCATTAGTTACTTCTGGGAGAAGGCGGGCCGCAACCCCCCAAAGGATGGCAAGTGCATCGACACGGGCGCCTTCTATGTCAGCACCGCCGCCTTGACCATCTTCACCGATGTTGTGTTCCTGGCCCTGCCTTTCTGGATCTTCCTCGGGTTGAACATGCCCGCCCGGGTGAAGATCGCGCTGCTCGCCGTCTTCGCCCTGGGAGCCATGTAAGTCGAGGCGCACAAACCGTCATGCTTGACTCCGGGACCCCCCTTCTCACATCTCCCAGTGTCACCGTCGTCAGTATCCTCCGCCTCTTGTGGCTCATCGAGATCTCGTACCACATCAACGTGCAAGACCCCACCTACGACATCCGCTTCACCCTGTCGGCCGTCGAGACGAACCTCGCCATCATCACGGCCTCGGCGCCGGCGCTGCGCGGCCTCTTCCTCCGCTGGTTCCCCAAGCTATTCGCCTCGATCAAGGCCTCTCGCGCCCGCTACGGGCAAACCACGGACCCGGCCAAGAAGTCCCGCGTGATGACGACGACGACGGCGTCGAACCACGTCGACACGTTCAAGCTCAAGAGCATGAAGGGCCGCGAGATCCGGTCGCACTCGCCCACCATGAGCGAGGAGGAGATCATGACCTACGACGGCATCATGCGCACGACCGAGGTCGACATCGTCCACGACGACCAGCGCGACCCGGTGCTCCCCGGGACACGGGAGCCCATGAACAGGAACGAGACGGGCCCGGGCCGCACCAATTATGCCGCGAAGCCGTACCCGATCACCCACTCCGGGATGTTTTAGAATATCAAAGCAACAAACGCAACGATTAGAGGGCTGGCACTTCTTTGATTCTTTCATGCGCATACACCTCTTTTTTTCTTCTTTTTTTGCTTTTCAATGAGACAATTAGACGCACCTGTACAAATCCATATAGACGAACACGGCGGAGCAGGCCTGTCGATGTTGGTCCGGATGCGGGAGCTGCGGGGCGCGCGACGAGAAGGTAGATCGGGAGCCCTTGACTGGGATTGCATGTATATGTTATTTGACGCCGTGTTTTCCGTAGCACTTGAGATACCCACGTTGGAGGAGCAATATAGATGGCACTTGCACAACTCGCCTTTTCCCACACGCGTCAACTGCTACATGCTGGTCTCGTCAAGTAACAGTCCCATAAAAAATTGTAGGACTTGAGGATGTCGTTTCTAGCATCCCGCATGGGGACAGGCAGCAGCTGTGGCCTCCGTGGGCTTGCACGGTGAGGCAGAGACAAAAGGTGGGCGAAGGGAGAAGCTCATTTGCCCCTCCCTGGCAAATACTTGGAGACTCGGCAACATCTCCTGCCGGCATGTAGAAATCAACGGTTTTCCTAGTGGGCTGACTGGACAGGGGCAGTCCCAGACGAAGCTTTTTGCTCGGCCGGTTCGACGCCGGTTGCATTCCGTGCGGAGAACCTCGCGCCGGCGAAACGACGTTCGACATGCAGCCTGAAGACTCGATTTTCAGCGAGCGGCCCATGGCATCACCCGTATCGGGGTCAGCCCGCGGATCTCTGCCGGTCTCTCCCAGAGCCAGTCAGGACGCCTGTTGCCTGGAAACTCTTTCCCGCTCTGGCTTGATGCAATCCCGTCCAATAATAAGATTAGCTCCGAGGTGCTATTGGTTGGGAAGATGGAAACTTGGATGCGCGGAGTCGACGGCTTGCCCGGTTTGCCGACTGTTGGTTTCGTATTCGCAAGGGAGGATGCACTACTTGCCAAGCTCGCTTCAGACTTCCTCCCTTCCAACAAAAGGCCTTTTAAGGTCTCAGCTTGTCGTGGTTAGGGAAATCGGTTGCGCAGGCCACGCTTAGACCCTTGGTGAGAGGCTTGGCGAAGGCCTCCCTGTGCATGCTTCCACCTCGAGCGAGTCCCCAGGAAATCTGTTAAAAGGCAGCACTGAGGGTCCGGCAGCAGGTGGTTTATGAACGGTAGGCACGAACGCGGTTGTGGTTGAAGGGGGCGCCGGCCTGGGCGGAAATTGCCTCTCACAAACCTGGCAGCTTGTGTTATCCGAAATGACATCGTGGAAGAACAAACACAGCCCGCTCTGTCCGGGGTCCTTTGACATATGCAGCCGAATGTCCCCTCACCCGGATGTGATTGGGAAACTAGCGGAACAGTGCCCTCATCTGCTCGCTTATGGCATCGAAGGCGTAGCTGTAGGAAGGAAGACTTGGCGTTGAAGAGGTCATGACTCGCACCCGAAGCATCAAGGCATTCCCATTCCATGGAAACAGCAAGGTAGCGCTGGGGCTCGAATCATCGTTGCACATAGCAGCGTAGCCCCTGTTCTGCACGTCACGCAGACAAATTTCCGGCGGGGATTTTGTTTTTAAAATTAGGACAATTCCTGGAGCCGAGTTGGCTTTTTTGGATGGCTCGTCGTTGGAGCGTGGCGCTTGACCACAGTGGCATGGTTAGTTTGGGATGTCGCAGCCAACAAGAAGTCTGCCGGAATTCGCCGCAGCGATGCATGTTCGGAGAGCGTTCGTCTTATGGAGAGGAGGCAAGACTGCCATGCCCTGCCATGCTGCGGTTTGATGTGGTGATGATGTGAAGGAGAGAAGTACCTACATGCTCGCGCAAAATCTTCTATGCATTAGGTCAGGATGATGTAGTTATCCGAGAGTCGGCCCACCTGGATTTCTTCCACTGCAAGGAACCCCGCCGCGGGGTAGCTGAGTGACTAAAGCTTTCCGTCCGAGCTTCGTCTATGAGTGCCGACAGAACTGTTTGCAGATCAAGACCGAAATATACATTGTTTCGCCGCAGATAACGCAGAAAATATACAAAGTAACCGCCCTGTATCTTTGAACATGTCGGGAAAAGACGTCGTCGTCACCGGAGCCACCGGTCTTCTCGGAAGACAGGTCGCCAGAGCCTTTGACCTCCAGGGTTGGAGCGTCAAGGGTACCGGCTACTCCCGCGCCGACGGGGTCTCCGTCTTCAAAGTCGATTTGGGTGACACCGCCGAGGTCGAGAAATTTCTCGACGAGTCCAAGTAAGTCGGCGTCTCGTCTCCAACATCAGTCCAGCAGCAAGCAGGACTAACCGACCATGGTAGGCCCCAAGTAGTCGTACACTGTGTGTCCCAGCCGCCCATGTGTCTTTTTCCTCTTCACAAACCATTGACTTAGCGGTGATGATCAACAGGCGCCGCTCAGAGGTTTCCAGACAAGGTGGATAGCGACCCGGATGCCGCTAGAGCTCTCAACGTCGCAGCCACCAAGTCGCTCGCCAAGCTCTGTGCTGCTCGCTCTACCCTGCTCATCTACATCTCGACCGACTACGTCTTCTCTGGCAAGCCAGGAGAAGCCCCCTATGAGGCAGACGCTCCAACTGGGCCGACAAACCTTTATGGCCAGACCAAGCTGGACGGAGAGCTCGCCGTGCTGGAGGAGTACAAGGCTGCCGGCTGTGAAGGCCTCGGCCTCGTCCTCCGGGTTCCTGTTCTTTACGGAAAGGCTGACACGCCGGCAGAGAGCGCCACCAACATCCTCATGGAAACCTTGTGGAAGACCCAGGACGGCCAGTCCAAGGTGAAGATGGACCATTGGGCCATTCGATATCCTACGAACACGGAGGATGTTGGGCGTGTGTGCCACGGTAGGCACACTTCTTTCAGCTTTCGGACAAGATGACTGACGGGCGAGCCTAGATATCGCCGTCAAATACCTCGAGGCCGGCGATCGCAGTTCGATGCCCAAGGTTCTCCAGTTCTCCAGCGAGGACAAGATGACCAAGTACGAGATCTGCCAGAAATTCGCAGAGATCATGAGCCTCTCTATGGACGGCATCATTGCCAACACCGAGGGCAACGACCCGAACGCGAGCGTCCAGCGGCCATACGACTGCCACCTGAGCACGCGTGCGCTGAAGGAACTGGGCATCGACGTGTCGACAAGTGACTTCATCGGCTGGTGGAGACGTGAGGTGCACGCTTTCCGACATTAATCTAGATCAGTACCAGCTCACGCATCTGCATCGATGATTTAGCGGTCTGGGGAAAGCTGGAACGCGACACATGCAGAGGATGATCCATCGAGGACCGAGAAAGGGCTATCCTGCTGGCGGGTACGATGTGCTCTCGGTCTTTGTTCCTGGCGGCATTGTACATATTTTCACGCTCCTGGGCGTTGTGCGGTAGCGATGGACCCTCCCATATGGAGTTGCAAATATCTTTCCTGTAGGAGCAAGCTCTTCGATTGGATGGGTGACCAGAGTTGGCGGGGAAGTCAGAGAAAAACAGGGCTACGGTGCCAATAACGGACGAATTCCAGATTACGAGTCCATCCCAGGAGCTGAAATGCGGCCCATTACACGTCCGATGGACTCTGTGAGTGCCAACTGGCGTCGCGTTGCTCGTTGTAGGGAGCGTAAACACGTGTAAACACGATGATGGGTCGGTCCTAGACAGAGCACGGAGCCAGGTTGGAATGCAGCGTCGAGGGGTGCGCGATGGCACAATCGACGGTGCGCAAATTAAACATGGCAGACTGGCATTCTATATGGGACGTGGGCGCGCGCCTCGTTGCATTGTGTCGCATACCTCGCCGACCGATGGGCCCAAACTGACGCGTTCCGAATAGGTGGCCCTTCTTATCGCAGAGAAAGGGGATGCGAGTTGGAGAGATGTAAAAAGTCTCCCTTGTCGTCCGTCCTGGCGGACACCGACTTATGGGACGAGGTCTCGCCACTTGTTCCTTTTTTTTTTCGCCCTCCTCCTTTCGGCATCCGTACAGGTTGCACCGAAGTCGACTTTTGTGCGACACGACGACTTTTTCCAATCATTATTTTGTTGCTTATTGTTGAACTATTAATGCTACTATAGTGGCCGTCTAATCTAATCAGTGGCTTCTTGTTTAATCCCCCTTGTCGAGGTCACCTAGCCGGGGACCGAAAGACACGAGTTGGATCGGACGCCCTATCTCAACGTCGTTATCTGTCACCTGCATGATCTGCAGGGTCGACGCAAAAAATAACATTAACCTTCTAGGCAGGGCGCTGGGGGATCAGCTCGAGGGTTCCAGCGGACTGGGCCGCTGCCGTCGCCTGCATAGCTAATTACCATCGAGGATCCGGGGGAACTGCCCCGTCTCGTATAATCCCACCGGTCAACGACTAGGTGCGTCGCACCGTCGAGGGAATCGGTACCGAGTCGCTTGCCTAGCCGGTTGCAGCAGCAGGATTCACATCGCTGCCCAGGCGGAAGTTCGGGAGCACACGCAATCGCACACGCACGCAGAGACGGAGAGAGAGAGAGAGAGAGAGAGAGAGAGGAGGAATATCGCGCAAATGGAAGGGTTTCCGCGAATGAGTCGAACCATGTCGGCGGGCCCTGGACCACCGAAATCTCCTGCGCCGCATCCACCCCGACGGGGCCACAGCGTCACCGCCGGGCAATTGTCGCGGTACAGGAGCGTACGAGGAGTACGGGAGCACAGGAGCGTACTGGACTTTGGCCAAGACTGGCGGGACTGGGATGTGGACATTTTCCAGGACGACGAGACGGTGTCGAATGCCACGACGGATACGGGCACGGCGACAAGCATTGGCATTTGCATCGGTGTTGCCGTCGATGAGGAAACCATGCTCGACGAGACGCAGGCTGCACAAACATCGGCATCGGCATCGGCATCGACGCAGCAGCAGCAGCAGCAGGAGCAGGAAAGGCCAGCATCGGCGGCGAGGCGACGCACTGCGCCGTTGCTGACGTCGTTTTCTCCGACGCCGCAAACACCGACCGGGGCACCGCAGTTGACGTTGCATTGGCAGTGGCAAGATCTCATGTCTGCGAGCGCTGGCAGCAGAGACGAGAACGGCAACAGGAATGACACGATGATGAATAAGTTTGGTTTCGACGGAGAGTCGCCCGTCAACCGAGGAAACGGCGCCGGCACTGGCAAACGTATCCCAGTACGGCCCGATTCCCCTGTGCGGTTCAGCTACCCCAACCGAAGACGGCCCAAGACGGCTCCCAACGGGGTCGACAGCCCCTTGCATGGACCAGCGTCTTTCTCGCCCCCTTATTTTCCTTCTTCGCCGTCTTCTTTCGCGTCCCGGTCGCCTGCGGGTCCCTATTACTCTAACGCAGGTGGCCCCAGCCCCAGCCCCAGGCCAAGACCCCCCAGCGAGCCCGGTTCCCTTTTTTCCTTAGCGCGGTCCCGTTCTGGGTCCAGGTCCCCCGCCCCAGGGGTTTCCTCCACTCAGACCCCTTCGTACCCTCTTGGCCCTTGTCCGCCCGTTCCACCTGCAGGATCAGCGTTATTACGACAACAAGCCGCTGGAACGTCACCTGCTGATGCGGCAACGAGAGATGCACTCGTGCTTGCGCCGGCGCCAGGAACCGTACCACCACCACCACCACCACCACCACCGCTTCCACTACTACCACCACCACCACCTCCTCCTCCACCACTTGAACCACCGCCGCCTATCCCAACCCGAGCACGAGACCAATTCCCCCTCCCGCTCCCCGGCTCTCATCTTCGGCCTCGTTCGCACAACCCCACCTCTTTCTCCTCCAAGTCATGCGCCGACCTTAAGCTGTCTGCCAGAGCCGACTACGCTCGTTCCCAGATCATCACCAAGCTCGCCCTTCAGCCCGTGCCTGACGAGGAACACACCCCCAACGCCCAGTGTGACCATCATCTTGCCCGAGAGGACGAACAACGCCAGCGTCAGCAAGCCGAGCAGGAGGAAGAAGATCGCCGTCGCAAGGAACAGGAAGAGGAAGACGCCGCCCGTTGGGCTGCAGAGGTTGCCCGTCTCGAAGAGGAGACCGATCGCATCATAGCAGACCAAAAGGCAAAGGATCTCGCTCGACTTCAGGCTCAATTGGATGCCATACCCGACGCACCGCCCCGAGTGCGAAGTCCCATAGTCGACAAGTTCGCTTCCTTTCTCAGAAAAGGTCGCAGGTCCGATCCTAACACTCTCACTAAGGCCTCTTCGGCATACTTTCAACCCCTCACGTTCGATTTCAGTCCAGTAAGCGACATGGACCCTTCTCGCTTCATCCAACCTGGCGGCGGCGGCATTGTTCCCCAGACCGACGCCCCGGCCTCGGCCAGCAACGCCGGAGAACGCGTGAGTCGTCCTCGTCTGACCAGTCATCCTGTTTTTTTTTTTGTTTTTTTTGTAAGGTGAGCCGTTGCTAACTTGGTCCTCAGCGGGTGACTGTGCGCTGCCTGCAGTCGTCCATCAGCTTGCCCGTGACGCCCGATACGACTCCTACCGACATCCTGTACTCGGCCGCTAATCTCATGACCCACAACATCAACCCGAAAACCAGCACCGTGTTAGAATGCTACTTTTCCTACGGCCTGGAACGTCATTTGAGACGCTATGAGCGTGTGAGAGACGTCATGAACTCCTGGGACCGCGACAGTCAGCATTGCCTCCTCATCGTCCCGGGTGACTCGGCGGACAAAAACCCCGAACTGAACCTCGAGCGGGTGCCGCGCACTCTTGATCCGCCACCAGGCCTTGTCAATTTCGCACTCTATCACTGTAACCGTCCCGGCAAGTGGAACAAGCGGTACATCACGCTTCTAGATAGCGGTCAGATATTTTCTGCTAAAAAGAAGGACGCCAAGATGTCAGACAAGGACGCCGTCTCGCTCTGCCATCTTTCCGACTTCGACATCTACGCGGTCACTGAGAAAGACATGTTGAAACGTGTCAAGTCACCAAAGAAGATTTGTATCGTAGTCAAGAGCCAGCAGAAAAACAGCGTTTTCCAGAATACCGAAAACTTTATCCACTTTTTCGCCACGGACGACGCCAGGCTTGCCAATGACTTCCAGAGCATCGTTCACGGGTGGCGCAGTTGGTACTTGGTCAACAAGAAGGTCGATCTGACCAAGAAGACAAAGTCCCATCACAGTGGTGCCGAGAAAGCTGGCGGTCTTGCTAGAAACGGAACCGTGCACCGGGCCAGAACGTCAGTCGACGAGACCCCCTACACGATCGGAACGTTCTCTCCGCTGCTCGACATGGACAAGTTCGAGAAGCCAATTGATGACTATGGCAAGGACGCGGACAGGCCTGCAGCGCGACCAGCAGAGCAGCTCTCCACCCCTAGAAATACCCACAACGTTGTCTCGCGGTCAAGGACGACGCCCCACGTATCCCCGCCTACCGGGAAGGGGCTTGTTGACCCCTTCGCTAGGGATCAGGAGTTCAGGTCTGCTGGTCTGCTAGGCCGCGGCTACGAGGGACGGAAACATCAGGCGGAGAAGGCCGTCACCGAGGAACAGCAGTACACATCCGACAGTCCCTTCACCGGGGGCAACTCGCTTTTGAATCAGGTTCCGGAGCCCGACAGGCCACTAGAGAGAAGAGGCACTGTGCGGTCCTCTCGTCCCACAGCGGCGGACCCGAACCCTCTGCCGCGGACCCGATCACGCCCTCCTACATCACGTTTGCCCGCCTCTTCGCGCCCGAGAACGTCGGACGGCGGATCGTCTTCAGGGAGGCGAGACATGCCGCAGCCTCTTGTTGACCTGACGCCCAAGGTACCCCACCTGCCATCGGCCTGGCGAGATGCTCAGGGCCGCGGTGTCAGGGCCCCTAACGGCAAGCCTCTAATCGAAATGGCCACGGGATGGGACCAGCCAGACGCAGCCCTGGGGCCGCAACTGCAAACCGTCACGCGTATGGCCACCACGAAGGCCTACCCTCCCCAGCGTATGGCGTCTCAGTCCGCCGGCTCAAGACCGCGAAGTCGCTCGACGGCAGGCGGCGCTGCCATGCGTCGTGTCGTCTCCAGTGAGCAGCCTCCCGTGCCGTCGATGCCTAGACGGTCGAGACGAGACGACGAGGACCTGCCGCTCATCAACTTTGTTGAGCGTGACAGAGGCCGTGATACGAAGCCCCGCATGTCACAAGGGCTAGGCCGGAGCGGTACCGTCAGGCACTAAGTTTTGTCATTTGATGCGGCGGGCAACGACTTGGCGTCGTTGCAGACATTATGGGAAAGCGCTGAGCGACAGGCCCGACAAAAAAGAAATACGCGCATCAAGGAAAGGCGGCGTACTTGTGATAATAACAAAAAAAGTGATGCGCAAAGACGGCACTCGCGAACTAGGTGTAACGGGGGGGTCATTTAACATGGAAGATACCCGGGTGTAGACCATTATGTCAGTCACAATACCAACTTTTGAGGAACAGGAGAGAGGGGAGGCTTGGAGAGAAGAAACCAAAACATCGGAAAAGAAGAAGAAAAAAAGGTCTCTCAAAATACAGTCGAATAAATTTCTTTTGTCTACTTTGAAAAATAATGGATATGCTTGATTCTAACGGTCTATTGTCGTTGTCAATCAGCATCAAAATAATCGATCGGAGCTAGGTATCTTTCCCCCCCCCTTCCCTTTTCCCTTTTCTTTTTCCGGGCCTCCTGCGCCCCCGCGTCTGCAAACCCCCAAGCTGCCTCGCTGGCTGGGAGGGGGAAAGGGGTAGCTAGGTAGGGGTCATGGTGGCACAGAGACCGCATTAGGTGTAAATAAAGAAAAGGGAAGAAGAAGAAAGAAAGCAAAAAAGTGCACGAGTACGTCTATTTGCTGCGCTTGTAGATCTTGGCAAGGAAGGCTTCAAAGATGCCCTTCTTGAGGCCCTCGCTCTCGTCAACGTTGTTGATCATTTCCTTGATCTCGTTGGCGCGCTTCTCCTCGAATGCCTCGAAGCGCTCCTTGAGCTTCAGGTCGTCGAAGAGCTTCTTGACGATGGCCTCCTTGGCCTTGTCCTTCTGGCCGTAGTTCTCCTCGAGGATCTGGCGCTGCTCGGGGGTGGCGATCTGCAGGGCCTGGTTGACGAGCCAGCTGCACTTGTTGTCCATGATGTCGGTGCCGATCTTGCCAATGTGCTCGGGCTGGCCAAAGTTGTCGAGGTAGTCGTCCTGGATCTGGAAGTACTCGCCGAGCGGGATGAGGATGTCCTCGGCCTGCTTGAGGTTCTTGGGGGTGGCGATGTTGAGGCAGTGGAGGGCGAGGGCGACGGGCAGGTAGAAGGAGTAGTAGGCCGTCTTGTAGATGACGATGAAGCTGTACTTCTCCATGCTGAAGTTGTCGAGGTTGACCTTGTCCTCGGGGGCGGTCAGGAGGTCGCAGAGCTGGCCGAGCTCGGTCTGGAAGGTGACCTCGTGGAAGAGCTCGAGCAGGTCGACGTAGCTGGCGTGCTCGCGGAAGAACTTGCGCAGCAGCGTGTAGATGGCGGCCTCGAGCATGAAGGCGTCGTTGATGGCGACCATGCCGACGCCCTCGTGGCGGTACCAGCAGGGCTTGCCGCGGCGGGTGATGCTGGTGTCCATGATGTCGTCCGACACGAGGAAGAAGGCCTGCAGGAGCTCCGTCATCCAGCCGAGCGTCGCAGCCTGGAAGTACTCCTCCTCGTTAAGGGGCTTGCCGAGCAGATAGGAGACCGAGTCAGGGACCGACATGCCGCGGTTGCATTTTCCGCCGAGGGTGTTGATCTCGAGACTCTGTTGGGGTGCAAAAAAAGACAGAAACAGTCAACCTTCATTGTTCTTTGTGCCTTGTGCCCTTGCCTCATCACCATCACCACCGACCATCACGGCACGCACCTACAACGGTCGTTGTCGTGGTGGCGGCAGTGTTGGTGGTGGTGGTGGTGGCTGTAGTGGAGCTTCTCGGGTCGGTGTGGCTGTATGCTTGCCTTCTTGTACCATGCCAACTCCTCCTTGGGAAGCTTGTACTTTTGCGCGTGCTCTAGGAGGACCTCCTCGAGCTTGGGGAAGACGGACTCGAACTCGGCGAGGGTCGTTTTCTTGGCCATCTTGTCTGATGCGGTTTAGTCTGATTGCCGGCTCGGCGGGGTATAACGATCGAGTGGTCTTTCAAGGGGCGTGATTGTTAGCAAGACGGAAACCAAACCAAACCAAAGCAAAAAAAAACACAAGACAAGGCAATTATAAAAGAAGGCGACGCAACACTTTCTCTCGTGAAAGCGCAAGGAAAACGAGGGTGACAAACTTTTGGAGGCGAAGGGGTGATTGCTGGCTATATTTACGCAGCTTGTTGTCGCGACAGAAATTAAATTATGCCAGCATTAAAATTGGGTTTGCGGTTGACACCCATAGTGCGGGCAAAAGAGTACCTATGAGCGAGTGAGGGTACCCCTCATCCGATCTTCATGCACCGTTAGGGCAGGCGGTGTCGGGACCATCCCAAAGGCCCCACTGTCTCTCCGATAATCACCAGCGGAATAGGTGGGGACTCGGGATGGTGCTGACGGTGACGCCCAATTGGCTTTTCGTGTTGGAAACCTTTTAGTGGCCGCTCGCTGAGGGGCACGCCACACGGCTGGCGGTCAGGCACGCCGTCAGTTGTCACTTTAGCGCCGTCGCGCCGAGCGCGTGCTGGGGGGTCTCCCGGTGGATTGTTTTCTGCCGTCGGCTTAACTATGTCAGGTAAAAGAAACACAACACTTACATCGCCAACCTCAGCAACCCTGCAACTCTGCTTCTGCTCTTACGACCGGTCCTTCCTCTCATTTGCGTTTCAGGCAACCGATTCCTGTAGGGCGTAGTCGTCATTCTCCAACTCGGACCGATTGACCGTTGCCCGCGGTTGCATACCGTCCACGAACGCGTGCGACAGGTAATAGACGACTAACCTACCGACTTTCATTGGCGTCTCGGTCAAGGATGCGAAGCGATGTCGCTCAATGAGAATGAGCTTTCCCAGCTCCGCGAGTCCCTCCAGGATGCAGTTGTGAAGTGTTCCGAGCGGTGTCTGTACTCATCCGCAAAATGGCAAGCTCCCCGACCCGTCGCAAAAGGCCCTTGCACGCGATGGCTGCTGACCTGATCCCAGGGCAGCAGAGCTCCTTAATGCGATCCCCGAACCCTCGATCGATGCCGCCGCGGCCGATACCGACGCCCAGTATGTACCGACCGTCTTCGCAGCGAACGCCGACCCCGAAGAGGGCCTCCTGGAGGCCAAGGAAATTAACAAGTACCTGCTGGCGAAAGCCCTCTTCGACACAAGGGAGTTTGACCGCTGCGCCGCCGTCTTCTTGCCGGATTCTGTCCTGTCGGGTGTCCTGAACTCCAACACCGAAGGGTCATCAGGAGCGTTGAGAGCGTCCAAGGGGAAGGGGAAGACAAAAGTGGAGGCCGAGACGAGGACCGCGGGCAGTAGCACCGAACTGCCCCGGCTCAGCCAGAAGAGCTTGTTCCTGGCCTTGTACGCCAAGTTCATGTCCGGGGAGAAGCGCAAGGATGAAGATTCGGAAATGGTCATGGGCCCCCAAGACCTCGGAAACGTAGTCAACAAGCAGCTGAATGTCGTCAGCCGGTTCCTCAGCAACTGGTTCGACGAGCGCACGACGGACGACGGCGAGGTCCTCGGCAGCCAGGGCTGGCTGGAGTACCTGTGAGATGTCATCCGGCTCCTTATACACGCGCCAGCTACTGACGAAGACTTAGGTACGGCATGGTCCTCGCAAAGGAGAAGAATGAGGACAAGGCAATGGACTACTTTGTGCGAAGCGTCCACTTGTACCCGATGAACTGGGGCTGCTGGCTGGAAATGACCCAGCTCATCAGCCGAGTAGACGATGTAAGTCCTCAGCCGGCCAATTGCGTCCAAGAGCCGCAGAAAGCTAACGTTGTCCAGCTGAGCCGCATAGCGGAGCATCTCCCGCAAAACATCGTCTCCTTCATCTGGCATCTCTACACGTCACTCGAGCTCTACCAGGCGACCCCGGAACTCGCCAACTCATTGGACTCGTTGATGGGCATATTCCCCAACTCATCTTTTCTCCTCACATGCAACGCCATGCTGTCGTACCACTCGAAAGACCTGGTCGCCGCCGAGCAGAACTTTAGTCGGCTTCTGTCACTGCACCCTCACAGGCTCGACTCGCTGGACCATTACTCCAACATCCTTTACGTCATGAACCTGAGGCCGAAACTTGCGTTCCTCGCGCATTTGTGCTCGAGCATCGACAAGTTCCGCCCCGAGTCTTGTGTCGTGGTGGGCAACTACTACTCCCTTCTCTCCATGCATGAGAAGGCGGTGCAGTACTTCCGCCGGGCCTTGACCCTTGACCGGACCTGCCTGTCGGCATGGACGCTCATGGGCCACGAGTACGTGGAGCTGAAGAATACCCATGCGGCAATCGAATCGTACCGTCGCGCAGTCGACGTCAATCGCCGGGATTACCGAGCCTGGTACGGTCTTGGTCAGACGTATGAGATGCTGGAGATGCACACTTACAGTCTCTGGTACTACAAAAAGGCAGCCGGCTTGCGGCCCTGGGACGGCAAGATGTGGCTTGCCGTCGGTTCGTGCTTGCAAAAGATGGGCCGCGACCAGGACGGCATCAAGGCACTGAAGCGGGCCCTGTTGGCAGACGCGTACTACGATACTGGAAGCAGCTTCGGAAACGGAGGAGATTTCCTCAACGGTAGGGGCGCCACAGGGCACCTGGACCCGGAGCTGCTCTTCCAGATCGCCAGCATGTACGACCATCTCGGCGAGGAGGAGGAGGGAAAGGCATACATGGAGCTTTGCCTCGCGCAGGAGGGCGGAGAAGCCCCCGACGCCGCGCTGAACGAATCGATCGCGATACACAACGATTCCCCAGGCGCGTCCGACGACGAAGGTAACGGAGACAGCCGCAAGGAGGGCGCGAGCGAGGGCACCGGCGTGACTGCGTCAACAAGCAAGGCCCGCATGTGGCTCGCGAAGTATGCCATGCGGACAGCGGACTATGTCACAGCCAACCGGCTGGGGACCGAGCTGACGCAGGACGGCTTCGAGGTGGAGGAAGCCAAGGCTCTGGTGAGGGAAGCCAGGGCGCGCATAAGGAATGCGGAAATAGGCCTCACTCCCTGATTCGGCTTGGATGGCCAGGAGATGAGTTGCCGAGGCTTTGGGCGTCGTGGCCAACAAGAACTCCCCGTGGCGTCCTTGCGTCGACACGATCGTTCAGGTCACCGACGGGCGCCCTCGAAGCGGATAGGGACGAGCTTGGCTGGGGAGGGCACACAGTGCGGGTGTATGTTGACAAAGCATCAGGTTGCCGACGCGAAAGGAAGTTACCGTATTGATTTGGCATGAAAGGACGGGCGCATGTCTTGCAGGGTGTTCTTGCACCTAACGAAGCACTCTTCGTATGGCGCATCCCGCCCCAAAAGAAAACCAATCACATGGATGGTGTTGGAGGAAAAGCCATGCTGCCATAGTTCGGCGCGGGATCGCACGGCCCTTCGCATCGGATCATGTTAGGCGTCCGGGGAGGCAAAAGAGAGCGCAAGCTACTATGACACTGAGTAACTTTCTAGAGGTAGAAGCGCGGGTCGTTGGAGCATCCGGAGCATATAGTAATGAGATACCACAACGTGAACACACTCTCCAGATACGCGCATGCGCTTCCCAGGCAGGACAGACCCCGCGCACGTCCATCTTTACCGGGAGAGGGGGGCCAGATAACGGGGGCACCAGATCCGGCAGGTTCCCCGGCGGTAGTGTCATGATCCACGAGCACCCGGGCGGCACCACCTTTTTCTTTTATTTTCTTTTTCTTTTTCCGTTTTCCAGAAGAAGCTCGTACCACGTTTCCAGATAAGCTCACGATCGGCTAACCAACCACCCCACCTCCCTTCTGACGATGCCAGAAGGTGCAACATTTCTGCGAACGCCTCTTCCCTCGCTGGTGCGGACCTGGGATGCGGGAGAGGAGGGGAGTTGGGATACGTCGACGGCGGGCTAGGCCGGGTACATACGGCGTGCTTATGGCGCATGATGACCCAATACGAGGTTTTCGGCACCGCCATTTTCCATTCTTGCTCTCTTTCTCTCTCTCTCTCTCCCGACCGTTCCTTCTCGGACCCCCTCCATCACGCCAGCCACCAATCCCTGTTCGAAGGTGTCCCGCCGCCTTCCTCGTACAAATCCACAAACCATGCGCTTGGCTCGTGGTCGAGTCCGCCCGCCCAACGCCCAACTAGCGGGGCCGGCAAGACACGGGAAGAAGGGAGGAGGGCCATGCGGACAGCGCGTTCATGGAGACAACAGACGAAAGCAAAAGGGAAAAAAAAATTAAATTTATAGCGTGGCGTGGTAAACTTGGAAGGGAAATGAGGGGCCCTCCGTTTCCCCGACCTCTCGAGCGGAAGTGCGTGCAGGTCAGCGGGCTGAGAATACGAAGAGGCGCATCGGTCCCTGCCCCCCTCCTCTTATTATCCGGTGGCCTGCGGATGGGCCATTGCTCGGCTTCTTCGGGCGACGAATGGCCTTTTTGCGGCCCCTAGACGGCGGAATCGATTTGCTGCGTGGTTCGTCCGGGTTCGTTGGATGGCTCGAACAGAAAGGTTGGGGGTGCTTATGCGGTCAGCCTGCAAGAGAACAATATTTGGCCATGTTGATAATAACGTTGCATGACAAGTCTCGACGGGTTCCTATTCGCCGGCCATCATCACTAACACCACCACTACCGCTCAAAGAGTTCGGGGACAACCTGATATCCTATAGATCTTTCTTCTTTCTCTTTTTCCAAAGGATCGTTTTGGCGAAGCTCGCTCCCCCTCGAGCACCCCGTTTGTATCATCATTACTTCGAAAGGACTGTGTGCGTGTAATATCCTCCCTCCTTGTGGCAGAATCCCGATTCCTTGTCTCTCCCAGTACTCCAAAAGATAATCGCCGTGCTTCCCTCCCCCCTCTAAAATGTCCAATGTGCCACATGGTATCAAATAATGCTCATCCGGTTTCCGCTCCCACTTTTGCCGGCCATAAAGGAAGGTCCAGAATAGAAATAGAAAATGTAGAAGGAAAAGAATACGGGATCCGCCAAAATATCGCGTCCCTTGATTGTAACTCTTGCCAGGCTTAACAGAAAGACGCCTGAAGACTCCAGATTAGAAATTAGAATTAGATGAGCAGCGCCAAGATTCCGGCCAGGATAAGAGCACCGGCATTCGCGGTGAGCGACCCAGCACCGCTCCCTGGGACGGTGACGGGTCTCGAGGTGGACGGTCCGACAGGGGTGTTGGTTGGGAGGTCAGTGGCGGGGGTGGTGGGCACGACAACCACGATGGTCGAGGTGAGGTCGGAGTGGTGGCTCGGCTTGGGTGGCTTAGGGGTGTGCTCGACCACGGCGGAGGTGTTGTGGTAGTAGGTAGGCTTAGGCGGCGGGGTCGTGGTCTCGATGACTGGCGGGTGTGTGACGGTGGTGTTCCATCCCGTCGGGGGGTGCACGGCGGTGCCCCAGCCCGGCGGCGGACGCACTGAGGTGTTGTTCCATGACGGCGGAGGGTGGACCGTCACAGTCGGGATGTGCTGGGGTGGCTTGTCGGTAGTGATGGTGCAAGGGCAGTCTGTCCCGTGTTAGTCTTGTTAAGTATAAGCTTGTAGATAGATGAGAGCGTCGTACTCGTGATGGTAAGAGTGGTTGCCGTGGTGGCCGTATAAGTGACGTTTTGGTGGACGAAAGTTGTGGGCGACTGCGGGCAGGGTTAGTCTCGTCCATCACGCCTCTCGGTCCGCCGCATCGAGACTCACAGGGCAGTACGTCTCGTAGGCGGTGGTCACGACTGTGGTGTAGAAGGTGTGTACATCGGTCCCCCAAGCCTGTGTAGAGGCCACGAGCCCGGCTGCCGACAATAGCTGCGAAACCTTCATTGCGGAGTGGGATCGAGTGTTCTCTGGTATAAGCGAGAGTCGTTTGCCAAAGGCACGCTATAAAGCAACTTAGTGGAGTGAGGTAGAGGTAGGTTGAGGCGGCTGCTTGTCGATGACTTTGGGGAGAACAGGAACCACCCAGGCCAGGCACCGCTCGCCTTATGTATCACGAAGGCGGGGCCGTCATGCGCGGAGAGGCCCTTCTTGCAGAAGGGTTTGGGACCAAATGCTTACACAGCTTAAAGTTGTGTGCTGCCCTGGAGGCGATCTTGTCGAGCGGGCGTGCCATTGTCCTCCATGCCAGATTCGACCATCAATGGCCTCGGTAACGATACGCAACGGGTACTGATGACTATACGCACCTGCGCAGGTGGTACGCACCATCGCGCCAGATGGGGCTAAGAGACAGGTGTATGACTCTGTCCCCAATGGGGTCGAGGACAAATGATACGAGGCGGCCTTTGTCCTGCCAGGCCTGGTGCGGAATGGTGCCATTGCTTTTCCTGGCACAATGCTGCGTATATCGCGCAGCTTCTCATTGGACCGGTCACTTTATTGATTTCGTTTTGGGTAAGTGACTATGCGATAGCAGGGGTCGAGAGCTGACAGCTCGTGTTGTCAACCACAGTGCCACCAGGTTTGGGTAGACATCGTGCAAAACCGAGCAGAGTCGATTCTCAACGAAAACCATCGAGAGTCTGCTGCATTCCCACGCTTTTGGGAGAAAAGCCGCCATCGTCAAAGGCCAGGCTGCGTGTCGCAGGGTGACGCGCCTGCGAAGCCATTTCACCCGAACGTGGAGCGCCGGTCAACTCCAGTGGAACTCCCCGAATCGGCAAGTACGGATAAACAGGAAGAACGAGACGGAAAACGAGAGATACCCGGGCTCTGGCATGCGAGGCTCGTGTTCGGCGCCTTTTGACACTTTGCGGCGTTCTACGGGATGATGCGACCATACGCCGCAACTATACGGCATGGAATCGAAGTGGCCGGGCAGCGGCGCAGCAAATGGCGCCGTCAGCACTCGCAGACAATGTTAGCAACTGTGGCCGATTCTCACGAGGCCTTTCCGGTCGAGTGGCATAAATAAACCCTGACTACCAGGGCAAAAAATGGTCTATCCCACATGAGTGCTGACGCCCCATTGCAGAGACCTGGCCCCCGCGCATATGCAACCGAGTTGCGACGGCCTCGCGAGCAACACCCAAGAAGAATTCGTCCTTCCGCGCGACTTTTTGATCATTTCAAGGAGCAGAAGCTACATGTTATGAGAGTAGCCTCAGAAGCAATGCCGCTTGGCATGTTGTATCGCACGACGGCGTCGTCTCCTAATGTATGATTAGCGAGGGCGGATTCCCGGCGATGAAATCTTCCGCGGAAGCACGACTTCAAACTATGCAGGTCTAGATCAGACGAGTGACCACACCAGCGAGGCAGGTTTTCATCGACAAGGTATTCAGGCATCCTGGTTGTCCAGTGTTGGCACCAGGATGTATCCTAAACCTTTGCCAGCTCGATCGATTGGTCGGTCATCGGGAACCAGGCAATGCCCGGCGCCCACAGCTGGTATGAGATCTCGAGGAGTCCTGTTTCCCAGAGCCATGGGCAACGGTGTCCGTTCGCGCCACGAGGTTGAAGGGATCTGGATTGATAAAAGTCCTCAGACCCAGTTTCTTTTCGCCCGTATGCAACGGCTTCTGACTAGACGGGACGCCTTCGGACAGACCTCGGTGGAGAACCCTTCGCGGTGGGCGAGAGGCGAATTCAACACAACCAAGAGGATCAAGAGGCTAAGCTAAGTCCGGAAGATGTCCAATTCCCGTTCATCCGGTTGAAAGGGGAAAAGAATTCTCTCGTAAACCAGGCTGGTTCGACGACGGTTGGGAGCCCCGGTATACCGCGTGGGCACGCCTTGCGGGGGAAGAGGAGACACTCGCACGAGATGACGGAACTGTAAGGCATATGGAGGGGGGAAGTCGATGGGTGCGATGAGGTCAGAATCGGTCACGGGCTTTTTGTCGGTAAGGTAGTTGGCCGAGCCCGTCATGGACGCTTCCAAGGCCGATGGATTGCCGGCGACGCTGCGGGGGCAGCCTGAAGCGGACATACAGACCGCGGTATCAGTATCTTACTGACCGAATGCAACGGGGCGATAAACTGGTGGGGAAACGCCGTCAATGGTGATGGTGTGAGGGAATTATCAATGACGAAGAAAGAAAAAAACCGTCTGGGGCAAAAGGGAGCAGAGTGTGGTGTGTGGGACGAGTGTAAGTTGAAGCCCAGGTCTAGGCAGGTCCGTTTCCAGGACGGTTCCTGCATTGGACCAAAACTCACCTGAGAAAGACCCGCAAAAAGACCCGCTCTTAACGGACCCTCTTTCCGTCCATGGCCGGATCAGTCCTTGACAAGTGTGTACATGGGTACACGGCACCGGTCTGGATACGGAGACCTGTTCCTTGGAAGACAGCGGCGTCCCAACCCCGATGGTTACGTACTATGTACTATGTAAAATGCATCTTACGATGTACCTAGTTAGGCACTATGGCAATCACAAGCCGTAACTCGGCAGCAAACAGTCCCTTTCATCAGGTGGGGGGACGTACAATGTACATCGGACATGGCAGCAGCCTTGGTACTACGTATTCATGCTGTCGGAGAGCGAGCGATGGTCAGTGGGACCCGGATGTGGTCGAGAACGTCCCCGTCCCAATGTACACGTACAGCTGCTCAACGGGCCGCACAAGACATGCGCCGGCTTGCTTCGCTTGCCTGCTGCTTCCCGTTGCGCCTGCTGTGTGCCAACCCTGTCTGCTCACCACCGTTTGGTGGGATTCCAGGAGCAAGCATGTGAGCATGTGTGCCGGCGACCAAGTCGGGCAAGATATGCCCAGTGGATTAAGGAAACATGAGCAACCAGCATGACGGGTATTGCGATTTGCAGCACATGTCCTACCTTAAACCGTAGCTTAAACGACTAGCTTATCTGTTTCACAGCCTTGTGGGAGAATACACTAATCTGCTCCAGCCGACGTGGGCCAGAAGCGCAGGATAACTCCACGATGACTGAGCACTCGCCCGCCGCAGTCTTGACCGACGGTCCGGTGGTGGCGTTGGGCTTGTGCCGTAAGCTACAGCGCATTACCCTGCAGACACGGCACGGATGACTCAGGCAGCGAGTCGGAAGAAACTTTTTCTTGGGGGGGGGGGAAGATGAAAAAAAAAACTCAGCATAAAAAGTCCCGCACCTAAGGATCCAGGCCTCTCAACAGATATGCAGGCACAGACAGCATAGAGAGGACTGGGCCGTCTGCGTGAATAAACTTGTTCCTGGCAGACAGGCAGTGAGGGGAACGGATATTGGGGCAGTGCCCGGGGAACTCAGCTTGGTACCGGGTACGGAAATAGCCTGGGCAAATTGTTAGCAGAAACGCGACCATACCGCCTCCCCATCTATCTCTCCGTGACGCTCGACTCAGGCACTGTACAGCCCTCCCTACAGTGCTCGGAGCACCACACACTCGGGCTATGATCGACAGGCACAAGCCCGCCCACCTTGTATGCCTCACACCCTCTTCCAGGTTCTGGATTCGATTTCTCACCATCGTCCCAAGTTGACACCTACCTCCCCGATTCGTCCACCGAAGTCCAAACCCCCAATTTTATCTCCTTCCCCCTTCTGCCCCGTTCCTCCCTTCTAACACGCTCTGGATGCACATTGCCAAGTCCTTCCGGCCGGGGGAGGTGTACAGCTTTGCCAGGGAAACAACAGAGGGATCACCCACGGTCGTGTCATCACCTCCGTCACAGAAAGCCTGAAGGATGGCCAACCGCGATGGTTGCCCGTGCTCCTCTCGCACTGATGTGACGGCGATGTTTTTTTTTTTCTTCCCCCTTGCTGAAATGAGTTTTGGCCTGTCTCTCTCTCCCCTCCCTCTCTGTGTCCCAGAGAGGTCGTCTTTCCTGCATCAGCACACCGTCGTCCAATCTTCGCCAGCTTCGACTCGAGCGAGTGCTGTCAGTGTCGTCTGTTTTCTTTTGGCCCGTCACCTGCATCTCGTCAAATTGATCAGCCGATTCTCCTTAGTGCAGACGAACCGGTACGTTGGGAAGTGATGCCACGTACTGCGGCCCTCGGCGTTTACCCAAATGGCATAGCTGGCATTGCTCTCCCGCGCGCGCCCTCCCAACTTCCGTCCGGCAGTACAACCCGGCAGCCTTGCCAAGTGGGATTTGCTCGGTAGTGGCCGGCACATCTTTTCCTAATCGTCGTATCTGCGCGTCCTCGACTAGGGCCACGGTGCTAAGGATAAGGGAGCCAGCCAAGTTGGCCCGCCAAAAGAGAGCCCGTCATGAGCCGTAATGGCCCCTGTCCCGCTATGAATTGTTAGCCGGCGCGCTGATTTGTCGTCGTTGGCCTGCCTCGAGTTCAGTTCCACGACTTGCTTCTGTCTGGCCTGTCAGGGTACGCCACGCGGAGTTGGTTGTTAGCGTCAGGTACCAGGCACATACTGCGGCCAGTAGCCGCCCAATGACGACGCCGAACAAGCATCTGCGGCTAAGAAAACTATCAAACGGCGCCAAGGGCTGACGTCCGTGTTGCTTTTTTCATCTTGTGCCAGCACGTCCTCGCAGCCTGCTGACGCCGAGCACCTCGATACCTGCGCCCTGTCCGTCACCTCTGGCCCTCTCCTCTCGGCCCTCTCGACTACCCGCCCAGTCCGTGAGAGCCAACGCTTAACGCCGAGTACCCGTCCTCGCTGCCGCGCTGCTCCCGTGTACTCTCCTGAGGGAGGGCGTTCCTGGCACCAGAAACCAAGAAGGAATCTCAGACACAGCCTGGCACTGTCCGAGAGTAAGGACCAACACCCCCAGAAACAAAGATGTTTAGAACAACTGTTTATCGAAATGTTGTTTCTGAGTAGATTGGGCTGTTCGCCCCAGTTCCAGTTCCAGTTCCAAACCCTCCATGCAAACCTTGTCTAGTGCGGGCGAGCCACGGAGGATGGGAGGCCTGGGAGAACTGCTGGGCCAGACGCCAGACCGAAAACTCTGAACCTGGCGAGGCCATTAATTCACAGGCACGTCCAATCACGGCCGGCAAGTTACTACGACATGTACAAGTTACAAGAATCATGGCGCCCGAGCATGCGAACCCACTCTCCGATGGAGGCGTTCCATGTAACTCTGGGAAACACCCTCGAGCTAATGTCTCCACTGTGGTATTCAGACGTGCCCACGTCCTCGACGCCCCCAGCTCCGCACCTCCACTGCTGCCATTTCACGAGCAGGATAATCCTTTCTAGGCTGCCCCCCCCCCCCTCTTGACATGTGTATAAGTACGAAGCGGTTCCCATGAGGCCTACCCTTCCCCGGTTTTGATATACCATCCCACAATCACTATCCTTTCAGTGGCCGAGCCTCTCACATTTGTCTATCCAGACAGCCCCATTCTCTTCACAACCAGCTTCTCACTCTTTTTTGAAAGCACCCAGACGGCCCCGGTCCGTTCAGCTCCCATCTCTCACAGCTAAGGCTCGAGTCCCATCACCACAATACCCCATCCCTGGGCAATCATCATTTCTACGATCAGCTAGACGCTTTTGAAAGAACCACTACTTCTCAGCTGCCTTGTTCCTTCACTACCGTTGACGACGTTTGCCGGACTCTTCAACCTCCAGTTTCAGATCACACAACTCTTTGCCACTTACACCATCACCACCATCAAAATGCAGTTCAACATCCTCTCTCTCCTCGGCGCTGCCGCTCTGGCCGCCGCCAACACCGTCACCTTCCAGTCTCTGGACGACGTCACCCGCACCGTCTACTTCACCCCCAACTCCGGCCTTGCCTCCATCGACTCTGTCGAGGTCCCCGGCAAGGGTGAGGTCAAGGTTCAGATCCCTGAATCCTGGATCGGCAACTGGTACGCCATCTCGGAGGGCGCCGAGAACACCCCCGGCATGCTCGGCGAGGTCGCCTTTAACGGCTGGAACGGCTTGACGTACTTTGACGTCTCCGCCATTATCAACCCCAACGACCACGACGGCGTCAAGAAGATGTGGCCCGCCAGCGGCGCTGAACCCGTCTCCGGCTGCGATTCGTTCCCCTGCAACAACGCTTACTACCTTGCCAACGACGTGCAGACCAAGGTCACCTCCGAGACCGACCTCATCTGCACCCTCGGCAAGAACGGCGCCGTCTCCCGCCGTGACATTGACGACCACCACGAGTCCCCCAGCTACAAGCGCGACTTCGTCCAGGGCAAGTACTCCAACTAAGCTTCGGGAGCACAACTTCTTTTCCGTCCTTCTTTGGGGTTCGTCTCATGTCTCATCTTTCTGTGTGAGAAATGAGAGAGGAAAAAACACCAAAAATCGGCCGCGGCGAGTCTGAACACCATCAGTCCCGCCGCCGCCCCCGCGCTGTGCGCTATGACTTGACGACCCCTTCTTCTCGATGATGACGAACCATCAAAATGTTCAGCATCGTTTCGTCCTTTTTTTTTTTCCCTGACAAAAAGATACCCATCACACGCCAAGAGCGCGGGTACGCGTGGGCTCACCGGGGAAAGAAACCAGTTTTTCTCGGGATTGAGAGTCATTCTTTTACATTTTGGACACACTTTTTGGGTTTCAAACCGGGGTGTACGCAATTCAGTGGGACCGGAGCAATTGGAGCAATCTAGGCGTTTCCCCCCTCAAACCCCGCGAGAGAGCTCATGTGTTGTTGTTGTCTCCGCACACAAAGCACGCCGAGAGATCTTCCGCACTTTTGCGACTGATCTAGGAAACGGGCCTCGTTCTTCTTGTTGGCCTTCACGGGTCGGGAGGTTATCTGATACTGTTTTGGATAACCATCCAACAGCGCGGAGGGAACTTCTTATGATGATTATTTTGGACTTGTGAAGGGAACCTTTGATAGTTTGAACAAACTTCTTGTATTTATTAGGGTCAGGTTTTTTCATCAAACTCATCCCGGAAGATGGAGACAACCGTTTTCAACGTCAATTACCTGTCCCAGTCCCTGCCCTTGCCGTTGTTGTTGTTGACTTGCAAACTTCTTGTTGATCTTAGTCGTTGCCCCGGTCCGCCCCATCTAGTGTGGTAGATGTCGAAATTGAAGGGGGTAGGATTTTGGCCCGGGTTCCTTCCCCGGGATGGCATGTTCAGCAACCCTTGTGCCGCGGGGGAGCCGACGCTTTGTTCTTCTCGCTCGCTGACATGGAAAATGATTATTGAAAAAATTAAAATTTGCGCGAGCGGCCTGGGCGTGGCCCCCGAGCTGGGAATATAACCCCCCCCCCTTTTAGTCCTCCCGTCCTTGGCAATGGATAGATATTTCCATCACCACGGTCATTACTACCACTGATAGTACTAGGCTCCCGGGCTTTTGATCCATACATAGGAATGCAACGTGCACCCCCCGCCCCACGCGAGATTGCCTTTCTGTCCGTTTCCTTGTTTTCCGGCGTCCCTTCTCTTGGGACGAACCACCGAACGTAGCGTAAGGGGGGGTAAGGGCAGGGCCCGTCTTCCCGGCGTTTCAAATCGTTCGGCACCATCCCCACCTGCTGACGAATGACCCCCACACCGCCGGTCGCTCACTCTACATACCTAGTACAGGTGGGGTCGGAGGGAGACAACGTGGCCAGGGGGCGAGGAAACAAAGGACAAACATTCCCGTCCGCAAGTGGAAGGCAACGTCAGCAACGCCAAAGCCACAATCCTAGCAGTCGTCACCCTCAGCCCAGGAGGGGGGGGGGGAGGTAAGCATTTAGTGCTCTCTCGGTTGTAAGGGGCCGCCGGGGACCCGAACCTGTGGGCTTGATCAGAGCCGAATCATACCTCTCGTCTACGTTCCGGTATGCGGAAATTCCGCATCGGCAACCACTCGCGCGTGTTGGTACCCAGGCGGCAGCTCAACGGTTTTGTGGTCCTGCACCTTGGCGCATCGCTGGGCTCACTTGCATCTCGGGGTGTGCGACTCGGGGCGAACAGGCTCTGACCGAACAGGTGCTGACGGTAGGAGGCATGTGGAGACCTCTTCAAAGACGTACAAAACTTTACTCGACGGCATTTCTCCCCATCTTTGGTATGCTAGTGAATTCCAAGTGGGAGGCTCGCTTTGCCTCCGCTCTTAAGTACATCATGATGCCTGCTTGGGCTCCTCGACGGCAGGCGGCGACTCTGCCTGTGCCGACCCCTCCGCGCTCTGTCTGCTTCCCGGCCCGGTTGTTGAATTCCTGCCTGAGCCTGTTGTCTCCGATCCACCGTCCACCTGTTTTTCAGACGGCGGCGGCGGCGATGCGGCAGTCTTGATCTCTTTCGAGTTGATGATGCTCCTCAAGTAATCGCCCGTGTCCCGAAACCCATCAAGCTTGCCGAGCTTGGCTGAGAAGAAATCCACGTCACGAAGCATGCTGTATGCACGTTAGCACGATGCCCAGGGGCTTCCCAGACGGGGCGCGGCTTACCTGTCACGACCAGTACCCGTCTTTGGGTTTGCGGCCTGGAAGGCCTTGCCGAACTGGTCCTTGTAGCTTGCGAAAACGGGGCCCATGATCAACTGCACCGAGGTTTCCGGCAGGTGCTTGGTCAGTACCCTGTGTAGAGTGGTCGTTTCCTTGGCCAGCGTCTCCATGTATGCGTGGGCCGACTGGCTGTTGTCGTGGTCCCAGTCGATCGTCTTCATGGATTTTGAGTGCTGTGACGCGCGTCCGCTCATGATATCCACCAGCTTGTCATAGATGCTGTTCTGGTGTTCCTGGAACAGGCGCCTAACCTTGTCGAACTCACCCATCAGGCTAGACACGCCGGCTCCTGAGCCGGCGTGTCTGCGAACAAACTCTCGGATGTGAGGGATCAATGTTGCGATGAATGACAGCGCTTGAGATGCCAAAGCCAGGTGTCGCGTCGTGATGTTCTTGAGACCAGCAGACCGGGTGGCACCCGCGCCAAGGATGAGCTGGGTGCAGCGGGAGTTGAAGAGCTGCAGGTATGTGATGAGAGAGGTGGCGACGTCGGCGGCCATGGACGGGATGCCGCCGATGAGGTGGAGGAAATGCGAGATGCCCTCCAGGCACAGTATGGCTGAGTTGGGCAGTAGGAACGTTTCGCTCTCAATCTCGGCCGTCCGCGCCTTTTCTTTCCCGCCAGTGCCGTTGGTCTCTGCCGGCGTTGTCGTCGTTCCGTTCGAGACCTCGTCGTCTTGGTTTTCTTCCCATATCTTACTTCCGCTTGACCACGTTGCAGCATCCTTAGTACTGCTCTCGAGCACTTGATCCAGGAGAGCCTTATCTTTCTCGTTGAAGTCTTTCGCGCTCCACTGGTCGGATTCCATTCCTTGGGCCAGCTTTTGTTTCTCCGCATCGCCGTGATGCTGCACGAACTCCTTGATGTGGCCGTTGACCAGGGTCTTCAACGCCGTGCCGCTGCGCCCGGAGATCGCTTCACACTCATTGGCAAAGAAGAGGTTGAGAGTGAAGTAGCGAAGGAACCAAGACAGGCTCAAGTGCGTGCTTTGCTCTGACCGTACCTTCAACACTTTTACTATCTTATCCTGAGCGACGTCGACAGCCTGCCCAACCAAGTTGGCGATATCCATGGCCTTGTGGATCTCTTCTTGAACCTCGAAGCTAGGAGAGTCGTCAAATCTAGGGAATTCTCGGTCAAAAGGTGTCGGGCTAGCAAGAGGAGAACGGGCTGGCGGGGACTTGAGGCCGGCAGCGGTGGCTTCTTCCGTCAAAGAGCTTGCAATGTCGAGAAGCACCTTGACCTGTGTCGTCAGCCGTCGGAGGGTCTCTGTGACGCCAATGTATACCATCTTTAGCAGGTCTTCAGCATCCTTAGGGTCGAGTGCTCGAAGGTTCCTCGCCAAAATGGACGACTTCTCCTGGTTGGAGAGGTTTCTTCCGCCACTCATAGTCGAAGCAGACATCATGGACTCGTTGTCGTCATCGTTGGAGCTTGGCAATGGTTTGCGAATTATATTGCGAATCTCGCGTAGCACCGCCTCCCGGTAGCCTGCAATCGCAGTCGAGATGTGCTGAGCCCGGTGAAGGCCAAGCAGGTTCGGCATGATGGCTTTACGCAGTTCTTGTGTAGAGGTAAGGTAGGCTGGCGGGCCAGCCGACTCTCTTGCAGTGCCGCCCCCCCTCGCCCGCAATGACGAGCTGCCCCAACGGAGGAGAACCTCGCGGCTTTGTACGGTCTCTACGTGTCTACGCAGATCAGCCAGTAACAGGCTCTGGACTTTGGACTCGTAAGCTTTTCCGATACGGAACCGCAACTGCTGCAGGTCGTCATTGACGCTCCGAAGAGCTGTTGCCCCCCTCAAGTCCCTCAACCGCGACAGAGGTAGTACAGGAGGTTCCGCATCGGGAGACTCGTCATGCTCGCCGGCTATGAGATGCTCTAGGCTGTCAATGCGACTTAAAGCCTCGTCCACTTCCCCAGCCTCCACCAGCGACTCGCATGATGCAACACCCTCGACCACATGCCGAAGTTGCAGGACCGCATCGTTGAGGGCCTGCACATTCTCTCTTCGTCGGCGCTTCTGCACTATGTTCAGGCCCCGGGTGGCGATTTCTTCGTCAAGGGCCTCGAGCTCCTTTCTGAGTGCTCTAATACGATCCACGGACTCTGCAGCCTCGGAATGTAATTCTCGTAGAGAGCCGAGTGCACTGAAGAAGGTGGTTGACGCAGTCGATATAGAGTTGATTAGGTGAACCTCAATAGTGTCCATGTACCACGAGAGCTTCTCTTGAAGTATGGCATTGGTAGCCAGAGCCTTCCGGGGAGCCACGACATCTCCATTGTTACCGGCCTTGTCGTCTGCACGTCCTGGTGCAGGTGGTACGACCTCCGACCTCTCGCTGACGACGTCAAAGGTTCTTGGGTTTTCTAGATGAAAGTCTTCGTCGAAGTAAACGTTGGGTATCGTCGACAACGGGGGTGGGCCTTGCCCGCCCTTTCGGCCGAATCCGGAGCTAGAGCGTCGCAATGGCCCCGGGCTATCAATGGAAGTGATCGATGTTATTGACGCAATCGACGATTTTCGCCTAGCAGGCAGTCGACCAGCGGGCTTCAGGTGGCTCTCGTCAAGGGATTCCGTGAAATCGTCGTGTCTGCTCGACCGGCGGCCCGAGGAGCCGGGACGTTCATCTTCTTGTTCTTTGACTCGTCGAAGCTGCTCGTAGAGGGCACCCACTTGCGACAAGTACGGTTTAAACTCGACCGGGTCGATGTGAGGAATGTTCGTCAGGGTCACGGGAGGGATATCGCGTGCGGTCGGCGGCTTATGTGTGCTGAAAGCAGGGGCAGAGGTATGGGGCTGCAGGCCGGTCCGCACAATGGGCGGTTGCAGTAAGGTAGAGATAGCTGGCGGCTTGTCAGCATAGGAATCGACCCCTCCTTAAACTAATCGGTACCGTTTTGCCCAGATTCCAGCACCGAGTTCGCCCAGGTGCTGGACGAGGTATCGAGCGAGCCTCCTATTGAGTGTATGGAGCTCGCATTCGAGCCCCGTCTCGCGGAATGGTTTGGGTGAGCTTGTCCTTGTCTAGCAGCTGTTAGCGCAATCGTGGCAAACAGAGGTCAAAGGGCAGGAAGACTGACTTGTGAAAAGGAAACTCGGTGCGCGTTGATGGAGGAGATAGCGACGATATCGTGTCTACCGACCTCCGCGCGCCTGGTGAGGAGTACATGGCGCCAGTCAATGGCTCTGTATGCGGGCCGATGCCTGGTGTTGAGTCTAGATGTCGATCGTTTGCTGAGAGTCGCTAGGAAAGCCGACAACAAGGTTGTTTGACGGCCACGTAGCCAGACTACAGGGGTATCATTGCTTGGAGAGACACATCAGGTTGGAGACTTCAGGAAAAACAGCTTGCAACAATCACGGCTGATTAGGAATAGCAATGAAGAAATGACAGATTACGCTTGCTCTGCGCAGCTTTACCATGCTGAGCCACGTCCCTCATTCAGACACCACCGAAGGGGGGCCGCCTGCACCAGCTAGTCACTCTGGGGAATGCAGGATGAGGTAAGCCGCTTCACGTGAAGATAGCACATGGGGCCGGTAATACCTTATCGCCATATCCGTACTTGGACGCGCTAAAGCTGCAATCACTTTACGCGGGCGTGTCGCGATTTCAAAAAAAGGGGCGCGTCCTTAATTCGTTCCCCTGCGAACAGAGCAGCCCCTCCTTGCATCCACCTTTTCAGTCTGAATCCTCAGCACCGCTCCGTCAACAACCGCAACCGCAACCTCATTTACGGGGGCAATCGTAAAATATGGACAGACAATCGATATACTCTGCTCACGTCTTCGAGCCGAGCTTCGGCCAGAACGAGGACACTCGGATCCAGATTCAGACGCAACTGGAAAACTTCGTCCTACACTTCAGACATGACAACGACTACATCTACAGGTGAGACAAACTGCTGCGGATCTTTCGCGCCTTGGCATGGCCTCTGACTGTGCCCAGAAACCAACTCAAGGAAAATGCGCTACTCAAGAAGTACTATTGCGATGTCGACGTTACCGATCTCATCAACTACAACGAGGAGCTGGCACACAGGCTGGTTACGGAGCCTGCAGAAATAATTCCCCTGGTACGTCTCGAGCCATGCATACCCGCTCTCTTCGCTCTGTACTGACCTGAACGCCGTTAGTTCGAAGCTGCTCTCAAGAAATGCACCCACCGAATCGTTTTCCCCCAACTGACGAAGGTCGACTTGCCAGAACATCAGCTGCTGCTTCACTCCAGCGCCGAGGATGTGTCGATCCGCAACCTAGACTCTATGACGATTGCTCGCCTTGTCAGAGTACCGGGAATCGTTATTGGTGCTTCGGTCATGTCGTCAAAAGCCACTGAACTTGTCATTCAGTGCCGTAACTGCGCACACTCCTCTTCGATCCCAGTCCTTGGGGGCTTCACCGGCGTCACGCTCCCTAGACAGTGTGGTAGACAGAGAATGCCCAACGACCCCACTGCCAAGTGCCCTCTCGACCCATACTTCGTCGTCCACGAGAAATCGAGATTCGTCGACCAACAAATCATCAAGCTGCAAGAAGCACCGGATCAGGTTCCTGTGGGCGAGCTTCCGCGGCACGTCCTCATTTCAGCTGATCGCTACCTGACCAACCGCGTGGTTCCGGGCTCGAGATGTACAGTTATGGGCATCTTCTCGATCTACCAGAACAAGGCCACCAAGAACTCCAGCACTGGCGGCGCGGTGGCTATTCGCACTCCCTACCTGCGGGCGGTGGGCATCCAAACAGACATCGACCAGACCGCTAGAGGCCAGGCGCTCTTTTCCGACGAAGAAGAACAAGAGTTCCTTGAACTGAGCAGGCGGCCGGATCTGTATAACATCATGGCGGACTGCATAGCTCCTTCGATCTACGGCAACCGAGACATCAAGAAGGCGATTCTGTGTCTCCTCCTCGGCGGTTCCAAGAAGATCTTGCCTGACGGTATGAAGCTTCGTGGAGACATCAATGTCCTGCTGCTTGGTGACCCCGGTACCGCCAAGTCCCAACTGTTGAAGTTTGTCGAAAAGTGTGCGCCCATTGCCATTTACACGTCTGGTAAGGGTTCTTCAGCAGCTGGTCTCACGGCCTCGGTACAACGCGACCAGTCGACCCGTGAATTCTACCTTGAGGGAGGTGCAATGGTTCTTGCAGACGGTGGTGTGGTCTGTATCGATGAGTTCGACAAAATGCGTGACGAGGACCGCGTAGCCATCCACGAGGCTATGGAACAACAGACCATCTCTATCGCCAAGGCTGGTATCACAACCATTCTCAACGCAAGAACATCGGTTCTGGCCGCCGCCAACCCGATCTTCGGTCGTTACGATGACATGAAGACCCCAGGCGAGAACATCGACTTCCAAACCACTATCCTTTCCCGTTTTGACATGATATTTATCGTCAAGGACGAGCACACGAGGGAGAAGGACGAAAGAATAGCGAGGCACGTCATGGGCATTCACATGGGTGGCCGGGGTGTTGAGGAGCAAGTCGAGTCTGAGATCCCCGTCGACAAGATGAAGAGATACCTCAGCTACTGCAAATCGTAAGTCTCTCCACATCGTATTTCAAGCCTGGACCTAGACTAACAACTTCGTCCAGACGGATGGCTCCTCGCCTAAGTCCCGAAGCAGCTGAGAAGCTTTCATCTCACTTTGTGTCCATCCGCAGACAGGTTCATGCGGCCGAGATGGAGGCTAACACACGCTCATCAATCCCGATTACCGTTCGTCAACTAGAGGCCATTGTCCGTATCACAGAGTCGTTGGCCAAGCTGTCCCTGTCTCCCATCGCCACAGAGGAGCACGTGGACGAGGCCATCAGACTTTTCCTCTGTTCCACCATGGACGCTGTCAACCAGGGCAGCAACCAGGGTAGCAAGGAGCTCAACGAAGAAGTCAGCAGGTTAGAGACAGAGCTCAAGCGGCGTCTCGCGGTTGGATGGGGCACCAGTCTGGCAAGCCTGCGTCGCGAAATGTGCGAGCAGAAGGGTTACAGTGAGCAAGCGCTCAACAGAACGCTAATGATCATGCAAAGGAGGGATACCATCATGTTCCGGAACCAAGGAGCACAAGTGTACAGAAACGCAATCTGAGAGGGGTCAATGATGAAGCAGGCCATGAATAGATGTTGGTGTACTAGCGGTGATTGTTTGGAGGATTATGGCGCAGCAATCCTGTTCATGAAAGAAATGATAATACCAAGTTTTTGCAACAGAAGTTCAATTTTCGGTATCACAGACGTGGTTCATGGCGTCAATTATACGTGATTAACAGAGCAAGGCTATGTATGCGTGTCTTGACATCCAGTTCATGCATAGAATCGCGGGCACAGCTTATGACGACCCCTCTGATCGGCGCCATAAACTTGCCATCTGTTTGGCTCCGTAATTCTTTAGGTGCCACTGGGTCACCATTGCGTCTGGCGAGATGCTCCTTGAGCATACTGTGTGGATCTGGACCTGGATGACGGGAAAACTGTTAGCCGGGGTGACATCGAAAGTTCCGCGCGCTTCCAAGGCCATCATAACAGAGCGATTCAGATATGCCACTTGTCAGCAAGCTCAACCTGGTCAAGAGCATTGGCTGGAGCCGCCGCACTCGCGGCTGAGCAATCGGTTTACCAGATGTATTGATGTCATCCCCGTCTCCGTATACTTTGGTCAATATGGGCCTTCATATATGCAGCGTACCTTGCAATAGAGTAGTTTGATTAGGCCCGCCGACAGCACCAAGGACACGACGCTGCTTACGTCAAATGCGGACGGCGGCGGTTGCCATGGCTAGCCTCATCTCACAGCAACAACAAAAACAAAAACATCACTGCCACATTGAAAGGCATGTCCAAACTTGCTTCAGGTGATCGTCGCATCATGGGAAGCCGCACGAGGGGCCCTCGCTGACGATTGTTTTAAACAAGGGCATTGAAAGAGTTAATCTCGACTCATCCCCCGGAATCGTCCAGCAGCGTGGAATGCGATGTGAAATCGAGGCAAGCTGGCGATGATTTGAATGGGAGGTCTTGGTTGTTGAAGAAGAAAAGAATGGTAGAAGTTGGTCGCGTCGCCGAGTTTTAAAAATTGCAGGAGTCTGGCCCATCGTGTCCAGGTGGGGCCGGGTGATACCACGTGACCGGGTGTCCCGTGGCTGCACCGAGGAGCGTGGTGGTTAGTGGTTGGTCAGTGTGTTGCCTGCCGACTTCATGATCAAAGACATGCCTCCCCTGCAGCCGTGGGCGGCTGTCTTCCCTCCCCAACCAGCCAGGCCGTCAGGTCCCGATGTTCGGGTGTCGGGTGTCGGGCACGGTCGCCATGGTTTCCTAGACGATTCAACTGGTAGAGTGCGCCCATTCGCCGTTAGGAGTTGGTACCTGGCCTTCGCTGCGGTCCCAGTACGGCAGACTGGTCTGGCTCCCACTCCCCCTCCCTCATTCACTCTCGTACTTTCCGCGGCAAACCGCCTTTCCCACCCTCCTACGCCCACCTCACGTTCACCCCTTCCCGCATCTCCCAGCGTCTTCATCTCCTACACTACGTCCCACGGTCCACACCCACCCGCCGGGCTAAGCTTACCTCAGCCAGTGCCACTGCCACTGCCACTGCCAGTGCCCGCCAGCGCTGCCCACGGTCCATTTGCCAGCCAACCCAGACGGCCACCCACCCCCGTTAAGCGAGCAAATTGCCTCGCTCATGTGTCTGCCCCCTTCGCTCTACCCAGCGCCATTCCGACTTCACTTCCTTCAACTCCACCACGACCTGACGGCTCAACCACAGCACGAACCGACAACCGACCCTCGACAGCCCTCCAACGCCGTCGGATTCCTTTCGCTACAAGTGCTCCTGCTGGATATTGGCATCAGGAAAATTTTTAACACACCGGAGAAGGCGCCAACGATCGACGATTAATCCGAAAGTGGTGCATGACGCTGCGTCGGGGGATTGAGAGCCGTCAGCGGTTTGGCGCGACTCGCCACAACAACCCCCTCATCCTCTGATCTCGCCCAGAGCGACCCCTCTCATCGAGCGCATCGTGGATTCTGATCGACCAGGGTCTTGACGGTACTCAGAAGCGGCGGTGGTGTTTTTTTTCGAGCCTTCCGATCCGGAGACGACGTGACAGCGGGCCCTCCATCCCTCGTATTCCACCCTCATCCTCTTCAACCGACCAAGACCACCACGACACCACTGCGACCCAAGAATCGAGTCCTCAATTCTGCGGCGACGTCAACATGTCTTTCCACCCCCAAACCCCTCAGAGTCCTTCCCAGTTTTCTCCCGGCACTTCCGACCTCGCGTCGAGTATGAATAGTACGGTTCCATCCACAACCACGACTCTGCCGACTCCCGCACATAGCGTCAACGGTAGCGCATCGCAACCCTCCGATATGTCGCAGGACATCGTCATGGGCGACGATACGCCTCACAAACGCAAGCGCCCACTCGAAGACTTGGGTGATAGAGAGCAGAAGAAAGTCCACATCGAGGATAGCAAAACTGGTATCGAGGCACTCCACCTGGATGTCGGAGAGAAATACCTACTTTGCCAAACTCGTAAGGCTCCCTTCACAGCCCCCCGTTCCCGTGGCAGGCTGTCTTGCCCAAGCCCCCTTCCTATGACGTATCTGGTATTTTGAGGCGGTTTAAGGTAGAACATGCTTGTTAACTCTGAGCCACTTAGCGCACCACGAGAGACTGCCGCGTATCACGGAAGATCTCTTTGAGATGTTCAACTTGACAGGCATCGCTGCAGAAGTGGCTCGCGAGAAGCCCAACGGTGAGAAGAACGCTCTTCGCAAGACCTACAAGGGCCAGATCAAGAAGCTCGGCATCCTCGGGCGCTTCGACTCGGTCGCTCAAGACTGGGATGCACCAAGAGAAAGTGATGGCGACAAGAAGAGGGAGGCGTATCACGGCTTCAGAGAGTTGCTAGAGATTCCTGACGCAGAGTTTTGGGGCACACGGCAAGATCCAATCACCAACGGTCTGTCATCCGCTGTCAAGTTTAATTTGAGCAAAGCAACCGCGATGGCCAAGGGTCCCATTCCTGCCAAGGACTGGGACAGCTCTGTGCTGGGAGATATTCCCCCGGGCGGTCTAGACGCCTTGAAACAGGGTCTTGCGGGCAAGGCAACGGCGCCTGGCACGCCGTCTGCGACCACGCCCAACCCGTTCATGCGGAAGCAGCAACAAGGGCCTCCTGGCGCTGTCCGTCCTCAACGAACGACGAAGAAGCGAGGCTATGGCGAGAACACTTATGAGGGCTATGGCGAGGGCTTCCCCGACGACGGCTACTCTACGGGAGACGGCGACGACAGGGGAGGCCAAAAACGTCGCAAGAAGGTTGGTAGTGCCGCAGCCCTGCCATTCATGTCTCTGTCTGACCCATTACAGGATGGCGGTAACGGCCAAGTATTCCCCAACGCGATGCGCCCGCAAGGTTACGGCGCCGTAGGCGCTTAACAGCCCTCCGCGTCTGCAAGGGCCAAGCATCGAAAGACACGCGAGTAGGGCTGAGCCGTATGTCACCCAAAGCCTGCCACTCTACAGTGCCATATTCCACCTGGTCGCTCTGAGCAATGGCTTTGGGGGCGTGTGTCGATGTTTCCTCACGAGAGTGACGAGCAGTACGGCGGGACCAAAAAAAATTGGGGATTCAGCGGTTGACGCGCACATGTGTCAAAAGAAGTACCGCTCCGAGGGTTACTGGGGGGTAAAAGGGCGGATGGGCATTCTGCTCTTTTTTTTAATGATTTTCCACTTACAGCACGGCGTTCGGGGGGTTATCTTTCATTTGGCTTTTGACCCGTTTCTTCTTACACACTTGTTGCTTGATCTTTACGCATTAAGTCAAGGTTGGCAATGAAAACATGACCGACTGAAGGATGGGAAAATACCACGCGGTTACGGGCATTCTCAAGGCTGCTACGAAAGGGGAGAGGAGAGGAGGAGATGACGGATGGATCACTGATTGTGTGTTTTTTTTCATTTTTCGCCACGACCGAACCAAACCATCATCGCCGGGACACGCAGGACAGCAAGAGAGCAGCAACAAAAAAAAATCACAATTCCCCCAACAAGGAGGAGGGGGGACAGACTTGGGTCGATGTAGCACTAACCATACAAACACAGACACACAAAGTAATTCAATAGAAAGCAAGGCCGTGAGATGCCGATACATCAGTTGATTGTGTTGATACTGCCGATGATGGTGTTGTTGATGTGATTGGTTGCCTAGTTGGTAGTCGTACCTGGACTGGTGAGCCGAGCCGCTCGCTTTTTGTGATTGAAACTTGTACTTTTTTTTTTTCTTTTCAGTTTTAGATGTCTCTGGCCTGTCTGGCTGTAGAGCTCCATCTGCCGAGAGTGCCTCCTACATAAGGAACTGCGTCCACCCTCTTTGTCTCTCGCTTCCCTCCCAGCTTGTACGTGACCTCCGTCCGACTCATGACATGTCCAGTATCGCCCTGACGCTGAGGTCGTCCTGGACCCATCCCACGATGCGCTCGCCCACGTCACCGATGAGCCCATCGTAGTGCGGCCCGGGAAGGAACAGCCCGCAGTGGGCGCCGACCTCGTCCATACCCTGCATGGTCACGGGCACCCACGTCTCGTCCTGACGGCCGTTGACCTTGCGAGGCAGCGTGCAGAACTTGCGTTCCTTCTTGGGCTTGCCCGGGTCCGGCGTTGCTGCTGGTGGTGCCGCCGCCGCCGCTTTGGACATCGAGGCGGAGGAGCTGGTGCCGCCGCCCGTCGATGAGGATGGCGCGGCGGCCGGCGGCCTATCTACCTGGGCCATGATCGAAGCCGGCGCTGCGACTGCGGCTGCGGCGATAACCGTTGCCGCAATGCGGGCTTCGGCCTCGGCGACACTTCCACTCTCAGGCTGCTTCTCGGCCTCAGCCTCGGGCTCGGGCTCAAGCGGTTCTCCTCTCAGTCTGCGAGCCTCCCTCTCCATCCGCCGGGCTTCCTCCGCCAGCCTGCGAGCCTCGCCCTCGGCCTGCGTCTCCTGTTTTTGGGCCTCTTTGGCCTCCTTCTTCTTGGTGGCCTCCTCTTCCTGCCTCCTCTTCTGCTCCTCCTTCTGCAGTCTCTGTTCCTCCTTCTCAATCCTCTGCGCCTCCTTCTGGGCTTCCTTCTCAGCCTTTTTACGTCGCTTCTCGACGAGCTTCTGGCGCTCCTTGATGGCCTTGTCCCGGGATTTGACGGCACTTTCGTAGGCCTTCTGTGCCCGCTTGCCCTCCTTCTCGGCCTGCTTCCGGGCGTCCTTGTCTGTATACCTATCCAGATCAGGGGGCGTCGGTTGTTCAGGCAGGTCGGGAATGGGAGGAAGTTCCGGCTCGTCCGTCATATCGCCCGTAGGGGGCGCCTCTTGATCTTCCCCTGTCTCGGAAGCGGCCGCGTTGCTCTGTACAGCTATGGTGGAAGGTTCAAGAGGAGTAGCATCATCGTCCAGCCTCTGCTTTTCCTTGCCCTTTGCTTCTGGCGCGTCTTGTAACTGGCCGCGTCGAAGTGCATTTGTTGACTTTGGGGTTTCCGTGGAATCGTGGTCAGACCTCGCCTGCTGTTCTTCCTGGAGCGTTGAAAGCTTCTCGTCCACGTCCTCCATCGGGATCGGCTCCAGGAGTTCCATGCTCTTCCCATCATCGGACTCTTCGACAGAAATTCTGGGCGTTGATACCGCGGCGGGCGATAGCTGAGAGCCAACCTCGAGAGTATTGATGGGGGCAGAGATGAACCTCTCCTCCGGAGACGCTGGAGATTCTGGCGACTTGTATGAGTCCGGCGTCTTTGGCTTCTTCGGCCTTCCCGTGCTGAGGGTGTAGTAGTTGACGAACCGCACCCTGGCGGGAGGCGGCTTGTTCACGTTGTTCCCGTAGTTGGCGCCGTCGCCCACGTGCTGCAGTGGGTCGACGCTCTCCATGGCGCGAAGTTTGTTGTATCGGGCGTTCAAGCCCGGGTAATCTGCCAGACAGCCGCCGTACTCGAGATGAGACATGACGTGGTTCTTGGTGGCGTCCCAGATTCCCTCGTGGCTGTGCTTCTTGGCGAAGTGGCCCAGACGCTTCATGAAGGAGCGGTCTTTTAAATTCAGGTCGTTGAAGAAAGGCGGATTGAAGTTGGGATCGGGTCGTTGCGGCGGTCCGTTCGAGGACAGAGATGGCGAGTTGCTTGGGTGAGGGGAGAGCTCGGCGCCCAAGGAGCTGTTTGTCTCCAGAGTGTACATGGACGGGTTGGGGCTGGTCATAGTTGAGTTGTTGGAACCCAAGTAGTTTGACGAGGCATCCAATTGGTCGTGCTTTTCCTCGGCTGGCGATGCCGGCCTGAACAAGCTCGAGATACCAGCCACGATGATACCGGGATGAAGCCCTAGGAACGGCGAATCAAGAGAAACAGTGCCAAGGATGCGGTGCTTATACGGCTGGCGCCTATAGGGGTGCCGGTTAGGCTGGGAACAAGATCAGTTTAGGTGGTCCGGGCATCACAGCCGGGTTAGGGATCGTACCATCATGGCAACCTCTCCTGCAAGCAAACCACCCATGGAGTGGCCGACGAGGATCACATCGGTAGAGTCGGACTCGTGGGGTTCCAGCCACTGGCTGAAGTTATCCCGAGCCACGTCGATGGCCTTGTAGGTCTTGTAACGGGGATAAATTTTGGAGTGGACAACGTGAGTCTCGGCCAGTGCCTCCTTCAGGTAATTGTGAACATGAGCTGGAAAGGAGCGGAACGACGACTCGTTGCCGTAGAATCCGTGAATGTAGATGACGAGCAAGGTTCGGCGGGTGACGCCATCGCGATCCTTTATGGACGGGGCAAGTGAGTGAGCCGAAGACGACCTAGGATCGGCCAGGCGCCACTTGGAGTCCAAGATCCGAAGGTGGTCGGGCGGTGACGAGGGGTAGCCCGAAGAAGGGCCGGCGTGAGACTCCCCGTGTGTGGCGTAGGCGGTAGTCGGGGGCGGCGCGAACAGGGACGAAGAGGTGGATCCAAAGTTACCGGAGCCGGAAGCGGAAGCGGAAGCGGAAGCGGTCACGGAGTAGGGCGGTGGTGGTGCGGCCGAAGACGAGGATCCGTCGTAGGAGTATCCGGCCATGACGTCAAATGTCAAAGGTCAAATCTTGAGGCGTACGAGGGGTGTGATGAGAGGGGTAAAGGTCGGGTTTGGGGGGGGAGGGGGGACGGGCAAGCGAGTGACTCCGCGTCGAGGCGACAAAGTATACTCAGAGTTGCAAGCCTCGGATGTGGTACATTAGAGGTAACGAAAGGATAGGTTTGGGTTGGCCAGGCATACAACGGACAGACGGGCCGTGTACAAAAAAATCTCGATCAGGAACCGATCATGGCCGACGAGGTATCGAGAAGGAAGCCTGTGGGTTTTGATATTTGCTGGTTGGGCCTGCTGGGAAATTCCACTGGTCCAGGCGAGTGTGATAAGCTAACCTTTTGCTGAGGTAGGGATAGAGCTATGGGATGAGTGGATGTAGTAAGCAAAGTCAAGCCTGGTGTGGAGCTTGCCATGCCTACACTAAAAGGGCGTGGTGTTGCGGCGCTGTACGAGTGCAGAATGCGCGGGAAAGGCCGAACGCGGGACGCTAGCGCTTGGGCTGCGCAGCGCTGCTGCGCCCTGTTTTCCAGGGGGACGTACGCGTACCTACCTACCTTAGTTACTTGAAGAACGAAGGTTCGCCTCGGGGCAAAGCGGATTCATAGGTACTCTAACGTACATTGTACCTATGGGGGAGTTATCCATGGATACTTTGGCCAGGAAAGGGTAAGAACCGCCCTCTACTTCTTCGCCCACACGGCCACTCATCGTACTGTATGTACCAGCCTCACAGGGACGCTCGCCCTGCACTTGCGTCAGTTAGCCACTACCGATTCTCGGCCGCGGCTCTACGTGCCGAAGATGAGAAGCGCCGCGCTGCCGTTGGCTTACGGTACTGGGGGGGATATGACGACACGCACTCTCTCCCTCTCTTTCTCTCCATCTCTCCATCTCTTTAGAGTGTTCGAAACAGGCGGTTGTCGCGGTCTTTCCAGCGACTCTTGTTCTTTCTCGGCTACCCACCGAGCACAACACGTGTATTGGTCCAGTTGCCATGACATGCCATTCGCAGGCCTTTGATCCTCCCAGAACCACAAAGCCAGGCACTGCACTGCCTCGAGGCTCATCTAGGACCTTAGTCACTGACACAGCCTGACGTAAACGCGACAGGGGTAGAGCCTGTCCCAGGCCGGGTTGGACGGGACTCTCAGCTGTGCCAGGCTCTGCAGACCTGGCGAGAGTTATTGTTCCACATATGGCCATCCGCCCCAGGTACGCTGTTGGGGCTTTCGACCAGATAGGAATTTGACCTTTGGGCATATTTAGCCCGCTGCTGCCAACATTTCGACTCAAGTGCTGGGGGGGGGTTATGCTGTACATGGCAAGCCACGGCAGCAGGGCCGTACAGGCACCTCGAACGCACTATCGCGGTCGTGTCGCCAAGAGATGCTCGTGCGACGATGCACGAGCTCTATCTGTGCTCTGATGAAACTAATGCGAACAGGTAAGCAAGCAAGCAAGCAAGCAACAACAGATGAGCGAAGTGTTTCTTATTGTTATTGCTCTGCGCCGGCACTTGATCCCGCGCCCTGCATCAATCGAAGCCGTCTCTGCGCCCTGGAATAGAGTATCAATCTCACGCTCTTTTGAATTCAATTTTAATGCATCTCCGACCCTGGGCGTTGGTTCCTCTGAAAATCCGGTTCGCTGACGTCGACTCCTGGTCGCGTCCCGTCGTCAATCGCGGCCCATTTCCCCAATCCCGGCAGGAGAGAGGGGAAGCCGGTGGGAGATTAGTGATTGGAATAGGGATCCCGGTGCCTTCGTTCAGTGTCTCGTCGCGTTGCATCGCTTTGCCTTGCGGCGTTGAACATCTAGCCCCGCCCACTCGAAAGACGGCCGGGATGTTTGTTCCCTGGTTACCCGTCGACCTTGTCTGCATCACGCCAAGGAACACAGAGCCACGGAAGACCAGATGGCACCGGCAGTTCTGTATAGGCTTAGCCGCGCCAGTCCCTCTCATCTCCTAACGAGTCGATGGGGGCGGGCCCGTCTCTGGGGAAAGCCCCGGAACTAGAGCGCGAGGGCATCGTGGAAGTGAGATGGCTAGCTGCCTGGCCTCGACAAGCACCACGCTAGGGGCTGGCACGGGGAGGGACGGCAGCCTTCCGTGTGCCTTGTGTTGTTGATACGAGCCTTTCCCGCCCGCCCAGAGTCCGTCGTCTTGGGGACGAAGGCCAGAACTGGTCGGCCATGACGGACTGCGCGTGTAGGACGGACACCGTGCGATATGGCCGGATACGTCTGTCAATATGCTCGATCGATGATACCCATGCTCTGTATGGATACCCAACGCCTACACAGCAATCTTAGCAGAACGATATCTCTCTGTCCCCTCCCCTAGACTGCCCAGGCTAAGTTGGCAGGCTTCTGCTCAGTCCCGCTCCACTCTGCGTCCGTCAGGGGGGTGTTAAGGGGAGAATTACGAATTACGTACAGTGCTGGGTCATTAGTTGTTGAACAGCAATAAGGGTCACATGATGCCGGTCTCACATAACCCAGGGCTAAGTAAATCGGTTATTATGATATTTTGGTGCAAGTTCCTTATAAGTGTGGACCGCACGGAGGAAGTCTAGCTGGTTGATTGGTCCTCATTATTGCTGTTCAAGTACTAATGACCCAGCACTGTAGGAGTATAGTCGTGGAGCGACACGAAACCTTGACGAGTGTGATCTTCTCCAACCTCCAAGCAGCATGTTCGCTCCGAGCTTAATGTCCGTTGAGTTGTCGTTAATAAATGTAAACCACTATAGGCATCCTGGAGTTTAGGGGCCTCCTGAGACGCACTAAAACAGCGTACGTGCCTCCCGAGCTGCCATCGCTAGTTACATATAGTACTACGTAAGGGTGACAGGGGTAAGTAAAATACCCCTATGATGTTACCCCCCATAACCGACATCATGATAGAGGGGGAATATTCACCAAAAGTGAAGTTCTGCAGTAAGGGGGGTGGACGTTAGTTACCTAACCGGGGTATTTAACTTCGACCTGGTACCATTGTATATGATAGTGCATATCGTACGCGACGGCCCCGATTGGTGATGCGGGACTAGGGCCGACCACATATACCGTGGGCTCGTCTTCAGAAAGACCCATTACCAACGAGGCAGTGAGCGCGGCGGCGGGGTTTGGAAAGAAGAGAATAGACGATGGGTGTCATCAGTCTCTTGCGTCACGAGAAAGCTCCCCTGTGAGGGCCGGGAGGAGAAATAAAGGGGGCACACGGAATGACAGAAGAATAGGACGGGGGTTCACAATGACGGGCAGGACAAGACAAGGGATCCCCGGTGTTTGTTTTGATGGAAACAAAATTCGTCCCATGATCGCCGGGCCCGCCAAGCCTTCACCTTGCTCCATCTAGCAGGGCCCCAACGGAGAGACAATGCGTGTGTCGGCCGCACGTACGCTAGGAGATATCAAGATCGAATCCCTCCGCTGGACCCGATTGCCAGCGTCAAGTAGACGTGTTTCTGTCGTATGGCCGCTGCAGCAGTTTATTGTTAATGAGACTGGTGTTCCGGCGCGCCAAACGTCCCTCTGACACCTCGAGGGTTCAGTTGTCCGCCCCGGGGTGGGTGACGTTGGAGCGGATTGGACGAGACTGCATGCAGCGACAGGCAATGTACAGTAGACTGCTAATTTCGTGTAAGTGCGGGTGCGGGTACGTGCCCTTACGAGCGTTTCTCCTCGTCGCGGTATACACTCGCTGTGCCCTGGATACTGACCTTAATGCATTGCAATATCATGCGTTTGGGGGGAAAGGGCCCGCCCGTTTCCTGTCTAGTCCAGCACGTTCGAAGGAAGAGCCCCACGTCCCCACGTCGACGAAATGGGCCCCTCCTCTGGAAAGACCCGGCCCGGGGACATGCCATAGATAGAAAATATGTAGGCACGACGGACGCACTGTATGCTGCACGGCAGATGCTGCACGGCAGATGCTCTCTGCCGCAAAGATATCAACAACCTCTTGCAGCCTGCACAAGGGTCCAACAAACAAGGTCAAAACAATTGGCCGTAGGCTTCTGGGCTATAAATACGAGGTGCCAAAGTTCGATGGCGCGAAACATTGAGGTGCTGGGTAACGCCATCTTTCCCGCCTAGTGTAGGTATAGTACGGATACTGCGGTTAAAACCCTTCGCTTCCCAGGCACAGGACAATAGGTATATTGTCCGTCGTTGAGACGAAGACCTGAGTGGGGGAACAGACCCGGATTTGGTCCAGGACGGCGACCGGTGGTACATTTAGCCAAGGTGATTAATGAGCGAGAGCATGCAGACAGACCGTTGCTGGCATGGCGAGACAACGCCAACTTGCTTGCTTCTGGTACCAAGTTGCTTATTTGTGTCTCTGGAGATGGGCGGCTCGTATATCGTATAGTTGGGGACCGGCTCGCAGCCCCCATGCCCATGCCTCGTGGGGCTGTTTTATCGTTCGAGGAGACTTGAGCCCTCGCCGAGGAAAGCCCACGAATGCACTATCGTGTCACATGGTTTGTTTTTCTGGTAGCGTCAAGGAATCCCGCCATGGTTCGTAGGGCCGATGGGGGTCATTTGGTCTGGACCTAGACTGTTGTGCTGGGTGAGCCAAGAAAGGACGTCAGTGTGCTGTGTATCCGTTTGAATTGGCTGCTCTTTGGCCAACAATGGAAGGAAGGGCGCAAAATGCATGCGCACTGAAATAGGCAGTGCGCAATGCAGGCCATTCCTGCCTGCCTACATGGGTCTCGCTGTGCTCCATGTTATTTACTAGGTGTGCATGTACCTGCCTGGGTAGGGTGGCTCTTAATCAGACCGGTTGCGGTTTTTTCTCTCTTTCGTTTCTTTCTTTCGTCCGATGTATCGTTTAATTTCGTCTCGTCTCGACTTGGTACTTCTCATTGTTCGAGATAGGTAGTATCCAGTTGGGCGCGGTTCACTCGGAGGGTTTTGCTTGGTTTTCGAAACTGTTCGTCCTCGTCCAGTCGTTGGCTCCCCCACTTCGGCACCTAGCAGCTGCAACCTTGACAATGGACTACCTATGTGAACATTTTCCAGCCTAGCGCTAGGCGTCCGTATCCAGCAAGGTGAGTCTCGGCTGGTAAGGCAAGGCAAGGAAAGCGTTAGACCTCCAGCCCAGGCACAGGCACAGGCACAGGCACAAGCACAAGCACCCCAGGGAAAAAATAGACACCGTTCCAACGAGGTGGGCACCTCTCTCCGCCCGTGATAGTGGACAGTGGATCTGCTCACTACCGTAGACACTGGCTAAATCCGCCTACCTCCACTTTGGAGGCTAACGGCAAGGGGTATCGCGGCCGCCGAAAAGCTAAGCCTATAATAGTAGGCGGTCAACCAGCCACCCACCCACCCATCCACCTACCCAGTCAGCCAGGCTTACACCTCAACTTCCTGCTGGCGCACGTGACTGCCCCTACTTTTGCCAGTATCTGATCTATGTTTCTGCCAGTAAGCTATACCTGTTACAGCAGCCGCTATGCCCCTTACCATTAGCCTCCAAAGTGGAGGTAGGCGGATTTAGCCAGTGTCTACGGTATAACCTCTGCGGGTCCCTGGTTGACCAATAGGACATGGCGTCAGCCGAAGCGAGATTATCGAAATCTTGCCATCTGCGAGTAACTGCCAAATGCCCACCCGCTCTGGGGGAAAGTCGACTGAGAGGGTGTCGAAGCGCTCATGCTGGTGGACCAGGTTGCTTGTTTCCCCTGCACTCTGTACCGAACCATGTCTCTCTGCTCTCGCTCTGCCGTTTCTAGAGTTGCTACCTTTCGGTCCCCGATGCTTATTATTATCATCGAGCCTGCTCACTCCGCCAGCCAAAGAGTCCTTGCCCTTCCTTCTCTCTTGCTTCCTCTTCCCCCCTCCAACCACCGGCAAACACGCGCGCGCCGCCATGCCATCGTCCTGATCCATCGGCCATGAGAACTGGCAGATGCAAGGGAGACAGGATCTCGCCCACCATCGACGAGAAACGGCTGAAACGACACATTACCGTCTGACTCCCTGGTTCGCCATTTTTATTCACTTTCCGCCCTTGGATCCAACAGACCAGCCCACCGCAGCCCATCCTCCCACACCCACACGGGAATCAGAGACCACCGGGAAAAGTGCAGGAACCAACGAGAACGAGAGCGTGAGGGGGACTTGTTCGCATTCGCGGCCCGCTGCAGGACACATCACACCACCTAGACGATGCCAGTTATCGACGCGCCTACATATGCTGTGAAGACATCAAGAATGGAATTCGAATAGATCGACAACTTTCCAACCAAGCACACTCGCTACCTCACCACACTCGCCGATCCAGCATCAGTCACTCGCTACCTTGTTCTATCTTTATCTGCTTCGCACGTAGCGAGCACCACTACCAACGGCTTGATTCGCCTCCCCCGGTTGATCCAACACGCGGAAAAGAAAAAAAAAAACCACCAACCAGACGGAGCCGGTAGCTCAGCCTCCAAGCACTACGCCACCCCATCCACGCAATGACTAAATCACCGCGCGGGCCTTCACTCCCTCAGGCCCGCTCCTACCACCACAATCATGACCATCTGCACAACAAACGCGCCGCCACTCCCGAGAATGCTCATCATCAGCATCGACAACTCGACGTTACCGCCCCCACCCCCGCCGACGCCCAACCCTCCACTACTCAGGGCCCAAAAACAGTCGTCGAGACCGTCTCCGTCATCGAAATAGTAGATGCCTCTGGGCACCCCGTCGAATTGCAAACTCTTGTACCAACGTCCGTCACCGTGGATGCCATCAGTGCCGCCCTTAACCCAGCTTCGGCGGAGCTTTCTCCATCGTCCATCGGCGACTCGGCCTCCCAGTCTCCCAGCATCTCGAGTGACGCAACTCTGTCGACACCAGCCGCGACGACGCCTTCATCGACGAGCTCTTCCGCAAGTCAGGGCACTTCCCTGACGTCCGATCCTTTGTCCACTACACCAGCACCCTCGGCGCTGGCCTCGTCACTCCACTCATCCTTGAGTGGCCAGTCGAACTCGACGATTTGTACGTCGCACCCTTGTCCCGCCGTTATTTTCTTCGTAGGATGAAGTAGCTGACCGACTCTAGCATTCCTTACCTCAACAAACTCCTCTTCAACGTCAGTCTCTACCACAACCACTTTATCGAGCCATCTTTCCTCTGGCACAACCAGCGTAACATCTTCAATACTTTCATCCTTCTCTTCAACATGGGACTCAGCTTCGGACTCGATATGGACGTCGAGCGGATTGAGCACCACTTCCACCCTTGCCACAAGTGCTTCGTCGACGTTGGATGCGACCGCCACGGGAACCGGAGCTGCTGGCATTATTGGCGGTGGAGGAGCCGCCCAACCGACGTCGCCACCTACCTCGTCAGGTGACTCCGGCAGCGACAGCGAGACTATGCCGACCGCAACCGTTGTAGGCAGCGTCGTTGGCAGCGTAGCCGGCGCGGCTTTTCTTGTGGTGTTGGTATTCCTTGCCCTTCGCTGGAAAAAGAGCTCAGGCACACGTCTCCGTCTGAGCGAGAGCAGTATGGGCAAGCGCGGTATCCTCACCGGCTCCGGCGGTCCGGAAGGTGGCGGCGGCGGCGGCGGCGGCGGCGGAATGATCCAGCGGTCCCTATCGTATGGCCGCAGTGCCGCTGCAGTTGGATTTGGCGCGGCAGCCGCAGCTAGGAAGCACTCGAGACGGGCCAGCGAACCCTCCGAAACCGGTGAACGGGGTTTCGTCCGCGTGTCTGGCAGGAAACTGCCCTCGGTACTGCAATCCGGCGGTGACGGTTACACGGACCCCCGCGAGGGTATTGCGGGTGTCGCACCTTTCGGCGGTGCCGCAAACGATGACGAATCGGTCTACTACCGCGACTCGCAAGCCTTCTTCGACCCCGGCGGTCCCGGCGCACAATCCCCGCGCCTCGCACTCGGCTCGCCCATGAGACCGGTGAGCGGCGTTGTGGTCTTCAAGGAGTCTCCGGCCCGGACACCGGTGACGGAGTCGGCCCCATTTGGGGATCCCAACGCCTCATTATCCCCGTCTCCGCCTCCGGCGCGGGACCCCATTGGCCGGACTATGCCGTCTCAGGACGGTTCTAGAGATTCTCGGGGCTCCGCCTCGAAGTTTCAAGAACAAATGTGAAGCTCTTTTTTATCTTTTCTTCTTTTTTACCACAGCCGGCGCCACTGTTGGCTTGGCCCACCTCGACGCGTATTGTACATTCTCACCATCTCGACGATAATTATTAGCACCTATTATGGAAGGGGGGGGGGCCTCTTCTTCTTTACCCGTTTACCTCTGCGACCCTACGACGACATATGGATTGGCGTTGAGATTTTTTTCTTCTCTCTTCTTTTTCTTCTGACACGTCCGATATGAGCCTGCGATCTGGTCGCGCGGAAGTGAGGCGAACCCTCACAATTAGGGGGAAGGGTCTGGGTTCAGATGTGGGCGTGACGGCTTTGGGCCGCAATGACATGGTCCGATGCAGCGAGACATTGAGTCGGACGGGGCGTTGGCTTGTATGTAGATAGGATTTGGCCTCGAAGGAGAGGGGGTTGACAAGAGGTAAATGCAGTCCAGACTACCTCTGGCCACGGCCAAGAAGGACGAAAAAAAGTCTATCTATCTTGCTGCTACGAATTACATCCTGGCCCAGTTTATGCGCAGGGCAACACCGTCGAAAGATTGGGCCCATGTGACGAAGCTTATTTCCTTCTGCCCGTTGCCTGACCGTGTGCTGTGGCCCGTCCGATCCCTTCGGCTGGGCGAAGTTGATGCCCACGTTAGAGAAGGGGGTTGGCCCGGAAGCGCGTCTGCTGGTGGAATTGGGGGATCTCTGGGGTGATGTGACGGCACGATCCAGACAGATGGACGGCCTTTTGACCTTCTCGTGCCTACGCGTGGTTGACGGGCGGCCTCCCGCAGGAACTTGTGTGATTTACGACATGCAACGCGATACCATACCCTGGCGTTGGGAATCGCGGAGAAGAGGGGGGGGGGGGGGGGGCCGATGGTGCCACCGTGGGCAGAGAAAGGAAAAGAGAGCATGGCTATAGTATTAACAATAAAAGTGCGCACGGACGAGCATGGGGAATCAGAGGAACAGGAGGAGGGGGCGCGCAGTCGGGCACATCGACTCCCGTCCAGTCGCCTGTAATCTCTGTCTCTCCCCCCTGCCTTGATCGAGAGAACGAGGCGGAGCGAAAACGGGAGAGATGGAGGGACTGGGCGCCGAGCCCGGCCGGAACCCAGGTAGAGGGCGAGTGATGATGATGACTTCTTGGGTATATCATGGTGTTGAGTTTCTTGAGACAGACATGAAACGGGGGTGGGTTGGTCAATCTTCCCTCTCTCCCAGGGTATTTTCCCCTTCGCCTTCCCTCCCCCTCCCCCCTCCTTCACATTCTCTCTGCTTGCTTGGTCGCTTGGACCCTTGCATGACAAATGCGCCCCCATTCCATGCGTGCTGCTACGCTCAGTCGTCTTGAGTTGTGTCTTGTGTGGGCTGTCGCTGTCATCGGCGTCTGCTCGACGCGGGTTCCAATTGAACCGGCCGCTCTCACCTTTTTTGGCGGTAGTAGAACCGGTCGGTTCAATCGGAACCCGCGTGGACGGACACAGGTATAGGCGAGGAGGTCCCCCCTCGTACGACGACGGCATGTAGTCCAAACCCACAGCCAACCGAGGCCAGGGGGGGGCTGCGCAGGCAGAGAGATATGCCAGGTGTTTATCGTTTGTTTAGACCGTCCCATCCTGCCGGCCTCTCGCTAACGACACGGGATGAAACATCCTTCTTCTTCTTCTTCTTCTTCTTCTTCTTCTTCTTCTCCTTTTTTTCTGTCCCCCCTTTCATTTGCCAGTCTGGGTTGCGGAGTTTGCTCAACGACGGGATCGGCGCGATTAGGGTGCCGTTCCATCTCGAGTACGGATACCTAGGGCTGATACCCGAGACGGCAGCAGCAGCCCCCTCCCTAAATCATCCACCATCTGCCGGTAGTTGTGGAATTTTTTTTATCTTTATTTTTTCAGTTGGGTGACGTGCCGACTTGGTAGGTGGAGGGTACCGATATGGTTACAGTCTTGGCATTTCACAGCTTCGCGGGCAAGCTCATCAGCCTGTCGCCGCGTGAACCTTTCTTTTCTTTTCCTCTGCTTACATGTCATGCGATGATGAATCCGCCATCCTTGGCCAAAGCTCATTAGAGTCAGGCTGGCTGCGTGGCACTGAGGGTAGGAAGGACCCCCCGTTCAAAGCCCCACCCTGCGGCGTACGGCGTGCGGTGTGCCTTATTCACACACAACAACCCAATCCGTCCGAAAATAGGCGAACGAACACGCAGGCATCAATGGCTATCATCTGCTCCCTCCCCCCATCCCCTCTCATCCTGGCCAGGGCCACCCTGCCAAGCGCGAGTCTTCGGGAAGTTTTTGTTTTATTTTATTTTATCTTTATTTTCCCTCTTTTCAGAGCGTCATCGCGGACCTCATCGGACCATATTGCAGCGGCCTCGGCGTAACTCAAAAGCCGGTGGGGGGAGGGGGCGGCGCGAGTCGAGGAGCCACGGTTCAGCTGTACATCCAACCTTGTGAGGGAGAAAGCTATGGTTAAACGAGCTGTGAGATGCGCGAGCTGGCCGATCCGCTCGACGTTGTCGTTGACACCGCGGATCTACAAGGAACTGCTGGCGACGGCGGGTTGAGAGGTTTCTCCTTCGTCCAAAGTGGAGCGGGTTTGTGGGATGCAGGTTTGAGAATGCCCCCGCCTTGTCTCCCTCGTTTTCGCCCTGCTCCTTCCTTCACTTTCCTCCCTCCGAGATATCCGTCTGCACCCGCATGCTCGGTTCTAACGGTCGAAACCCGTCTCCTCCCCCGGACGGGACGGCTGTCAGCCTCTCGCCGTGCTGTGCTGGACATGCAGAGAAACCTCGCGAAGACGCTGGGGGGGAAGACGTGGTAATGGGGCCTCTACCATAACTTCACACACGGGGGTACCACTGATGGGGTCATCACGTCAATAGCCGGCAATGCGTCCCACAAACTGACATTGTTTCCGGACAGGCTCAGGCCGGCGGGTCGGCATGCGCTTCTGCAGGTACTCGTCGGCGTTTCTCGGCCCCAGCTGGTTCAGGAGGAGGTTTAGGTAGGTACTCAAGTGGGCGAGTAAGAAGGAGGGGGGTTAGAGTGCGAGTGAAAAAGATACCGACAGACGGTGAGCCTGCACCTGTGCCTCATAACATCACGCAACCCTTGTCCCAGGGTCATCCCGTGCTCCGTTGCGCGCGAAACCGTCCGCGCCCGCAAAGGCTCGGTCATCAGAAGGGATGCGTGCCATGGGAGATAGAGAGAGAGAGAGAGAGAGAGAGCCTTCATGTCAGGCGGTGCCAAGGCGCCCCCAGTGTAGATGACCAAGTGCCCGTCTCGTGTTCCTGCAGCTCTGGATAACGACTCTCAGCGTTGCGCGCTTGGCTGATAGACGGTGTTGCGCGGCGGTGCGGATACGGACGTGGGGGAAGGAGTAGGTACGTTGGTGCAAAAGAAGGACCGGGGGGGGGGGGGGGGGGGGGGTGAAGGGGAGATTGATTAAGGTACGCACGCATACGTACGGCCAGCCGTACATTATTAGTTTACATGCGCTGCAGAAATGCGCCGCACGGCCGGGCAGATGGGGCCTGTCAAGCCGGTTTGGGTGACGTGATTCGCTGCGTGTCTCCCTCGCACAATGCTACCGTCCCAGGGTTGCAGACCTGGCAGAGTGAGGGTGTCCAGGGCCGCCGTTGTATTGGGTGGCTAGGAGGTGAGACAGGGAAAAAGTCCCGATATCAGGTAGACCGTACGGATAGACGACTGGTAGGCTGGCTAACCGATCCGGTGGGAAGGGTCGGGGTTATTGCGGACACCGAAGGTCGGAGAGGGAAACGCGGATAGCTGTATCCGTACGGCCGACATGGCAGCCCGAAGCTTCTTTGCTGTAATTAAAGGGGAGAGGCAGAGTGTGAGAGCAGGAGCGAAAGAGTTGTCCACCCAGGAGCAGTGGTTCGCCGTGCCTGTTTCTGAGGGAGGGAGGAAAAAGAAAGCCCTCCAGGATCTCACACCTCCCCCTCCCCCTCCAAATCCCCTTTACACCGCATGGTGGCTTTCGCGACGTCGTTCAAGTGCTGCCACATGATTCGTGATGAATCCCGTTGAGCAGCCACAAGAGGTACGCGGAAACGGTCGAAAGCTGGGAGTCGGGATGAGAACCCCATTTATAGTGACGGGTGGGAAACGATCGTGACTGGACGGGGATCATATGACCTCGCACGCCAATGACACACTACCGCAACCAAAAAACACAGGTGTGGAGGGGTGGATGGGGCCGAGGGCGGTCGAGATGTGTCAACGGCGACGGCATAGCATGGACTCATGGAGAGAGGGCGGCGACGCGGTGCAGCTGAAGGGGGGGGAGAAAGCTCCAAAATAGCAGCAACTGGCTTTTTGGGCAGACGGAAAACGTGGCAGAAGAAAAGCGAGCCGCAAGCTTACGCGATAGTAGACGAGACGATGCGGCAGCGCATGGTGAAGGCTATCCGCATTTTGTTCAAGACTGCGAGCTTACTTACCCCATCTCGCTTCCCGTCATCATCATGTGCATGCTCTCTTTCTCTCTCTCCCTCTCTCACAGCACCATCCCTGTTTCTCTACACTGGTGTAGTGTGAATGTTGTGTATTCGGTTTCTCTTTACGGTTTGCCTATTGGCGGTGGAGCCTGCGCCTCCACTCCTCCGGCCCGGCGCAACATCTAGGCCATGGGGTCCCCCTGTTCTTCCCTCCCCTCCTGCTCCCCCGTTTACCTTCCCTCAGTCCCTGTGTGAGTGCCCAAGCCCCCCCTCCCTCGGCTTAGTATAGTACCTTGCGCCCCCCCCCCCCCCCCCCCCCGCTGACCAATGCTGCTCCCAGGTATCACTGCAAGCACACTGACGGATCAGTCTGCAATTCTGTAACGTCTTCTGCCCCCTCCCCACGTCGTAGTTACGAGGAAATGCCCACCAGGGACGGGGTGTGTGTGTGTGAGAGAGAGAGAGAGAGAGAGAAAGGCAAGGTACCTTAACCTACCTACCTTAAATCTATTATGTGATACCGCCATGCTGCTACGGATGCTCTTTTGTCCATCGTCCTCCGTCCCAACATTTTTCTCTCTCTCCTTCTTTCTCTTCTTTTTTTTTATCTTTTTTTCTTTCCACCTTTTCCCTCCAAGATCTACCTCTCGGACGTCTGGACGTGATACTCCTCCCCTCCCCTTCGCTTTTTCATCTCCAGGTTGGAATACGTCTCTCTCCGCCTACCTACATCACCTTGCTCGTACCAACGCGGCTCAACCCCACGTCGGCAGTTGGAAAGTCACCCACGATACGATTGTCCGGAGCCGACCTTTTTCTCCCTCGCACACGCACACACACACACTTTCTCATTCTGCCTAGCTACCTGCGGCACCAGTTTAGACGAGGCAGCTCCACCAGAAAGAGCCTAGACCAGATCCCAAAAAGAAGAGCTTCGGGCTCTCGCGCATTCCTGATTTGCCGCACTAGCTTACGGATACACATCCACACACGGCGTTAAGAAGGCACCACAAGCCACCGCCTTTACCGAGCGAATGACAGCAGCCATCCCGCCGCCGCCACGCTAGCTATTCACTACCAGCTCGCTCTGCTTGCAAATACAGTGACAGATCGACTCGTTTTAGGTCCCTCTTTTTTTTCCATCTGTTTTGCATCCATCGCCAGTCTTTCCGCTTCCAATCTTTTCCCGATCTCTGGCCGCGCCCAACGCTCTATCGCCGCTCTCACGACCGAACCCTCCTGCGACGCAAAAACCTTGTCCGTGCGCTTCGGTCTTTCCTCGCCTTTTAGTGTGTTTCCCCCGGCCATACCACCGCCTGCCTCGGTCCCACGAGATCGATTCTCGGTCAGTACCGGACCAATCTGTCCAGAATGGATCATATGGGCTTTCAGATGCCTCACATGGCGGGCCCGCCCCCCATGATGAACCAGCCGCCGCAGATCTTTGGAGCCTACACCCCCGACGGCATGCCCGTTCAGCACATGCCTCCCGATCTCGCCGCCCACATGTTTGGGGACCCCTCAACGCTGCTTGACGATGCCAACGAGGCAAAGAGGAGAAGAATCGCGAGGGTAAGTGGCCACATAGACGTTCCCTGACCTCTGGGCGGCTCCCGGCGAAAAGAGTAGAATGCTTACGCCTCCTACGCGCAGGCTTGTGACATGTGTAGGAAGAAGAAGATCAAGTGCGACGGCAAGCTGCCCGCCTGCAGCCACTGCATAAACTACAAGACGGACTGTGTCTTCACCCAGGTAGAAAAGAAGCGCAACCCACCTAAAGGGTACGCCGGATTTGCAAATGCTCCATCCGTTTCCGCGTCATCCGACTAACAGACTGCCAGTGCCAAGTATATTGAAGGACTCGAGAATCGACTCGGACGCATGGAAAACCTCCTGAGGCTCTCAGGTTTGCACTAACAGCCGTGTAACACCCCCGACATTGGCTAACCCGTCACGCAGGTCTCCTCAGTGAAGACGATGATGGTGACACGGATCTCGGTACCCTCGAGAAGCGCTTAGCGGAGAAGCAACAGCAGTCGAGACAGGCCTCTCAGGCTTTTTCTAACCCGACCTCGCCGTCGCAGACAACGTCAGGGCAAAACGACCGCACGGCAACGCCGCATAGTGGCGCAGAATCGCCCGAGTCAACCAAGGATTCCCACAAAGAAGCCAAGGACGGCGACAAGCACATGGCCACGGTGTCCGAAGAGAAGGGCAACGAGGAGGAGGTCGAGGCACTATCCGAGCTCATGTGCTCTCTGGTTACGAACCAGAGTGGCGAGACTCGCTACTTCGGCTCCTCCTCCGGGTTTTCCATCTTTTCTCCCAAGGGAATCGAGTGGGTAAACGAGAAGACGGGCGACAACTCATTCCAGCAGATGATTTCAGAGGTCTCGCTTGACGATCACAAGTGGACTGCCTGGAAGCCCGAGGTCTTTAGTGATCTCTTCCGCCGGCCCATCTTCAGGCCTCTGCCTCCCAAGGTCGAGGCGCTGTCTCTGCTCAAGGACTTCTTCGAGAACTTCAACTGCATGTTCCCCTTGTTCCACCAACCTACCTTCATGCATCTGGTCGAGCGGCAATACTCGGACGACCCTTATGAGGGCACCGGATGGTGGGCGAGTTTGAACTGTGCCTTGGCCATCGCCCATCGCCTGCGCGTCATGAGCAACCTCGTGCCGCAAGAGGAGGACGACAAGGCTTGGGGATACATCAAGAACGCCCTGGGAACCTTTGCCGAGCTGACGATGCGTAACACTGACTTGCTAAGCGTGCAAGCCCTGCTCGGGATGGCGCTCTTCATGCAGGGAACCCCCAATCCCCAGCCCACCGTCCTACTCGTCGCCACGGCCATCCGGCTCGCCCACACCATCGGCTTACACAAGCGAGGAACGGGTTTCAACCTCAACCCCATCGAAATCGAGCAGCGGAAGCGGGTTTTCTGGATCGCGTACATGCTGGACAAGGACCTGTGTCTTCGGGCGGGTAGGCCGCCGGCGCAGGACGACGACGACCTGAGCGTGGAACTGCCCGACGCCGACCCCGAAGATAATATTGGCAACATCCCGTTGGCTGATGGCAAGGGCAAGATGAACCTGTTTAGGGTCATGTGCGAATTTGCGACCATCGAGAGCAAGGTATACTCCCGACTCTACTCGACAAAGGCCACTAAGCAGTCGAACGGGGAGCTCCTGAACACCATTGGAGAGCTTGACCAAGAACTCGAGGAATGGAAGGACAGGATTCCGATTGACTTCAGACCGGAGCACGAGATCAAGGCGTCGCACACGCCCCTCATCTTGCACGTGGTCATGCTTCACCTGACCTACTACAACTGTCTGACGACGATCCATCGCATGTCGGTCCACCACGGCTACTGGACAAGTCGACTGTCCAACTATGCCATCCAGGGGCTCAACGCCAAGCCCCTGAACCCGCGTGTCTTCTCCTCTGCGGCTCTTTGTACTGCTGCTGCCAGAGCATCGATTTCGCTTCTGAAGTACATGCCGCAAGGGGACTCTCCGAGTGTGTGGTACGTGCATCACTCTCCCTTGTTCACCAAGAGAGGCCGAGACTAACTTTACTCGACAGGTTGATCTTATACTTCCCAGTGTCGGCGTTGATGACGCTATTCGGAAACATCCTACAAAATCCCCTGGACCCTAGGGCAAAATCCGACACGAGGTTGATGAATTTGGTCGTCAACTACTTGTCAATGCTTGGGCAGGAAGCCGAAACGGGTGGTGTTCATCGCATGCTGGGTGTTTGTTCAGAATTCGAGAGGGTAGCCAAGCTCGTCATCGAGAAGGCGGAGAGGGAGCAGTCCTCGCGCAGGAAACGAAAGAGTGACGCCGGTATAAAGACGACAAGCCCAGCCGCGACGACTCACACCCCTCGACCGACTGCCATAACAACGCCAAAACCTCACAACATGCACGCGGCGGGCACGCCTTTGGTGACAAATGGCCAGCTGTCACCGGATTTCAACGGCGACGCCAACCGCCGGAGGCACGCCTTCAGCCCCATGCAGACAACGTCGATGCGGGAACCATCACCCGCTCTGCCATCCGCCGGGTGGCCGCAGGAGTTCAACATTCCCGACCAGGCAAGCTTTGGCAACTACGCAGAGATGCAAGGTATCGCAGGATCCAACAACCCGCGCTCACCTCAAGCGCACATGGGCGCACCGTTCCAGCAACCCCTTTTGCCTCAAGACTTGTTCTCGCTTCCCATGACGCTGGACTGGGACTGGGCCGAGATGAGTGGTGGCGCGTACCCGACTGTGGAGAACGGTAACGTTGGTTGAGGCACGACTGTATCTACGAGTGTTGAGGCGCGAGATGCTGGGCAGATTCGGTGTCGGATGTCGCGATGCATTCATTGGACAGGGTCGAGGCTATATAATGTGCATACGAGACGAAATCACGACATTTTCACGCATGTATGAGTAATTGGCCTGCTTGAGGCGGGAAGCTAGTATAACGGCCCTAGAGCCCAGAGACGGATCGGCGCGCGATGTCAGGTACTGCTTGCCATAGAGTGGTGGAATACGTGTACAACAGATTAAAATAAACATTGGGTGACTGGGTGAGTCCTTTACTAAGTACCGCTTTCTACAATAAAAGTGAGGAACCGATATAACTGCAAAAGAGTATGCACATTTGGAATCGGTCGGATGAGTTTCTCAGCTGAGAGCAGATCCCACCAAACTCGCCGTGGTGAGAGCGTGCGTAAGATAGACAGCAGCCTAAAGTACGACGGAACCCAGGTGGACACACCCCAGACTCTATCTAGGTCGATTCGTGGAATACAAGTGTCATTCATTCGGAGTTTACGGAGCATTTGGGGGGGCCAGAGCGGTAAGTAAGCGCGGGTGGAGTTCCATGCCTTCATACCTGTCATGGACTCTCTGGCGGAGTTAGGCGGTCACGTGCGCCCACTAAAATCTCGGCTGGCGGCCATAGGGCCCGACATGAACTCATCACTATGGGAGCTTTTGCCATCGTCTCCGGGAAAGCCTGGTCCCATTACCAACCACAGTCTGTACGAACCTTCCACCACCAACCGCTGCAATCTCACTGCGGCCGGTGCTCTTCGTCGCTACCGGAACCCCATTGACTATTCCCCCCTTACCGTTTCCCGACCACTGTTCAAACAACCGGCAGCGCGCATCAATGAGATAGCACATCGCCACACGCGGTGAACACTACTCTTACTCGGCTCCGGTCGTCCCGCCTCGTCACCCCACGACGCACACAAGACACACAATGGCGAGGTTCCTACGCCAGTCGGCGCAGCTCTCGCGGGCCGTCAGGCTCGCGCAGCAGCCCATCACACGAATGCGATTCCAGCCGTCGAGAATAGCACGAGCCGGCCCGCAAGCTCCGCTAGCTTGCTATCGATCGCGGCTCTACTCGACCAAAGGCCCCGAACCCCCGAAGAAGAATCAAAAAAAAACCAGCGAGAAGAAGCCCGAGGGGAGGCAGAACCCGACCAAACCCCAGCTGTCAAAGGAGGAGCAAATACGGAAGGACTGGCCGCTGCCCGAGGGATGGGTGTACCTCAACGAGGAGGAGCTCGGGCTGTTGCTCAAGATGGCCGAGAACGACAGGCTGCCCAAGTTCCAGAAGGAGTTCTTCATCAAGAGCGTGGACGAGATGAAGCTGCTCGGGGCCCCTAAGGACCTGCGGGACCTCCTGGCCTCGCTCAAGGAGCGCAAGCTGAAGATGACGGTCGGCGACATCGCCAAGATCCTCCGCGTCTCGACGCAGGTCGCAAAGAGGTTCGCCGATTACGAATCGACGGTGCTGATGCGCGAGCAGCAGGACGAAGGGAAGAAGGACGGCGCCAAGGACTCGCAGCAGCAGGAGGGACGCAGCAATCAGGAGGGCGGCGAAGGCGGGGCCGGCGGGCCCGGCAGCAAGAAATGGATCTTTGGCATTTTCAGCACCGGCGACCTGCTCATGGCCGCCCTCGTCTGGGTCGTCATTCTGCCGTTATTTGAGTCGATGTTCTTCGGCCAGGAGAAAGAGATCACATGGCAGGAGCTGCGGAGGAACTTCTTGGACAAGGGCCTGGTCAACAAGCTCGTAGTCATCAAGAACCCCGGCCGCGTCCGCGTCGAGCTGAACCGCGATGGGGTGAAGTCCGTCTACGGCGGAAACGAGGGCATCAACCCCAACGTCCAGTACTACTTCTCCATCGGTTCGGTCGAGATGTTCGAGAAGCAGCTCGAGGACGCCCAGAACGAGCTCGGCATCCCCCCCGCAGAGCGCATCCCTGTCAGCTACGCCAGCGAAGGCGGCATCATGCCCCTCGTCTACGCCTTTGGTCCCACTCTCCTCCTGGTCGGTCTTCTCTACTACACCACGAAGCAGATGGGTGGCCGCGGAGGCAACCAGATGTTCGGTTTCGGCAAGAGCAGGGCCAAGAGGTTCAACCACGAGACGGCGATCAAGGTCAAGTTCAGCGACGTTGCCGGCATGGACGAGGCCAAGGCGGAGATTATGGAGTTTGTCAGCTTCCTCAAGACCCCGGAGCGCTTCGAGAGGTTGGGCGCCAAGATCCCCCGCGGTGCTATCCTGGCTGGCCCTCCCGGAACTGGTAAGACGCTGCTCGCCAAGGCCACGGCCGGCGAGTCCGGTGTGCCCTTCTTCAGCGTGAGCGGCTCCGAGTTCGTAGAGATGTTCGTCGGTGTCGGTCCCTCCAGAGTCCGCGACCTGTTCGCGACGGCGCGGAAGAACGCGCCTTGCATCATCTTCATTGACGAGATCGACGCCATCGGCCGGTCGAGACAGGAGGGCAACCGCATGGGCGGCAACGACGAGCGCGAGGCCACGCTGAACCAGATCCTCACCGAGATGGACGGCTTCAACACCCAGGAGCAGGTGGTTGTGCTCGCGGGCACCAACCGAGCCGACATCCTCGACAAGGCCCTGATGCGTCCCGGCCGTTTTGACAGGCACATTTTCATCGACCGTCCGACCATGAAGGGTCGCCAGGACATCTTCAAGGTGCACCTCGCCAAGATCGTCACCAAGGAGGACATGGACCACCTCACCGGCCGCCTGGCCACACTGACCCCTGGCTTCTCTGGTGCCGACATCGCGAACGCCGTCAACGAGGCTGCTCTGGTTGGTAAGCTTTTCCGCCGAACACTCCCGCTACCGGAGACCGTGCTAACCTCATCGCAGCCGCCCGTGCCAACGCCGAAACTGTGGAGATGATCCACTTTGAGCAGGCCATTGAGCGTGTCATCGGAGGTCTCGAGCGCAAGTCCCTCGTCCTTAACCCCGAGGAGAAGAAGACGGTGGCCTACCACGAGGCCGGCCACGCCATCTGCGGCTGGTACCTCAAATACGCCGACCCGCTCCTCAAGGTGTCCATCATCCCCCGCGGACAAGGTGCATTGGGTTACGCCCAATACCTGCCCCAGGGAGACGCCTACCTCATGACGGTCCAGCAGCTGATGGACCGCATGGCCATGACGCTGGGTGGGCGCATCTCGGAGGAGCTGCACTTCCCGACCGTCACGACGGGCGCCAGTGACGACTTCCGCAAGGTCACCCAGATGGCCCGCAAGATGGTCACCCAGTGGGGCATGTCGGAGAAGGTCGGCCCGCTGCACTTTGACGACGACCCCAACACGCTGCAGAAGCCCTTTGCCGAGGCGACGGCGCAGGCCATCGACGCCGAGGTGTACAGGATCGTGGACGAGGCGTACAAGCAGTGCAAAGACCTGCTGACGGAGAAGAAGACCGAGGTCGGCCTCGTGGCCGAGGAGCTGCTGAAGAAGGAGATGCTGACGCGCGACGACCTGGTCCGCCTGCTGGGGCCCAGGCCTTTCGGCGACAACCAGGAGTTTGAGAAGTACTTTGGCGGCCAGGGACAGAAGAGCGCGCCGCCGCCGTTCCCCGCCGAGGAGCTCGACAACCCCCCCGAGCAGCCCCCCGCCCCCCCGGCGCCAACGTTCAAGAGCCTCGACGACGCGCCGAGGAGATGAGACGATGGACGAGGAGCTTACGGACGGCGTACGGTTTCGAAGATGTTGAAAGGGAATGTTTTATTTATACTCTGGCTTCCTCCCCTCCCTACCACCCCCCGCTGAACGAGGTTAATCGCACAAGAGGGCCGGCATTCCCACACAAAAAACAATAAGACTCGTACCGCAGCGCCGGCCAGTTGTATTTTTGTTTTCCCGGCCCCTGTTTCTTTTCCCCCTCCTTCCCCAATATCCTCTTTCCCCTCAAAAACAAAAACAAATGCTCTCTCAACTCTGCTTTCTATTCCCCCCCATGGCGGTTGTGTTTGACTAGTAGAGGCATCCCCACCATCGGCGCGGGCCGGAGTAGACTGGGGGGGGGTTGGCTTGAATTCTGTACTTGTAGGAACTGTAGATACATCTCTCTTTATCTTTGGGTGTCTCTCTCGCCATGGAAGAAATGAGAGTGAGTAGGAAGGGACAAAAAATATATACCGAATGCCCTTTGCAGAAGGGGGATCAAAATGATTGACTAGGGCAAACTCGCGGTTGCTGCGGTGGTGGCCATGTGTCTGCGTGTTGTAATAGTGATGATCGCTCATTGTGTAATTTGGCGTGGTTGAGAGGAGCAACAGTCATTGATGGTAAGGTAAGTCTTTGTCTCATATCGTTCTCGATCGCTTGCTTGGCACATCATCTGCAAATAGTCTAGACATCAAGGGCCAAAGAGCCTGGGGTCTCCTTTTCCCAAATTTCTTCATTTTGCCCGATGATTCACCGACACGCCAGCGTAGCCCCCCGCCCCGGCCAACACGTCGGCCGTCTTACATCTCAATGACTAGCGGTATGTGCGTGTCATCCGTCCGTGTGAATGAAGTCTGTGAGTCCATTGCCGCCCGAGGACGTCAGACGACAGACTCGATGCGACCAGATCTCGCAGCGTCGCGTGAGAATGGTCATTATGGAACCCGGATCGGGACGTTCGACAGGATACGGGGGAAAGAGAGAAAGAAAGAAAAAAGCCGCGCAACTCGAAAGCTTGCTCTTCTCTCTGCCCAAGCAGAATTCTCGCGAGGCGCGGCCATTGGTTCCGTCCGGGTTGCCCGGCGCTCCGAGACCGGGGCTAGACCGGGAGGGAAAGCGGCTGAATGGTGGCTGCGTGGCCATTACGTAGCTGGGAGGTTCTCTCCCCATTGCGTTGGAGGCAACTTACTGCACGTGGCGGCTCTAAGGCATCGGCTGGCGGCTGCTGACTCAATGAAGTGACGGTAGCAGAGTGGCAAGCGGGCGACGACGGGATGGCTTTGAGGGGGGGGGGGGAGAAACCTCCCGCCGACGCTGTGTTTCCCTCGTGCCGCGCATGATGCGACTGTTCAAGCCGGAAACCTCCCGTGTATCGCGGTTTACCTGTCTCAAGATTAAACACCATCCGTAGTGGAGAAAGAGAGAGAGAACAAAGAAGGTCCAGCCAGACGGGGCCTTGTCTTGACTTGTCGTCCTTTCGAGCCAAATTTCGATTGGGTATTTGCATCGAAGAATTCCCCGTCAAGCTTCGCCTTCCCCTGCCATTTCCCTGCCAGTTCCCCACACCGCTCTTCCCTCCTTCCTCCGATACCCTCTCGACCATACCTACCTAGCCCCCCCAGTCCACTCTCCCCCGAGCCGGGACTACCTACCCAGCGTTTTTCCCTCCGTCATTGGGAGGAACCTTGTGGTCAATCAGGAACTCGATCTACAACTCTTAAATACGATCGCGGCCCGCCACTTGGGGAGGGGAGGGAAAAGAGCCAAGCAGGAGTTCCTTTTCGCAGCGTTGTATATTTGCCGCCGGTCATCGATTTGTTTTCGATAGTTAGACCTTCGTGGTTTTTTGCCGACATGATCGCACATTGTTCTCTACTCGCGTATCAGTAAAGTTGTTTTCCCCCCCAGTTGTTTTTGTTGCTTTTAGTCGTTGCGCGTCGACACTCTTGTCGCATTACGGAAGCATCCGCGATACTTTTGGTCCTGTTGCCGTTGCCGGAAGTAACGCCCAGACAGGAGGGCGACGGTCCGGATATCAATATACCCTCCCTCTCCCGCTCTGAACGACTCCGTCTTCCGGCCCGACGACGACCATGGCTCCCGACCCCGATGACAAGACAGTCCTGCCGGCGCGCCGCTCTTCACCCGGCAGCCTTGACGCCACCCGGGCCGACGCCGACGCCAACGGCACCGGCTTCGCCCGCAGTGCCCGTTCCCGCGGCGCCGGCTGGTGGAAGGTGAAGCTGTTCCGCGGCATGGTCAACGACGTACGCCGCCGAGCCCCCTTTTACGTCAGTGATTGGATCGACGCCTGGGACTATCGTGTGGTGCCGGCTACGGTCTACATGTATTTCGCAAAGTACGTAGTCTTGTCGTCTTCCGTTCCATGCTATGGTGTAACTGCCATCCATGATGCCGGCCCCTAACTTGTCGTCTGTTGACTACCCCCTTTTCGGGTCCCATCGTCGCCGCTTGCTGTCCGTGTACAAGCTACGTCGAGCAAAGGCGGCCGGCTAACGTGTCCGTCTCCCAGCATTCTACCGGCGTTGGCCTTTTCTCTCGACATGTTCACGAGCACCGGCTCGACGTACGGCGTCAACGAGGTCCTGCTGGCCTCTGTCCTCGGCGCCGTGGTCTTCTCCCTGCTGGCGTGCCAGCCCCTGGTCATTGTCGGCGTCACCGGCCCCATCACCGTCTTCAACTATACCGTGTACGACATCGTCAAGCCGACCGGCATCAACTACCTCGCTTTCATGTGTTGGATCGGGCTGTACGTGCCAGCCCCCTTGACTCCCCCTTAACGAAGCGTCCACTGACACGGAAACCCTAGGTGGTCCCTGGTGTTCCACTGGATTCTGGCCATAACCAACTCGTGCAATTGGCTACGCTACGTGACGCGGTTTCCCTGCGACATCTTTGGCTTCTACGTCGCCTTCATCTACCTCCAAAAGGGCATCCAGGTGCTCGAAAGGCTGGGCGACGCCGAACCCTTCTACCTCTCCATCATCGCCTCGCTGCTCGTCTTCATGGTCGCCTACGCCTGCGCCGGGCTCGGCGGCAGCAGCCTGTTCCACCACCACGTGCGCGTCTTCCTCAAGGACTACGGCACTCCCCTGACTCTCATCTTCTTCACCGGCTTCGTCCACATTGGCAGGATGGAACCCGTCCATCTGGAGGTGCTCCCGACCGGCATCGCCTTCATGCCGACGACCGACAGGAGCTGGCTTGTTCACTTTTGGGATATCAACGTCGGAGACGTCTTTCTGGCAATTCCATTCGCCATTCTGCTGACCATCCTCTTCTGGTTCGACCACAATGGTAAAAAGACCCCGCTGCGAATCCACACGAGGACATCACACTGATACGGGCGCACACAGTCTCCTCCCTCATCGCGCAGGGGACCGAGTTCCCGCTGAAGAAGCCGGCCGGGTTCCACTGGGACCTTTTCCTGCTCGGCCTGACGACTGGCGTCGCCGGCATCCTGGGCCTCCCTTTCCCCAACGGCCTCATCCCGCAGGCCCCGTTCCACACCGAGTCCCTGACGGTCAAGACGTCGCACGCCGAGACAGACGAGAAGGGCGAGTTCAAGGGCAGCCACGCGACCAAGGCCTCGCACGTCGTCGAGCAGCGCGTCTCGAACCTGGCCCAGGGCCTCCTCACGCTCGGCACCATGACAGGGCCCCTCCTTGCCGTCGTGCACCTGATCCCCCACGGCGTGCTGGCCGGCCTCTTCTTCGTCATGGGCGTCCAGGCGCTCGGGGGAAACGGCATCACGCTCAAGATCCTCTTCCTCCTGCGCGACAGGGCGCTGACCCCGCCGGGCCACCCGCTGAAGCGGATCCGCCGCCGGGCCGTCTTGGCCTTCGTCGCCGTCGAGCTCGTCGGGTTCGGCGCCACCTTCACCATCACCCAGACCGTCGCCGCCGTCGGCTTCCCCGTCTTCATCATGCTCCTCATCCCCGTCCGCGCCTGGCTGCTGCCGCGGTGGTTCTCGCCCGAGGAGCTCGGCGCGCTGGACGAGCCCACAGCGTCGCCCTTCACGATGGAGGGCATCGGCGGGGCCTACGGCGGGGCGGACGCGGGCGACGACTCGGACGGCACGCAGGTGTCCGGCTACGGCGACGGCGTCCTTGCGTCGGCTGCTGATGCTGCTGCTGCGCCGGTGAGGAGCCGGGATGATGCGGCGGAGCTGGGGCAGTCTCGGAGCGTGGAGAGCGCGGGCCGGACCACGCGAAGAGAGGGGCACGCCGCCACGGCTGACTGATGCCAGTGCTGAGGAGGTGTTGCATAGGTACATATATATGCCGATAGGTGGTATATTCAATACGTAAATAGGTGGTATGGCAGTAGTATACAGCGGCATAGACCGAACACGAGCATTTCATACAATATCACGTTGCTATCACAAGCACTCCATCAGCATCGGTCGCCTTCATCTCTCTCCCCGTATGCTGGACAAGGCGCTTCACTCGAAGCGCCGTTTCGAGATATGCTAGCTTGGGGACGGCGATCACACCCATTCGTTGGTTGTGTCGTGTAAGTCTGCGCATTTGTAGACTGCCCAGGGCAATCGATTTCATCTGCGATCCCTCCTGGCTGGTCTTAAGCCCTCGGCTTTCTAATTGGTATATATAGCTAGACCCATCCATATTTTCTTTTCAATTTCCTCGCCACCTTGGTCGCTTTTTGATAGCCGACTCTTCGTTCTGGCAGGAGTGGAACCATTCACTTAGTACCGAGTGTATGTCCATTATCCAAGGGACCTCTTGCCAAAGGTCCGGCATTCGAACTGTGTGAACCGATGCCCATTTCCAATGAGAGTTCTCTGTATGCTGCATTTGAACAAGTGGGAAGCTAGGTTTGAGAGCCGGCGTGATTGGAACTTGGCCGCAAACCCGAATCACTGTTTTCTTGGGGCCTGGTCAGCCACCAACAGCAGCCGGCGCATAACAACGCGCGCGAGGGGCTATGATATGTGTCTGCTTGGTTTTGGAGTTGAATTCTACTCCTCTTCGGATGACTCCGACGCATATGCGATACAATCCTTCTCAAACCATTCTCGTTCACAGTTGGTCTAGGCGTAAATACATTGCTGTCCTGTCCTATGACTGGGTCTTAGCTGCCGGAGGATGGCCTTAAGGCTCTTAGCGAGCCCTTTTCAACTCCTCTTTCCAAGCCGAAAGGTCGGAGATGGTGGCAACTGTCTCTGGATGGTTCGGACCAAGACATTTCTGCCTGAGGCGTACGCAGTCCTCCATCAGCGTCAAGGCGTCGTCCCATCGCCCTTGGCCTTTCCATGTGTGTGCCAGGTTGCTCATACTGACGAGCGTATTGGGATGTTCCTCGCCAAGCACCCTCTTTTCTATCTCTATCACCCTCAGCAGTAGCTCTTCTGCCTTGTCCCACCGACGCTGAATGATATAAGTTGACGCTAGGTTGTTCATACTAGTTAGTGTGCTGTGATGCTCCTCGCCAAGCACCCTCTTTCTTATCTCTATCACCCTCATCTTTAGCTCTTCTGCCTCCCCCCACCGACTCTGGCGGTGATATATCGACGCTAGGTTATTCATACTAGTTAGTGTACTGTGATTCTCCTCGCCAAGCACCCTCTTTCTTGTCTCTAGCACCATCACCTGTAAGTCTTCTGCCTCCTTCAGCCGACCCTGGCTCTGGTATGTTGACGCTAGGTTGTGTATAGTGACCAGCGTATCGGGATGCTCCTCGCCGAGCATCATCTTTTCTGTCTCTAGCACCTTCAACCATAGCTCTTCTGCCTCCTCCCACCGACCCTGATTCCAATAAGTCATCGCTAGGCTGTTTATACTGCTCAACGTGTAAGGATGGTAGTTCCCCAACCGTCCTTCAAGCAGCTTTATAGATTCGGATGCATTCTGCTCAGCATCTTTCCATCGACCCACATACGTCAAGTAGGCGCTGATACAGTGCAATAGTTTTGGTCTCCAAATATTGCTTTCCTGAAAATCGGATGCTTTGATTCGGAGCAGGGCGTTGGCGTGCGGAAGGTAATCCCGGCAAAGATGGCGATTTTCGTGGACATTATGCGGGTATGCGTATGACAAAACGTCAAGAGCTTGATCCACATACTGGGCCAATCTGCCGTGGTTTTCGAGCCATTTCCGAGTGACTAGCTGCACCAGCCGATGCATGTCGATGGCGTGGTCTTTTGCCCCAGACACAAATGAGAAGGCCTTCAGTGTGCCCAAAGCCTTTGTGACTTTGGATGTGCTGACACCTTCCCCTGACTTCTTGTTACAGAAGTCGACTATGAACTTCTCAGGGACTGCTTGGCGGTCCAGGAGGCTGGCGAACGACAGGATGTCGCTGGCAAGGGCGTCCTGGCGCTGGATTTGGTTGAACGATATGATCCATGTAGCCGTGAGTGCGTGTGGCGTTTCCGAGTCTCTGCCCACTGCTTCAAAAGGTTCGCTCAGCTGATCCACTAAGCCGTCGTCGCCTTCCTCCAGGAGTTCGAGGTACTGGGAAACTGGAATGCTGTTCTCTTGCATGAATGCGGCAGCCTGCGCAAGAGCTAGCGGCAGATGCTCCAGCTGAGAAGAGAGAGTTGCCAACTCCTCAGCAGAAACCTCGTCTTCGTCGTCGAGTATTTGGTGTATGAGCCGTTGTGCCTCGCTCTCACTCATCGCTCCTATTTCGATGAGTGATTTCCCGCGCACAATCTTTGACGCCACTTGCTTGTTCCTCGTCGTGACGAGGACGCACCCGTGGGCACACTCAGGGACGTAGCGGCCTAAGCCGCCTTTTGGGTTGCTACCATTCTCAGAAGGCGGTGGGAAGAACAGCTGTGTATCGTCGGCGTTGTCAATGACCATGAGCCACCGGCCACAATCCCGCCCCTCCAGCCAGGTCTTGACGAGTCCAAGCACGTCAGCCCGAGGATCATTGTAGCCCGGGATGTTACACTCTTGGGCGATTTTGGAATAAGACTGGCTAAATCGATCTGCATTGCTTGCATGCACCCAAAATACCGATAGATCAGGGTGCTCATGTGGTAGCCAAAACGCATAGGCAATGGCTATTTGTGTCTTTCTGCATCAGGTCAGATAATGTCGGGACTCATGAATGACAGCTCACAGTACCCAACGCCACCAAGCCCATGAAGCGCAACTCTGGAGCGTGGCTTGTTAGTTCGATCTTGACTCCAGTCATGTCCGAAGAGCTGTTTTATTCGACCAAAAACGTCCGATCGATCGATGAAGTCTGGGTTCTCAATGTACGGGACGAGGACTTGGATACATTCGTTATTTAAGGCCTTGTAAGCAGGGTTTATTACTTACACCACGTGCGTGCAGCGGGTGGGCTATTCGTTAGCATGTACTGTTAGAGGAGTGCTTTTGCCATCGAAGCCGCCGCAGCTGCAGCAAAATCCTGCCATCTCTTATTTTTGTGGCTGTCGGCGTAGTCACAGACTGATTTGACGACGACACACGGAAACTCGTCCCATACGCCGGCCCCCTCCATTTCGAAGGCGACGAGGCCGTGCTCCTTGGCGATTCTGTCGCGGTCTAACCCCGCCTTCATCACGGTATCGGCCGAACCCACGCGGCCGACTACAAACCGGAGCTCTTGTGATGCCACGGCGTCTCCTGCCCCGGGCATTTGCCGCGCCTCGAGGCGGCTCCTGGACACGAGCCTTGAGGTATCGCACTGAAGTGCCTCGCACGAAGCAGAAAGTGCAACATTGCAGGCGCCTGCTTCACTGCAGCCACAGGGGCTAGAGTTTTGGTGCCTGTGGAGATAGTCTGGCTCGAAGAGGCGGTCATATGCAGCGTCCGGACGTCTGTAAAGGTCCTGGTACTCTTTGTGTGCCTTCTGCTGTACCTGCTCCAAAACTTGGCTGGCTCGGTGCTGCAGGCGGCTGCGGCCAAGACGCGTCTCCAAAAACGCGATAAGGGTGCGTACTTCCCTGCTGGGTCTCCCGAGGCTTTCTTCGATGGTGTCTTTTAGGACGAACTTGTCGGGATACTTGCGGCCCAGGTCGCACTGCAAAACGCTCTTGCTGATGACCACGTCCCCGAGAAAAAGCTCGTCCTTCGTCCCAGGGCTCGGTACGCCGCCGCAGATGCCACATAAGATGGCCAGCTTGATGCCGTTGTAGCTTGACTGAAGCCTGGCCGCTGCGCCTGTCGCATTGACCTTTCCCATGCCGGGAAGGAGGAGCAGAACGACGTTGTGGCTCCCCATACGGCCGGTTGTGTACGGGGTGCTGTCCCCTGGCGCGTTAGCCGGTCGACCGTCATCGTCTCCCCAGATCTCGTCGAAGGCAAAGGTGACGGCGTCATATTCGAGAGGTAAGGCGCATATGATTGCGATTCGGAAATCCTCGCGCTGGCGAGCTCGAGCGCGACCAGTCATGACAGCTCATGGAGGGGGACCGGATGGCCAAATGGTTCTTGCAGTAACGGCAGTAACGGCAGAAGCAATCCTCGAGCGTATTCGTGAGACGAAGGGTTGCTCGATTGTCGTCTTTGTTTTGAGGGGTTATCGACGTGCTCCGCCGCGGTCAAGATATGTCAGAATCAGGCTGGCGCTTCGTCAGGTAAGCTGATTGGTTCATCTCATCAGCTGCGCCGCTCGCGTGCGGCGATCAAAATCATCACGGTATGGCAGAGTTGTCAACGGTTGTGGTAAAATATAGATGTTTGAATGCCTCTCTTGGTAAAGACTACAACACAGCGTGTGGTTGTAGATGCCAATTTCTTGCTAGAGCGAAATCGACCATAGAACTTCCCTGTTGCGGCAAATCATTCATCAGCGACATGGCCCTCAAACAACCGTGCCTGGTAGAGCGAGCGAATCAAGAAAAGAGACACATTGACGCTATCTACGGTAAGACGGGCTTGTGTGTGGTAGAACGAGAAGAAAACGCCTAAGAAAGGCTGGCAATAACCAGACACAAGAAGCGCATATCGAAGAACCGCAACTTCATGAGTGCATCTACCTTCAACTAACCTCAGAGCGTGTGCCTGTCCCTCGGTCACTCACTCAGGCAGATACAGTGTAGCAGGATAGGGAGGTATGCTCATACTTGGCTAGCCCCGCCAGCCCGTTTAGGCAAGCTGAGAGTTTGTGATTGGACGCCGGTGTGAAGTGAAAAGGGGGCGTTTACTTTGATTGTTATAATGTCGAGGGAAAAGAAGATGATGCTTTCGAGGCTGTGTTTGTGCATAGCTTTGGCATATTGTTGGCAACTTGTTGTAGGGTCTTGCTGATTACAGGAGGAGAAGGAGCCGTGGAGTTGACCATGAAGCGGAGTTGGTGTCTAATTAGACGTTGGAATTAAGGATGCGGCGGAGGTCGGTGCGCACCACACTTCCTTCTCTGCCCCCCCCCTTCCCAACTCCCCGACTCTAACCTCTCTTTCGCACTTCATACATTTGGGGAAAACACTTCGTAACAACCCCAGATTCCAGCCGACGTCAACTCGTTTAGGTCGGAGGAGTATCCAATATCATGCACAGCAACCCATCGCACCTGCCGCCGACGCGCAGCTGATCATGGTAGCCCGTGGTTATCGTTCCCCGCAGGAAGGAAACCACGTCCATCTCTTACCAGATGGAGCATCGCTGTGCCGTCACGGGCTGGAGAGTCGACGCAGCCAAGCCTTCCATCTCGGAGAGAAATCGTCAAGAGCCGAACTTTTCCCATCTGGCATGCGAGAACCGGCTTCATGCTTCAGCCGGTTCACACTCCCGGTCTGGTTCCTCTCCGTACGCCCCGTCAGCGGGAGCCTGCAGTGCAGGACAGCTTCCGTCATTGGCCTGAACCCAAGCCAACCCTGTCTATAACATGAGCCCGGAGGGTGTCTGCGCTGCTGCTCCTGTCAGGCCTGTCGGCAACGTCCTCCGCGACAGGACCGTCCTAATGCAGGACGGGCTGGTTTTGGTCTCGGCCCTCACCACCACGGGACCTCTACCCATTCCCAGAGCGAACAAAAGGCCCCAGACCGACCTGTTCAGTCGTGATACTCCCTTGCTTACATACCCCGCATCATACAGCGCGATGCTACGCAGACCCAGGGAGGCATTGAGGCGGTACCCTCGAAGTTCGGCTCCACCTATCACACCCGCCGCTCTGCCGTCGGCCGTCTCCCTCCGGGTAAACACATCGAGCCAAGCGTCACTCACCAACAACACTCGCCCGATCCCACGGTGCGGAAACTAGTCGTCTTGGCCCAGCCTCCGTACGAGCCAACCCTCCCTATCCGTCATAACAAGGTCTGCGTTCCCGCCGTGGCATTGTGCATTTCTTTGCCTCCACCGTTCCTCTGTGGCACTTCGGTAAGCTTGCCCGCACACCCCCACCTCCCTCGAAGACGACTGTAACCAAGGCTTGCAGTCACCTCACGTTGGGTTGGCTCGCTGGCCCGGTTTACCCTTGTGGATGGCACCCGGTCGACACGTCGCAGATGAGATAATCCGGGGTCACAGTATATGCTACCATCCGCCCATGTTTTCATGCGCCACAAGGTTATATGAACGGTTCTCGGGGACTTTGGTGCTTAAGCTCGATGCTACACTCATGATTGATCCATCTCCCGGGGCTGAAGCCAAAGTCGGGACAGCGTCATACCGCTCGCGACCACCGTGTAACCCTCGATGCGGTCCCTTTACGCGGGAACGACCTCGATATACTGGTGCTTTTCCCGGCGTACTGATCCGTGTGCGACGTTGGATGGCTGGGAAGCCGGGACAGCAGACGCTGGCAAAGCTTCTTTGCTTTTTTTGCCTTCAAATCCCCGTTCTGTCGTACGGCACGAGGTGCAACCCCTGTCGCGTGAACTACCGTGGCTGCCGCAGATTGTCTCTTTTGACTCCTTCGCCTAGGTGTATACGGCCGAGAGACTTAAGGCCAGCGTCGCGAGAAGTCTCATCCAAGGCCTATCCCGACGTGAACATTGTGTCTCTGTGCACCGCACTGGCTTGACATTTTCTGCGTGGCGATGCTACGCTGATGTCTGAGGTCTCCGGGACGACGCGGTGCTGGTTAATGGATGTCGTGGCCCGTGGACGATCTAGAGGACGCGGATCTGTGCAACGTCGGGCGTCTCCCAGAGGTGGCACCGCTGTACTAGCATCTTGTGCTCGAGGTGGCGACCATCCTCTTGCCAGTCCGTCCCTACCGCTGGCTGAACCCAATCAACAGGACCCGTCATTTTGCCTCATGATGTCTGGCCGAGCGGCATTACGTGCATGTAGCACCGGCATGCAAGCCAGTCGCCGCCAGCACCACTGCAAGCGTCGGCAGGCCAATCATGTACCGGGAACCTGTCTGTCAAGAGCAGAGCCCCTTTTCACCCAGTTGGCTTTCTACCCATTCAGGCGGCAGGCGATGCTACACGGGACTGTAACGTGCAAAAGTGCCACGGCCGACGGGTGAGGGATCCTCGGCGGCCACCAGCCGCGCGCCATCAAGAGAGATTCAGCCCTCGAGCAAGCACCCGGGACAGAACGCGGGGCCAGAACATGCCATCTCGCGAACCATGGTGTCTCCTTCCCTGAGCGAGCCAGCTCATCCAGTCGTCACCACACCCGTGGGGGGCTGATTTGTACTGCCTTTTTGCCGATGCAAAGTACTACCGGTGTCTGCGGCTGTGTCGCATCGTCTCGTAGCATCGTCGACGATACCAGCGCGGAGGGGTGAGAACAGCCCTCCACGTCGCAAGACGTCCGGACTTCAGAAACCTAGCCAAAACATTGTGCCTCCTCGATCCCTCCCCGTGGAGCGAGACCTTGACTGCTCGTCGTCTGGTCGGCCCTGCAGTCAAAAGCCGCCGCCGGGCGTATACCAAGCGAAGCCGGTTGTACCGCCGAACCCCAGTCGAGCGAGTTTGTGGGGGAAGATGAGGCACAAAGTGTGCTGCGACGTGACGAGTCCAAGATCTCCCTCCCGCGTCTCGCCTGGTGTGCAATAATTTTCCCCCGGAGCGACGTCCGCTCAGATGAAGCTCCGGCGGGAAAAGAGGCCGAGGAACCAAGGGGAAGAAGGGAGGGGGGTGGAACGCTGGACCTGACCACGTCGTGAAGCACGCGCCATCTCGGCCGGGCCTCCCGCTGCCTTTGTGGACATCCCGGGGAATGGTGCACACGGGGAGGAAGGGGGGAGGATTCGGTCGGCGGAGGTGTACGCCGTGCCCAAACCATCGTTTCAAAAGTGTCACTCGGCTCAAATTCCCTCCGACTTGGGCTGGTAGAGGAGGGAGAGGGGAGGGATCGATCGTGGCTCCCACCCCCCTCCTCTCTAAAGAAGCATCACAGAAGAGTAACTCCCCGTGTCTAGGTCGCCGTTCGTAGCTTGAAACAGGCTCGCGCCGTCTCTGGGGAGCAATGGGGGGATCCCGTTCCACCCCCCCCCCCCCCCCCAGAGGGCTAAAGAACCACGACACGCGACTACTTTGGCGGTTCTGCGTGACAAGCGAACGACGGGACGTAGAGGGGGGGGAAGAGGCAAGGGGGGTGGAGAGGGGGTTCTACTGGTATCAACTGCGTGCTTGACTGGTGTGCTAGGCTGTCGTGTTAGGCTGTCAAAGTCATAATCAAGGAAGGGTATGGATGATGCGCGAACCCTCCCCTTGGCGGCGCTTTTTTCTTCTTCTCCGTCTTTTCTTTTAGCTTCCGTTGTTTTGTTGCTTTTCACCGTCGTACATTTGGCTTTTTTCTTTCTTTCTGGGATTTCCCTGCAGCCCTTTCTTCCGAATCGTCATCTCCGCCGTGTCCTGGGGGTCTCATATACATAACTTGCCGAACCCTGGCCTTGCCTTTCCTTTCACCCCAATGGAATCACACCCAGGTAGCGCGCGAGGAGGCCCGAGTTTTCAGAATAAAATAAAATAAAGATGGAGAGAAGGAGGGGGGGGGGGGGGGTTGTGTCCAAGACAAGAAGCAGCATCGATGATGGGGAACGGGAGGGAAACACCGCCCCTCCCCCCATCTTCCTGAGTCGTGGCGCTGTTGGTCAATCATCTCCTCCTCTCCGACGGTGACATGATGTGACGTGAAGTGAAGGTTATCCAGTGGGGGCCAGGAATCGTGGGAGAGGCGAATGGTGTGGACGTGGCCGCCCCAAAACCGAGAAGAGGGGGGGGGAGACTCGTGGGCGGACAGTCGCAGTGGCAAGGTTCATCCTTTAGAAGGCAATGGCGTCCAGTTACGTGTTGGGTGGGCGGGGGTATCGCATCTGGACATGACAACCCAAACGAGAGAAACCTGATCCCGTTTAGGGGGGGAAGGCACACCGAGAGAACGGATGGATATGGAAGACGCACGGAAGTAGAAGATAGGATTACCCTGTATACATGTTTGGGATGGAAATAAATGGAGAAAACTATGTGCATGTTTTTGTGAAGAGAAGAAACAAAGACCAAGCTTGGAGGAAAGAACAATATCGTCAACAAGATAAATAGACAACAAGAGGTGAAAATAAAGACAAGCGCAAGAGAGTCGTGACGTTGAGCAGCGCGCTCGCCCGTTCTAAAATACGAAAAGCAAAATGTTCCTCCGGTACCCATAGAAAAAAACAAACAATTTCGAACGTTCCGTTTCCCCCTCCCCATGCTCTCTGCCTGCGCTCTTTTCCTTGCTTCGCTCCAGGGTATCTTTTGACCTTTTCAAATGCGTGCGGTCTTGAAAGTGGATGAAAATGTGTTTTTTTGTGGTTTTTCTTTTGTCTTTCGTTCGTTCATTCGCTTATGCTGAGCTCCCGTAAACCTGGGGGACGGGCGCGGGTCCGGACCCGGCCGGTGCTCCGCCCGAGTAGCTCCTTTGCCTCCTGAGCTGGTAGTCGCTGCTGTGGGTCTGCTGGTTCTCGTGGTGTGTGGGCATCGGTCCGCCGCCGCCAAAAGTGTCGCGCATCGGGGTCCTCGCGTTGGACGAGTTCATGCTGGCGTGGAAGGCCTGCGAGAAGTCGTGTGGGGGAGCGATCGGTGCGCTCATCTGAGGCATCGAGTAGTCGTGGACGCCGCCAGATCGGTTCCCGGGGGTGCGCGGGAGGGAGAAGTCGAGGGGCGCCGTGAGCGGGGCCGAGGGGAAGCTGGAGGTATAGGCCGTGGTCGTGGCGAACTGGGTCGAGGTGCTGCGTGGCGCGGAGCTGTGGCCGGCAGACTGTCCCGAGCCGATGGGGCGGTACGGGCTGCGGAGGTCGAGGCCTAGAGTGGCCGACGACGCGCGGCTGCGGAGACGGGATAGCGGCCCCTGTGAGAAGCTCGAGTAGTTCATGCCAGGAGGCGAGCTTGTGCCTATACGATTGTTAGCCTCTGGCCGCGGCGGCGAGAGATGATGGGACGTACCGGAGTACGAGCTCGACTCGTAAGGGAGACCGCTGCTCGACGGGCCGTTCACCTGCTCGGGCTGGTAGAGCGACTGTTGTCTTCCGCTAAGCGGGGGGCTTGCGCCGGGTCCGTGGTTGTATGTGTTGTAGTCAATGGCGTCGCCCTTCCACGACATGCTGGAGCGCAGAGGGGACTGGATGTCCTGCCTCGAAAGGGACATGGTTTCCCTCAGCTGAAGGGGCTGGAGAGGACGGCTCGGTTGGCCGCGGTGCATGGACATGGAGGTCTCGACAGCGCCCTGGCGTGCAAAGGAGTTCGACGTCCGGGGCCCGGGGCCCATGGGAGTGAGGTGGCTGCCGTATCCGTAGCGGTTGTCACCGGTCGAGCTGGGCGTCATGGGAGACAGGACTTCGGGGGTGTTCATGTTTCCCGCTGAGGCGAACCCGATGCCCGGGAAGCCGGGGCTCATCCCCGAGTTCGACATCTGCTCGTCTTCGCCCTCTGGCCTGCGGACGTCGACCATCAGGGGACGGATCATGTGGTCCGCGTACGACTGGGTTCCAAAGTTCATGGGCGACGATAAGGGAGTGCTGAGGCCGTGGACGGCACCGTAGGGAGAGTGGAGTGCCTGGATGTTGTCAAAGTCGTCGGGGACAGCACGCATCTTGATCATGCGGTCCCGGTCGTCGGCTGTGAGACGCTTGATCTTGGCGCGACTGGATGTGGTCATACATTAGTTTCTTGTCGTCTCTCTGACAGGTCGTGACCAAGTACTCACCGATTCTGGAACCAAACTTGGACTTGGCGGGGGCTCAGCCCGGGAATCTCTCTAGACAAACGCTCTCTGTGAGCGGCATCAGGGTGTGGCTGCTTGGCGAACTCGCTCATCAGAAACCGTGTCTGCTGGTGTGTGAGACTGTCTTCATGTTAGCGCACTGGTTGCCGTGGGGGGTCTCTGTTCGTGGTCAACCAACCGGAATCGCTTCATCTTCCTCCTTGCCGCCGTGCGTTCGGCAGCAGTCTGAGGGGTGCCGTCGCCACCATCAAGCATGTCTTCATCTTCAAGCGCGTCGTCGTCTGACTCCTTGCTCGTGTTTGCTTCGTCGTTATCCATGCGAGCCGCGACAGTCTCGGCCTCCTGCTCCGGGGTGGCCATCATCTTGGCGGCCTTCTCCAGGGGCTGCGATGCCTGACGCTGTTGTTGCTGCTGCTGCTGCTGCTGCTGCTGCTCCCGTAGCCTGTCTTCAGGCTCGTCCTCAGGGGTGGGCTGCTTCATCAGGCGGAAGGCGGCGTTGTGCTCTTGCTTTCCTTGGATATGTGCCTGTGTGCGTGCGCTGGCAGCGGTGCGAGGCTGTGTGAATTCAGAAGACTCATCACCAGCACAATACGCTTGGGAGAAGGTGTTGTTCTCGGGGCTGGAGAGGTAAGCATACTGCTGTCCCTGCCACTCGGGAGGCGTTGGCAAGGTGGTCTCGTACTGGTCGTCCGACATGCGTGGAGGAGTTGTGGGCGCCTTGTTGAGGGGGGTTTCAAATTTGCTAAAAGACCAGTGGCTCTGCTCAATGGTGTCGAACTGCCTGGAGGCAAGCATTGGGAAGGACGGTGAGGGTTGCAAGTTTCTTGAGATGCTGTCTTGTTCGGGGATGACGCAGAGACGGCTTGGGTCTCTTGGAGGTCGTCCTGCAATGACCTGCTCGAGGACGGACGGGGGTGTCTGGAGAAGGAATGAAGCTCCAGCTTCCTTGACGAAGGTGATCCTGAGGTTGGATGAAGTGATGAGTGAAGAACACGAGCAACCGATAGTGGCAATATAAGACAGTCGGGGATGATGAGTGTTCCAAGTGTAAACAAGGTGGGAGAGAGCAGGGCGAAGGCTGGCTCAAATTGATGACGGCAAGTCTGGGAGTGTGGCCTTTAAGCTGGAGGGCCGAGTCAGTCCTTATTATGCAAGTTGACCAAAAGAGTGAGCAAGTGATGTGGGGATGTGTACAGGTGGTATTGTGAAGAAGGAAGAGAAGCTGATGAGGAAGGAGGAGAGGACTTGGCTACCCCGGGTACTACGAGGCAGGATCGATCATATATTGTACAAATTTGAGGGTGCGCCGAGTGATGGTATGGCGGGGTCGATCGACTGGGAGGCGTTACTGGGTCTGGAACCGGTAGGCCCCGTCGTGTATGGTAAGTAAGGCAATGCTGTTTGGGAAACCCTTGCCACATAGTATGGCAGAGGTGGAAATAATAGCAAAGGGTACGGCCATCCACACGGAGAAATGTCGAGGCTGGATCCGGACTGGACTGAGGAGAGACAGAGCAGGGCCAGCACGGGCAGCAGCAGCGGCGGCGGCCACGATGGGCACGACGAGGGTCGTCAAGGGCGTCCGGTACCTGACTGGTGGTGTCGAGGAGGGAGGGGGGGAGGGTACTGCGGTACTCTGAGGTGTGCTCGTACAGTCGCGGTGGAGAATGGACAGGTTGAAAGGGGACCCGATGCATGGTGGGAGGCTCGCCGACTCGAGAGAGAAAAGCCGCAGCAGCAGCTCATGTGCCCATGCCATCCATGTCATGACAGACCATGCCAAGCAGGTGGGCATTTGGCATGGGGTGTCAAGCTTGCTGCTGTTCCTCGCCGCCGCCGGCGGTGTTGATGGCAGGCCCCCCAGGTCCCAGGCGGCTCCCCCGGCATAGACATGGTGTGAACGAAGGTGTGGATTTGGGTAGATGTGGATATGGGTTTGGACGGGGGACCAGGGGGAGGGGGGGGGGGGGGGGATAGACACGAACAGTCAGTCAGTCAGTCGGTGGGGACAGCAGCAGCGGCAGTATCCATTATGTCGTTGCAAGATGGGCAACTGTGCAAGGTGCACATGTGGTAAGGGTGATGATATTTCTGTCCACCGACAGCTCCTCCACCCTGTTCGCAAAGAGAAAAAAAAATTCGAATAGTGCGATAGTCCCATGTCTCCGTACATGGTAGTGGAAAATAAATCCTTGGCCAAGCAAAGCCCCGGCGGGGGGTGGAGGAGGAGGAGGAGGGAGGATGCTCGTTGAATGTGAGAGACGGACAGACAGACGGGCAGATGATGGCAGTGGCAGCTATAGCACACCAGGGCTTGGCATTAAGATCTTCTGCTGAATGGCTAATGGCGTGCAATGATGGTCCTGGAACCAGCCCATCAGGCTCTGCATGACGCGACCTGGACCGTGTTGAAAGCTTCCAATTAAGACGACAGATTTGCTACGCAGCAGCGTACCATAGGAGCAGAGCAGACGCGCCCCCGGCAAGACGGGGTCACCTTGTCTGCAGAGGAACAGAACAGGCAGGCCGTAGCCAATGCCTAAATCATTCAGTACCTACCCTGCCAGGGCGGTTTGGCAGAGACTGACACGGGGTCAGGCGGGCTCCCCCTTCTGTCCTTGCAGCGGCCACAAACTGCCAAAACAAGTCAGACAGAGAGAGAGCTACCTCGAACTCAGCATCAGACGCCGGCATATACAGGTAGGTTATTGACATTGGCATGACATATTGTTGTACCATCCCAGGCACGGCTGAACATGTCGCCCAAAATAAACCAAACACGGCGATACGGCTGTACATTCCCTTCTGGGATCTCTGGGATCCCTCCCCTCCAAGGGACCGAACCCAACGTGATTGCACAGGACTGCAGCCCACCCCGACATCCACCCCATTGCCTCCCGGGACGACAACCGAGCAGACGAGCTCTTGCGTCGACCGTGAGAAGAGAGATTGGGGGGGGGGAGGGAGGTGTTCGGCGAAGAAGGAAATCAAGGAGTCAGAGAGGGCATCTCGGCTGGGATATCGGGATGCTGCTCATTGGGCCTCAGTCCTCAGTGACATTAGTTCTATGTCGACTCCACGGATGAACGCATGACCGTTGTCGAGGCCTGGCCGAGGCCACTACCAATGGGAAAAAGATTATCGATCAAAAGGAGGGGGGGGTGTGTGGTGGTGTTGTTGTTGTTGTTGGTGACTCTCCCGACCGCCCGCCCTCAGTCCCCCTGTCTGTCGCTGACTTGCAGGTAGGTGCTAACAGCCTGAGAAGGGGACAATGGACGCTGGACGTTGCGGGGGAGGGTGTGGGAGGAAGCGGAACGGCAGCGGTGGAAGGGTAAGGGGTACGGCTATTGAGTTGGTCGGCGAGAGACCAGGGGTGGGGAAATCTGGTGGGGGAAGAGAGGGAAAAAGAGTGTAAGGGAGGAAGGAAGTGAGCAAGGATGGGCGGTAGTATGTCAGTTGCAGGGGGAGGCATGACGGTGTGTCAGAGGGAACCTCCTCTCGCGAAATACGGCGTACGAGACGCCGCAGCGGCAGCATCGCGAGTGTGTGATGACGAGTGAGAGATGGAGAGAGACAGATTTCTGGCCGACAGACGGGAACCCGCAACAAGTGTTGAGGGTTATGGAGACGGGAGACGCGGGTGATGCAGGGGGGGGGGGGGGCGAGGTACGTTTGCAGCCAGACGCACACACATACACTCACGCACTCGCCTCGATCAGCGACCTTCTCTCACATATGGGCGAGGCAAGGGCAGATGTGCAGGCAAAAAGGTAGAATTAGATGACGTTTTTCGAGGGAGAGAACAGGCTGCCCATGTGCCATGTTGGTGCTTAAGTTTGACTCTTCTCTGCATTTTCTCCTTCTCAAGCGGCTGCACCCTGTACGGCCATGTTTTTGGTACATGGAAAGTGGCAGGAACGCGCATGTGTCTCTCCTGCATCTTGCGTGTAGCGGCACGCAGGCACGTACCTAGGAGACGGGACAGGCTCGAAAACGAGAAGGAGGACTCGAGGAGAGTGGGAACAAGGCGGGATGGATAGGTGGTGGGACACGGGAAAGAAAGCATATGTTCACGCCTTCCCGGCTCTTCCGCCAGGGGGAGAGAGAGACAGGCGGTTCCAACCAAAGTAACGGCGCTCAGTACCCGATACCTAGTACCTACTTACCTAGTAGCAAAGAGCTGGTTTTCTGTGCAAGGAGAAGCTGTAATCGGGACGGACAACAGAGACAGAGGGAGTTGACGAGGGATTGATCTACCTGTAATTTCATGTCCGCCGCCGGGTGTGATGAGTTGCGCGCCGTGGTTGGCTGCGAAACAAACCCCTTCCCTTCCCCAGCGAACGCCCGGCGTTTTCTCCGCGGAGTGACATAACCAGGCAGCTGAACCAAACTGTCGGCCTGTCGACGATGCGGCAACACCCAGGTTTGGAGTTTTCTCGCGGAACCTGGGTACCCAGGCGTGTGTGAGGCGCACAATTCAAAGGTACGCTCATCGTTGTCTTCCTCCCTTTTAGTTTTCTTTTGGCGCCGGGGTCGTCTGCCGCGATCGTAAATCATCGAGAAAAGAAATGAAGAGAAGGGATACCGGGTGGTGGGGACGAAAAACAGGGAAGTATTGCGAGGAAAGCCGTCAGATTAGCCTCCGGGTATGTTTTGCACTTGCAGCAAGCCTATGCATGGAGGCATTTTGTTCTCGGTTTTTTTTTCCTTCTTTTTTCTCATTCAGATTTTATTTAGTCTTTTTTTCCGTAAAATAGATGCGTCTGGACTACAGAATCCGATCTTTGGAAAAAGAGCATCGCGCCCAATAATCTCTACCACAGACAATGACAGCGGAGTGAGATTTCCTGCAACCTTCTCTCTTCCTCTCTCTCTCTCTCCCCTCTGACGGCCAAACCGGCAGTTGAGAAAGAGAATGGGACAATCCGCCGGGGGAAGGAGGGGAACCATAGGCAAGCGTGCGTGCGAAACCGACCACAGGCATGGTCCGGCACGTTGCAAGCCCCCCACATGCTCCTGTGATTCAATGAGAAGACTGGTGGCTAATTCCTTCTAAAATTCAAAAACAAAAGACAAGGGAGAAAAAAAAGAAGAAGAAAAAAAGAACCATGCCATGCCAGCTTCAATCTATGCCGGGCTGAAGAGGCGCCTTGGTTGTCAATGCCGTGCGGCGGGCGGTAGCGTGCGGGAGAGAGGCACGACCTCCCAATGGACTACCCGTACGGTGTATCCGTAGACTATGCACAATGGTGCGAACGCCGGGCGTCAGGGCCGCGAGCAGGGGGCACCCGGCTCTTTACGCGGCAAGACTGATCTTGGTTGTCGACCAGGGAAAAAAAAAAGAGAAAAAAAAAAAAAAGAAAGCATCTCCAAGTAGAGTACGGATGCCGACCTGAAAGCATCGGATGCGTGGGTGCGTTGCTGATGGTACAGATAGATAGCTACGCACACACAAGGTTTGACCCAAGGCGTTCCATCATCTCCATTCATCTCCATCCCTCACCAGGGGTGCCAGCCACTCCGTCATCAAGGAACCCGCCCAGCGAATTTCGAGAAGGGAAAGGAAGGGGAAAAAAAGGAGCCGTAATGTCCGAGGGAAAGGCGGCATGAGAAGAGACTGAAAGCTAAGAAAAAGCAGCGTCGCAGCGTTGTAGCGGGCGAGACTATGGGGTTTTGGTGGGGGAATGGGTAGGGTATGGGACTGGGAAGAGGGGAGAGGGCCTGGAAGGGAAGTGGAGGGTGGGAGAAGGGGGGGCGTCAGTTGGAAAGCTGCCCGAACGAGCCGTAGGCTGAAGTCCCTTTACTGTTTTTTCTTTTCTTTTTTCTTGTGCTGCTACGCGTGCAATGCGCGATGCGCCATGCGATGCCTTCCCGCCATGGCCCATCCGTACCCTTTCCCCCAGTGGGGATAGCGGTGCATCTAGTCCGCCCGTCGACACGGCTCGGCCTATTCGCCAAATGGTACCGAACCTGCCGATCGCCTCGCCTAGGCACGCAGGTAACCGCTTGCCGTAGCCAGTGTATTCCGTACTACCAAGGTAGATAGGTATGCTCGACGAATACGCGTGGCCCTCGTTGAAGAAGGAAGACCAAGAACAACGCACCACACACAAGGCGGCCGCTCACACCCCATCTGCTGTGGGGCCCTAAAAGCCCTGCCGAGGGATTAGAGATTAGAGCAGCTCAACTCCATCTCATCCAGTCGCAGGACCAAGATTATCCGAGACCTGACAAGACGCTGACCAGAGGTTGTGCAATCGGGGATGATGCAGCGAGCGTTATGTAAGGAGGGAAATCCCTCTCGGTCATCGGATGAAAGGTCGTTAACTCGTGCTGCATGCGTCGAGCGGCAGCCTATGTGCACGCATACGGTAGTATTCAATGCACAGATACGTAGCGGCGTGTACGGAGTATGCTACAGACTTTTGGCATTCAGGCTCGGAACCAAGGAGGCTGACCGACCGAGGCTAGGAGAGAGAAACCGGCAGTGAACAACGAAGATCTCTCTGCGAGAGACGACCCTACGAACCAGCCAGAGGTCGTCCTGGGCGGCATGTGCGCATCACACGCCCTCCCTTCGCACTCCGCGCCACCTGGCGAGGCAAGGGGGAGGAAGGAGCGTGGCAGTAGTTTAGATCCGCTGCACTGAACCTTCCTTCTTCTGGTGGAGCTGCTACACACTACCTACTGTTGCTGCATGTTGCTGCTGCCGTCAAATGTCCGTGCTCCGATTTGGCCGTAGAAGCCTTCCATATTCCATATGGATATGGTGGCAGGCATCGTCAGCGCGAGGACACGACCCGTGGGTGGTTTCATGCTGTACCGGGATATCCCCTGCACCCGAGGGGAGACACTGTCGGTCCGCAGTCGTGTTGGAGGGCTGGAAGGAGAGCTATTTTGACGCCGGGGAGGGGGGATCATCTCCTTCGTCATCCAGGGGCGACGGGTAATCAGGGCAGTTTAGGTAGGTAATGGGGAGAGAGCCCACTCGCCCGCATCGCATCACCCGAGGTGGAATGAGATTCGATGCGACGCGCGACGCGGTGGGCAAAGACAATTCCTCAAGACATGGACAGAGACATCGCTCAGACGTGAGACAGCGACGGGACCGCATACATGGTAGGATAAGCGAACGGGACCAGCCTGGTGCGTGTCAATGACGACGACACTGCAGCTTCTATGCCTCCACGGCTCTCGCTCGTCAATGCCTCTCTACTACCGATAGGGTGACACATATCCGTACACGTCCACCCATCCCTCCAACTACCTATTCCGTACCATACACGTGGGATATCTGTAACGTTGGTCCCTGAGGCAAGACAAACATAAGACAGCAGCACAGGGGGAAATAAAGAAAAGCATGCCTTGGCCGGAGCGTGACTTCTCTTCGTTTCTTGCCACTATATCGGCTGCGATACAATCCACCGCCCTCTTACACGTTTCCCCGTCGAGTCGTCGTCAGGCCGTGGTCCGAGATGCCAAAGCGATGAGATTGCGTAGCCTCACCATCCAGATTTCCAACTTCGTCATTTCGGAATCGTTCCGGTCTCCGGAACGAGAGGCGGCCCAAACGAAAATCCGAGCAGGTGGGGAGAGCGAGAGCGAGAGAGAGAGAGGAAGAGAGAGTGGAAGGGCGACCAGGGGGGGTGGGGTGGGGTGGATGTTCCTCTTGTTTTTTTTTTCTTTCTTCCCTCCTTCCTTTTCGTACACTACACTAATGGACCGTCTCCCCTTTCCCTTTCATTCCTTGCCTTTCGTGCTTACTAGAGGGGGGGGAGGGTCTTGGTCTCGGACTTGCCCCACAGGCAAGCGTGGCCTCGGTTCCCCTTTCCCTTTTCTTTCCTTTCCCTTCCCTTCTCCATATTAAACTAGCTAGCTCTCGTCATCGGAACACAAACCGACAGAATGGCCAGACGTTGAACGGTGTGGGCTGGCGACGTGGGTTGCAATCGTGCGGCGGCCGGGTCCTCTAATCTCGCTCGCAAGATGGAGGAAGACATCGGGCATCATCTCCGTGGCCCGCTGAGCCATGCAGGGCCCGCGGGGGGGGCAACTACCTACTACCTAGTAGACTGTCACCTGTGTACTGCGTATGTAGGTACCGGGAAGGCATGACGACTGGAGCATCCTGGCATCCAGGTTCGGTTTGTTCTACGTCCTCTGCCGCGTGCGTATCCGCAATGCAAACTCTGCCCCTCCAATATTTTTTTATTTTTTTCAAATTATACTTATCTAGTTTCTTTAGTTCCTTCTGTATCGTTCGTTCGCTCGCCGCCCGACCATGGCTGGCGGGCGGCGGGCCCGGGTTGGCCATGCCTGCGTTGATCCCCTCCAAGGGCCCAGCTCGAGATGAGAGGAACGGGTGATGGGCGTCGGGTATCAGGGACATCCCATGAGATGGACGGGATGGAGGGGGGTGTGTGCTTGATTCGCGGGCACCACACCACGTTGATCAATGCAAGCTTCTTTCTGCTTGCCTGCTTGCTTGTTGGCCTGCTCTGCTTTTGCTTGCGCGCTCTCTGCCGTCTTCGTCGTCTGCTTGCTTCACCCGCCTGCGTCTCCCCCGCAGCTTTGCGGATCTGCTGTTTTGTTTTGGAGGGCTCCCGGGTCGTCTTGCCTTCAGGAGAAAGGTGATGTTTGAGGCTGCCATTGAGCAATTCGATCGATCGTGGACGTATTACCCGTCCGTCTATTCGCACGGAACTTGCTTCGGCACTGTATACACAAAAACTACCACGCATGTCTGCTCGTCGGCCACCTGAAATCGGGTTGATCCATCAAGGCCCAAAGCATGTACCTGAGTCGGGGGGTGCGGAGGGCGCTAGCCGCCGGGCCATCCTTCCCAACAAGAGCAGAGAGAGGGAGGGGAGGAACAGGACAGAATGGGAAGGAGGGCAAACGGAATAGCGCCAAAATCTACCGGTTGTCCCCTCCAATTCGCTCATCAACTTGACACAAGGTCCTGTCTAGCGATGCCCGACCCTTTCCCAGATCCCAGACGTTTCTTCCTACTCTGGAAATCAATCTCCAGGTCAGTCGCGCTAGAGGGAACAGAGAGTGAGGGTTAGATACCTAAGGTAGATAGATCCAAGATGTTCCGACAGCGCGGCAAGCGTGGGGTCAGCTGGATCCGGTCCGACGCTGCTGCCCTTTCGTCCAAACTTGCCCGTTAGAACCTGCCTTGGCAGGTTTTCTCTCTCTCTCTTTTTTCCCCCTTCCCGCGCCCCCCCCCCCGCCTAGCTATTGCGTACCTGCGTGTCTTGAACCATTACATCACGCACACCACCCACCGTATGATGCATTATCCAGCCCACATTGATCCAGCAAGGCGGGTACTTTGTTGGCGTGTCTCACTTGCCATGCCGTGTGGAATTGCAGGTGCCTTGCTTCAGTGATGTGTGTTTGCATCGTCGCCAGGGACTTGGGATGATCTCGATCAGTCTCGACCACCTTCCCCTCACCCCCTCCCCACCCTGGCCAAGTGGTTTGATCTTGGTTCTGATCTGCCGACATCGTCGTTCGTCGCGGCGGCCGTCACTTGGGGAACTGCTATACACTACTGCTAGAGAAACCTGGGTGGGTCCTCGGCAGTTGGGGTTGGTAATATCCAACTGCAGTGCATTCATTGCAAAGTTTGTGGCAGCACCTGCCTTGGCAGGGGTAACTAGACGACATTGTCCAACAGACCCGCCGACAAAGGCATGCTCAGCAAGGCGGGTTCGTGAAGGGGAAACCAAAATCTATCTGCCTGTCTCTGCCTAGCTACAATGAGCGAAGGCGGCAAGCAGGGCAGAAGCCTGAGCGGGCGGGCGGCTGGCCTGTCCGTCCACGCAGGAAACAGGCCCAGCAAGTTTGTGCCGGCCCTACCATCTGCAAAACAAACACAAGGGAGTTTGTCCCCGAGTGCGCGCGCGCGTGTGTCTGCGTGGGCATGCTCGTGTTGCGTGTGCATGTCTGCCTGTGTGAGATCCTCGCGCCGACAGGGTGCCGCTACCCGCGACAGCTTGCTTCTTCCCAGGGTTGGGAAAAAATACTAGAGTATAAGTAAAAGTACAAGTATACTTAAGTAAGTAAGTATAAGTCTAGGGTTAAAAATACTTACTAAGTATAAGTAAGTAAAATTCTCTAAAGCAAATACTTAAGTATACTTAAGTAAGTCTTAAGTATACTTAAATACTTACTTATATATAAAAATGATAGATAATAAGATATATAATAGGCTAGATTAGCTAGCTACTTAGGTCATATGACTAATCACATAACTAGAGACCTAGAGTATTAGCTTTATCTCTTTTACTTTACTGAGAAATTCTTTTCAAATACTACGTAATAAGTATCTAAGTATACTTAAGAATTACTTTAAGTAAGTATTTTTTTAGAAATAATTACTTAAAGTTCCTTATTCCCAACCCTGCTTCTTCCTGATGTCCCCCTCCATCGACCCCGCTATCACATCTCAACGGGACATTTCGTCAATGCAACGAGTTGCGGCACGGCTCAGGTTCGCCGCCAACGCCAGCGTAAACCCCGGCTCGGCACTGGCAGAAGCACCTAGCGCCGCCGTCAGCGCCGTCACCTCGGCGGCCCCGTCCCTCGTACAACGCAATGCGCACGTACAGACAATACTATTAGACAGGCTTTGGCAAACGGGATATGGATTGAAGAAACTTCCATCGTCCAACCCGCAGCCTGCGAAGCGAAACGTACAGTGGTCTGTGCCCGCTATTCAATTTAGAGCCGACGGTAAGCCGCAGGCTGATATGGGCATGATACGAGCGGGCAGCCGCGATGGCCAGGTACAATAGCAGCCAGAGACGCCAGAGGTCGGCATCATCGAGATAGCGATGCTACTGCTGTTCTATGGGCTAGGTTCCGGGGTGAACAGACGGGCCGGCCGGCATACAGACTGTGTTCAACGGTCGTACGATGTAGAAACTGGTCGAGGCTCATCAGGCGACTGGTGACTGGCAAATGCGATGTGGGTGTGATATCACGTCTAGGAAGTAAGTGCGGCGCTTCTGCTACTAGCCCGCAGACGGCATGGGTATGATCGCCATCCCCACGAGTGTACGCATGGCCGCGCATCCCGTGAAGTCGCGTCGGTTTGCCGTCTGCCCTGCTAATGCTGCCTATAGATGGCAGATATTATCTGCGGAGCTGTACTCCGTACTATAGGCAGGCCCTGACCACGCTCGCAATGCTCTCTCGGCGCCGGTGGATCTGGGGGGAAGGCGCAGGCTATGAATAGGCATCGAGGGTTGCAGCGGCATCGGGGTCGCCATCCCCTTCCCTCTTGAGTCAGCGCAGGTGGAGCCGGGCGATATCACGGGGTTAGAAGCTGGCGATGGCGATGTGCGCAGTGGAAGTTGCTTGCGTAGAGAATCTAGGTGTTGCATGTTTCGAACAAGTGCGACTTGCGTTCGTGGCCCATCGGCAAAAGCAGCAACGATGAAGCTCCGAACGAAGGGGGAGACCGTTGGGAGCTCGGGCCATGACATCCGAGCTTTCAATCGCCTGAGAAACTGGAGAAGGGCGGTTTTGTACCTGTTTGAGCGGTAAGTAGATACTTGTCAAAACTCGGTTGGGTTCTGAGGCTAGCGACCGTTGGGTACATGGCAGCTCCGTACTATATCCCAGTCGTGGCCCATTGGCGTTCGGGAAGTCTTTTGAGTTCCTCGTGCTCGAGTGAGATGTCAGACTGCGACCTTGTGCGACACGGGGGCGTGCTCAAGCACACGACAGATGACGGGTGGCAGATTTGCTCGGCGTGTGCTCGTCACACCAGTAACGGGTCGAGTGGGTTGGTTGGTGCGGCTGCAGGGCGGACAGGGCACACCCCTCGACAGGCTCTGCTTTTCCCACTACCGGCCGATCCTCAATTCCCGACTTTCCCTTCCAACAGGCGGGAAGTGAAAGGGGCGGGGATGGCGTTTGTTGCGTTGCGCGTAGGAGGAGGAGGGTCATCACGCCGCCGAGAGCGACGGCGTGCATATCTCCTCGGCGTCCAACAAAATGTCTTCAGCACAGAAGACAGGTACCTCCAAGGAACATGCGTGCGATGGGGACGGTCGAGTGTCCCGTCAAGCCGTCATTGGCAAGTTCATATGACCTGATGCGGACTCAGTGATATGCGCCTGGGGGAGGCCCCAGGAACCGGAAGACGGGATGAGATCCGAGGACTACAACGGTCGGCGTTACTACCGGTAGTCCCATGGCCCGCCAAGGGCCTGGGCCAGTTTTGCAATTGCGGTGTGTGCGGATAGCGCTGACCGCAAAGCGTTCCTGAGTATGCGGAAGATGCCGCGCATGGGGGTCACTTGGGGGGCAGAGAGACCGCCGAATGAGGAAATTCCAGAGAAAGTCTGCGGCATCACGGAGTGGATATTTCGTGAAGCTAGACCATAGAACAGGAATCGAAGAGCTCGAAGGTGGCATGCCGCCTCCAGCGCTGTTATTATTGTTGCTATTATTGTTGCTATTATTGCTGCTATTATTGCTGTTGTTAGTGCCGATGCTGGTTCGCTGGGGGCAGAGCAAGAGGGTAGGGGTTCCTTGAGAAGACTCTGTCGTGCATGGTGGTGATACCGGCCATGATACGGCATGATGGGAATCGATTCCTAGCCGTCAGGCAACCCGAGGTTCAAAAATTTCCGTGGCCCGTATTGATACGATGCGAGTCCCTTTCTCATCACCCACGGCTTCCCGGTGCGAGAGCCCGGGGATGGGGACGACCAGGTCCGATAAAACGCAAAATTGAACCAGCAGCTAGATCATCAAAGGACTCCCGGCTGGAGCAGACGTCTCGTCTTGAAAGAACCTCCTCTCCGAAGACAGAAAAAAAATATGAAGATGAAGAAGAAGAAACAAGTCTCACCGCTGATGTTTGACCCTCTCGCGTTCCTCGCGCGCTTTCTCTCCTTCCCTCACCCCACCGCGCCCACCTTACCGGAATGGCCCAGCGTGGTATTCGGTCGTCGCCGCACTTGCTCCCGTCTTGAGGGGCGTCCGCGACGGGATACGCAGCCGTGCGGAGCGCTGGCCCCGGCCACCGTTGCAGTGTCGTGGACTCATTTTTTTCTTTCCTTTTTTCCTTTGGGGGTCAGTGACCGGCTGGACGATCAAGAGGCGGGTAGGGTTTTGCGATTCGCGTACCTACATCGAATGCGGTTTAGCGTTAGGCAGGTGTCCAGCCACGAAAACCCATGTTCATCTAGGGCGTGGAAGGCCAGATCTTGCAATTAGACTTGTCCTTTCCATTTTTTGCATTCAGCCAGTCGGCAAAACTGTGGAAAAAGAACAGAGAGAAAAGGTGGGTCCATGCCGATCGGACGGTATTAGGTAAGGTGGAGATCCTTACAGGGACAGCAAGGTTGGAGCACCCACCCAGGTGGTCGGTCCCGTCAGGAAGTCCCCGTCGGGCGCCTTCTCGGGCACGGAATAACGAGTCGCGACGGCCAACGAGCATCACCCCATCGAGAAGGGTCGTTCAACACAAACACACACCGGGCGAAAACGAACCAGCAGACGGCCAGAGACTTTGACTGCCCTCTGTCTCGCTCTTGATAGTTCTTATTAATTCTCGATCAAAATTGCTCGCTGGCCCAGAGCAAGTCGTGCGCTACCCGCTCGCCGACGACGCTATTTCGCGGCGCGAATGACTTACGGCGGCCGGCTCTCTCAATCGCCCGGCGACCCATACCCATATTCCGAGCACGAGGGCACATTGCAGCCTGCACGGGCTATTATTGAGAAACAGACACCTGTTATGCCCGCTCTGGGAAGACCAAACGGGTTTCACTTGACGCCATTTGACATACTGCCATCGTATTGTGGAAGCGGAAACATTCTGTTGCATCTAGTCACCGAGATGGTGTGGGGAGGTCTGGCGTCGTGGCTACCATCGCCGACCCGGGCATATTCCTGCGAGGTTATTCACTCACACGGTCAGGCCACTTGACGATGACAACGACAGGCACCCGACCGACGACGCCGCCTCATTCGTCGTTTTTGTTACCGGGACCGACTCGAGTCAACACGACGCGCGAGGAGCGTGGCAATGGTGCATCGATTCGAGTCGAAGGTACGGACCAGGGCAGTTTGGGCCTTGTTTTCTGGAAAGCTGTAGAATGTCGTCTCGTCAATCACCACCACAGGTTCATGCACTGAAGAGACATACAATGGTACCAGGCCGAAGTTAAATACCCCGGTTAGGTAACTAACGTCCACCCCCCTACTGCAGAACTTCACTTTTGGTGAATATTCCCCCTCTACCATGATGTCGGTTATGGGGGGTAGCATCATAGGGGTATTTGACTTACCCCTGTCACCCTGTAGTCTAAACTCTGTTATCGGCGGCGTCCGTCATTCACGACGACTCAGATGTCGGTCGTACGATGGCGGTCGGAGAAACCAATGACGGATAGGCAGACAAGCCTTTACTGTCATCGACACGTTCGGACGGCAAGGTGCCTGACGTGCGAGTTGGCAAGGAAAGTTTCAGTTTACCTTGACGGGACTCATTTGGGGGCCCCCACAGCGTGTGGAGATGAGTCGAGGTCGAAGCTGACAGCCGGCGGGCAGCTACGTGGTAGAGCGGCGAAGGGCCGGCGTATGCCGTCTGCAGATATCCGGACAACAGCGCACACTGATGCTCGCTTGCATCATTACAAAAACCACCATCGTGTAGGTATTCGATTTTAGCTCACGTACGTAACAAGTGGTACACCGTGCAATCGTGCCTAGCCGCAATACACTCTGTACCTCCGTAACAAGTGGTACCCGATTACGGTACCCGCAGACGCGTCCGGTTCCGCCTCTACGGCCCTGGAAACCGCATGATTTCCGAAGGTTATCGCGGCACCTAGGTTTCTGTAGGAGGTGGCCCGTACTGTTTGGGGATGATTGACGGTCTGGGGATTTTCTTTTTACGAGCATCGTACCACAGCGACCCTGGGGAGCAGACGAAAAGGGCGGGAATACTTGTCACAGAAGGCAAGAATCGAAATTGCAGTTGTCAGGACGAGTCCCGGCCAGGATGAAGCCCGGCCAGGCCCCAGACCCCCCGGCTGGCGCTCGCTCGCGCCAAAGGGGCATGAGAAACTGCCGGCGGCCGGTATGTGAGTATGTCCACCAGTCAGTCGGGCTTTTGCATCACTGCCGGACCCTCTTCCTGTTTGACTAAGGCATTCCGGGCTATGGTGTTATTTGGCGCTTGCTTTTTCCGCTGTTGATCCCGGTCTCCCCTTTTGTCCCGGCCCAACTCCTCCTACTCATCCTGCACAAGATGACCTGAGGCGAGGTTTGTTAGTGTCGGTGTGTTGTGAGCGCCTGTGCGTGGGCGTGGCGTGCCGTACGGGTATCACAGGGTATGTAGTGGCGGTGGCCATGGAGCAGGGCTCGCCGACCACCCCTCGATTTCCTTCTCGTGTATGGCTAACATCGGTGAGGCACGGCGGCTCCTTGCAGCAAAGCGAAATGCGATCCTCCAGGTTGGGTGCAGGCAGAAAACCCGCCTCCCCCGGGGCCCCCTACCGTCCCTGTTTATTTTGTCGACCAAGAAGTCAGAATAGTGTAGACAAGGGGGGGGTTGGATACAGAGAGACGGAGAGTGTGTGTAGGCGCCCCACGGACGAGTAAATAAAGTAAAGACAATGTGATGAATAGAAAGAACGAACATAATGCCGTGCGCCTATGCGGCCTGGACTAAGTCGAAGCCGGGCACCCGATTTGTCCTTGCTTAAATCTTGGTGGTACCTACACACTACAACGCGTGGTCCCACCCGAGTGGTCCCCTTCCCCCCGGGTTCCAGCTGCGCTTGTTATGTCTGTCTGCGTCTTAGCCTGCGGGTACCACGGCGGTGCAGTGTGTTGCGTTGCTTCGCTGGCGCTGTTGGTGCCATTACAGTATCTAGGTATCCGTACTTGGCAGATTGTCGTTAGCCTACCCAAGTCCTTGGCGTTGTTCCAAAGAGTGTACTCCTCACCTAGTGGCTGCTTGGATTAGGGACTTATGTGCTGTGAGAAACAGGGGTCAGATACCGGCCAAAGCGGGAAAATGCCGGCTGATGCTGTTAACCGCTTGCTACGGTTGGCCTAGTGAGTGAGAGCCGGCTATCTCATATCAGCTTAGCATGCTTTCTAGTGTTGCTTGAACCTGCCGAGTACCTGCTTACACTAGGTGACTAGATACGGCAGTGCTGTTACCTAGTGCCGTTCGTGCTGGCTGCATTGTGCCTGGTGCCTTGCACCCACCCAGCGTTGGTCGCTAGACCGACTGGGTACCATGTGGGGAACCTGATAATGGGGCCAGGTTAAGGGGCCAGGTTAAGGGGCCAGCCCGAATGTACTCTTGTACTTGATTCGAGCGGGCGAGGTACCTGGATAGCCCGTCCCAGTTCGTTACTTGTCTTCTCTCTTCCCCTTCAGCCCAGCTAAGCTAGTTTACCTAGCAGCTGGCTTCGGCAAAGGCGCGCGTTAGTGTCACTTTTTTAGCAGCGCGCATCTTAAAACCCCCAATTATGAGTCGCACCCGTCAAGCATGTCCAGCCCAGCCAGGCTCGGCTCAGCCCAGCATGTCCGGCAAGCAGGGCCCGAGACGAATCACGACATGGCGAGGCGGGTGGAAATCGGGCCTTATAGCTCGTCGCGCATAACACACGCACACTTCACTATTGTATCGCCCAGCTTGGCACGAGCCCGCCGACATCGCATCGTCACATTCGCCCTGCCTTACACGGTACCTATTTTATTCTGCTATGCGCGTGCATCGTCTCTCGAAAGCTTGGGTGCATCATGCGGCGGCCCACCTGGCTGCACCTGACCTCACCTGGTTTAACCTTATGTTTGCGCCATTAGTCATTCGCCGCATCCTGCTCCCCGTCGTCTCTTCAAGGCTGACTTGAGACGATTAACGTCTGAAGACCTCTGTGGTTCGTGTTTTAACAGACCACCATGCCACGACGGCATTCCCGCGTCACATCATTGCTTACTCTTTCCCCGTCCCATTGTAGTTTCGTCCGATCACCATTCCTGCTGTATCATCCACTTCTCTATCAGCTCACATGCACGATAATCTTGGTCTGTAATGCTGGTGGTATCTACGGATACAGTACAATGCTATCTATCCACGATGGTACTATGGTATGCCCACCCACCACCTCACCACGCCAGCCTATAATTTCGTTGGAAACAGCAACAATCGGCTAATTTTACATGCCTTTTGGGTTCCGTCTCAGCCCTGTTCCCCTCTAAGCGACCTGCGCATCCCCACCCTGCGCCTGAATCCGTCCGTCGTGGCACCGACGATGGAGACGCCGACCACGTGCGCCCGCCCATGGTCGTTCGTTGCCGAGCGCCCGTCCCGTCGCCTCGTGTTACATCCGGGCTCCTCGGCATCCTATAGCCCTCGTCTGTTATCGCTCCCCCCTCCCATAACGCACAGGTATACCTGCAGCTGGCAACTCACGGCGAGTTTGGCAACTGACTTGTGAGTTTGACAACACGGCCTACCGGAGTGGCCGTCGCCCCGTGCTCCCATTTACACTTTTCACGTTGTGATAGCTGAAGCAACTCCAAAATGCGGACATGTCAACACGGAAAAGTCCGTATAGCTCCGTGTTTCGTCAAGTAGCATTATCTCTATCATCCAGGATGACCAGTACCGGGTGTCTGGCCGTGCTGTTTGCCGTTCGCCGTTTCGGTAGCGAACAGTTGACGGCCTTCAACTGCGTCTTGGCTTCGCCTCGCCTCGCCCGCAGCCCCGCGCGCTCGGTGGTCAAGCCTCAACCCCTGCCGGCTCCCGACGTCGAGACGGGCGGGCTCTCTCACCTTCGCAGTGAGCCGCAGAGCTTCAGGCATACGACTGGCCACTCACTTCCCCGTCTTGCCTTTCATTGTCGAGGACTGGGCGGGCTCGTCATCTATCTGCGTCAAACGCGCCCATCGAGATCCCGTTAGCCGCTGGCTGTGCTGGTTTTTTTTTTTTCCTTTTTTTTTTTTTTTTGCTCTCTTTCGCCATGTTTGGGAGGAGCTTGCCCTCGTCGCTCTCCCTCCCCCGGCTGTTGCAGACATGCGTGTATTCCGCGCATATGGAGCACACACCTATGTTTGGCTGCCTCAGCCTAATCCATGCACAACGATTACCCGCAAGCGCCGTTTCAGCGCATCAGGATACCGAAATAGGAATCAGCCACGCTCGTCGTCCAGGCACGTTGGTGTTTGCCCGGCCCCGCAACTTGTTTGGTGGCAAATGATCGCTGGCGGCTGGCCTTTTCGTGACGGGGCTGAGATCGACACCCGGTCAGTTAATCTCTTTGACGACGTTGGATGGCTGGGCGCATGAACAGATGGCCTGCTGGGTGGTCAGATGGCCAGGCGTGATCGGACGGTGTCGCGATTCTGCACACTCTTCTCTCGGGGCGTATGGGACCCGTTTGCCCACGGGAACCCGTCCGTCCACACGGCATGCAGGCGCCGGAGAGGGCATCTGGCGGCCGGTTCCATCACCTTCCGGTCCTTTGGTGAGTTTCGCCTCTCGCCGGTGTATCAATCGCCTCTAGTGCGGAACATCTGACCGGCAAGTCTCAGCTCGGGCTCCATGTTCCCCCCGTGGCCTACGCCTCACTCGGCTGGGTACCGAGGACTCGCCGCCGTTTCGGTTCCCGTCCCTCCCAAGTGTCTGATATATTGATGTCCGAGGCCAAAGGGCGTCCCACGCGTGCTGCCAACGGCTTGCGCGTTGCTGGTCCCTTCCGACTGCAAGGCCACCCGGCCTTCTTTGTCGAAGGGCCATCGTGGACGCGGATGTGCGGGCTTTGTCGATCCGGTGATGACCCCGTAGGGAGCACCCGAGTCTTATGCAAGAAGTGGACTTTGCCGGACGGTGCACGTGGGCAAACATGCCATCTGGCCGTCTTTATTTTCCCATGGCGTATAGTTCCTCCGCTGGAGGCTGAGACCTTCGCTTATGATCTTGAGACTCGTCGTCGTTCTACATTCGTCCAATGTGCTCAAAGTGTATGGGGGGGAGGGGATGACAAAATAAACCGTACATGTTGTTGTAGTTGGTGAAGAACCGCCGTGGCGCTTGAAGTGATAAGACTAGCACAGGATTGGGTGGTGTTTGTTCGGACGGGGGCACAGTCACGAGCAATCAGCCGTCCATCTGGCCTGAAGTCAATCATCGGCCGCAGGGGTCGATCTCCCCGAAGTAAATCTCCCTGGGGTGAGTGTCGTTGGAGTCAGTGCTGCCCGGGAGTCAGTGCCGTCGGAGTCAGTGTCGCTGGAGTCATTTTCGCGAGTGAGTCGGTCTCGCGGCTGTACTTGCCGCTACACTTTCCCCCGGACTACCGGCACCCGAGAAGGTGACGTGTTGAATCACAACGAAAGTCTTTGTCGTGTGCAAGCTCCGCGACTCCGAGCACCGGGAGAAAACTCGCTTTCACCCCTACATGGCTGTGTATCTACGCGGTTCGGCCACCGCCGTTCTACATTTCCCGAACCGGACACGCCGTCTCGCTCGCTTAGTGTTGACCGGCGGCGTGGTCTTGGAAATCTTGGCCCAGCCTCGCCGTCGCGGCCCTTTAAGACGCTTGACCGACGTGACTTTGAAGATCCGAGAGGGAAACCCCTCCGGAGCCCATGCGATATGCTCCGGATCTCCTCTCTCTCTCTCTTTCTCTCTCTCTCTCTCTCTCTCTCTCTCTCTCTCTCTCTCTCTCCCTACTTCTCGGTAACCGGGCCACGTATGTGGTAGGTCGTCCGCCGTCGCCGGAAGCTATTTGCGATGTTCTCCTCGTCTTGACTATGTGATATGCCCTGGCGCAGACAGACGTAGTAAAGGATATCCTGCGCGTCATCCCGATTGTAGCGGCGACGGGGAGGGAACGGCTGGCGGCTTGACTCTACTCGAGACCAAAAAGGCACCAAGCTGGGAAATCTGCAGCATCTCGGCCGTCCCGAGATACCGGTAGGCGGGGAACGACGGCCTCTGGCCATCGAGGATAGCCCGGGGCCCCCGTGCAGCTGTCCCGGCCTGTTTCCTCGCTGCAAAGAAAGCCCTTCTCGGCTGGGTGAATCACATCGACAATGTTTGGGTTGCCTGGCGTGCGAGTTTTTCTGTACCCGCCCGTACCGCCGGCGACGTGGTATGTTATGCTGGGACAGGCACGGATATCTCAATCTCGACCTGGTATGCCGCCTTGCTCGGATTGCAAAGCTTCTTCTCGTGCTGTTCTCAATTACCTCATCTCTGGAAGGCGCTACGCTTCAGTGATGAGGCAAAAAGCGACAGAGAGAGAGAAGTGAGGGGGGCTACGGAGATGGCTTACTAGCAAAGATATCAGCTCTTAAAATAGACTAAATGGTTGGATGGGCGGCAGGAGTTATGTCAAGGGCATCTTCTCATCAGCATATAGTCACTGCAACCCAAGTGTTTGACCCTAGAAAGCCCTCCCTTTAGGTTTTTGTTTCCTTGGCCTCTTAGTCCTCTAAACTCAATACTCAATTTAGTAGGTAGTCCCGCTTCATGTTAATGTAAAGTCGAGCCTATGTAGACTCGTTCCTATATTCGGAACCGAACGCCGTCAGGTATGCCCTAGTCACTCACATATCTCTCAACGAGGACAAGGAATGCCAGCAGACCGACATTGGCATGGCTTGGATTGTTTTGCATTCTGTTGACACAACCTTATCCTAGCCCCTAGCGCGAGACGTCAAACACCCTTGCTTTCACCCAAATTACCCCAGGTTCCTGTCTCAATAGTCGTAAAAGCCCTTCCCACTCTTCTTGCCCAGCCAGCCGGCATCAACCATCTTGCGCAGCAGCACGCTGGGCCGGTACTTTGAGTCGCCGGTCTCTTCGTAGAGGACCTTCATAATGGCGAGACATGTGTCCAGGCCAATGAAATCTGCGAGCTGCAGCGGGCCCATCGGCACGTTGGTGCCGTTCTTCATGATGGAGTCGATAGATTCCTTGTCGCCCACGCCTGTCTCCAAACAGATGATGGCCTCATTGATGTAGGGCATGAGGATGCGGTTGGCGAGGAACCCGGGAGAGTCCGCGGAGACTGACGTGATTTTGCCCATGGCCTTACAGAAAGCAACAGCCTTGTCGAGCGTCTCCTGGCTAGTCTGGAGGCCGCTAATAATTTCCACGCCCTTCTGGACGGGGACGGGGTTCATGAAGTGGGTTGAGACGACTCGCGAGCTTGCAGAGGTGTCTGTGGGGTCCTTGGTCGTCGAGGCCGCGATGCGGGTGATGGAGATGGACGACGTGTTAGTGGCCAGGATGGCATGCTTTGGGCAGATTTCGGCGAGTTTGGCAAAGATCTCGAACTTGAGGTTGGGGATCTCGGGAACGGCCTCAATCACAAAGTCCACATCCGACAGCGCATCGATGGAAGTGTTCGGAGAGATGAGCGACCGGGCCTGGTCGGCCTGTTCCTGAGTGATCCTGGACTTGGAAACATCTTTTGCGAGAAGCTTCTCTGTCGAGTCGTCAGTCGGCGGTGACGGGGTTGAGCTACTCCGTGAACTCACCAGCAAACGAAATACCCTTGTCGAGGGCCGCCTTGTTGGCGTCGATCAATGTCACTGGAACCTGTGCTCTCTGCGCCGCAACAAGAGCGATGCCGAGTCCCTGGCGTCAACTGGTTAGCTTCTCGGATATGACTTTCACGTGCGAACTGCAAGCTCTCTCACCATCTGCCCAGCACCGATGACACCCAATCGCTTTACCCCTCCCGTAGCGGAAGCCACCGCGGAAGTAGAGCTAAAGGCGCGAAGCTGACCGGGGAGCTTCGTGACCGCCCGGACGCGAGCAATCGCAGTCGTCATGGCTGTCGAGATGAGCAAGACGTCAGAGTACAGGTGTTAATGAAGTGTGGGCAACGCCTGATGTGGCCTCTTCAGCTTGATTGAGCAAACAGCTGGTAGCTCGTGCAGGCAATACAGTGTATCGCAAACTGTTAGGACAAGCAAAGGCGTTCCGAATGTTTGTTTTGAAGGATTGGGAGAGCTGCCAAGCGGATGTCCGTGGACAGATGTCGTTCCTTGTCCAAGGCCGTGATGATGGTCCATGCCGAGGTTAGCCGCGGTCGTTGACGTACCCATAATGCCCTGTTATCTTATCAAACCTTGGGTCGTATCTTATCAAAGACACACTGAGGTGGGTTTTCAATTAAGGTAGCGCCCCCCATCGACGCGCTTACCCGCGTCGAACGCGTCGCTTGCTTAGCCCGGTCCCCCGTCCCCTTCGAGTATTTTCTGCCACTGCCGGTTGTGGTGTGCAGATGGAGACAACATTGCAGTTCAATTGCAACCTGTCATCGTCCCGAGCCCTCCAAAGCCAGCAAAAATGGAGATGCCGGACGGGACAACGGACATTGTCCATCCCGAAGTTCGCGCCCATATCAACAGTCTCGTATCCGCGGTGAGTATTGGCGACCTGGCGCACCGTCATGCGCTTCCTCTCGTTTGGCTACTGATCTGCGAAACAGCTCGGTGGCACAAGTGCCGACGACGATGGCCGATACAAGCTCGGTGACGACGCCCTTGAGGTCCTTCGCGATTTGAAGAAATGGATCCGATTCTACGACGAGAAGACAAACCGCATGGACGTTGCACGATGCATCGCGGACGCCAACCTCGTCGAGGGCGACCTCCTTCACATCCTAGCAAGCTGGCCCGAGAACGACACAAACAACAAGTTCAAGGCCCGCGTCGCCCTCGCCTGTTTCGAAATCATGGTGCCCCTTACCTGGCCCATGGAGCGAGAGGCCGAGCGGATGACGGTCAACCATCACCGCCACATGCCTGTCCTCGAGCTCGCGCAAGTAGGCTACAAGCGGGCCATCATCAACTTCGACAGTGCTCAGATCCTCAACACGGCCGTCCGAGCTGCCCTGCCGTCGATGGCAATTGCGATTGGCGACCGTACTCCTCGAGACCAAGGCGTCATCAAGCTTGTGCTATTTTTCCTCCGCAACATAGCCATGATCACACCTTCCCCGGGTATTCAGTACGACGGCGACGAGACGCAGATATCCCGATCGACGACGATCGATGCATTCTCTTTCCAGGACATCTTTGCGGTGTTGCTGATGATCGCCTCCAATATGGGAGAAGACTTCCGCACCGAAGACGTAATTCTCATGGAAGTCATATATCACCTGGTTAAGCGGGTCGACATCAAGCAGTTGTTCATGGACGAACGGCAATTGAATAAATCAAAGGCCCAAGAACTATCTTCTATGATGAGCAAAGAGGCCGCGATGCGAAATGCGTACAACCGCAAGGGGCCAACACGTCACAATCGTTTCGGCACCATGGTGTGGATGCAGCGCGACGACGGAAGGGTGTCGACCATCACCGGCCAGGACGCGCTCGCGGACAGTGCTACACGACAGAAGAAGCTTGATGAGTCAAAGACGTTCAAGCCACCACGCAGGTCGAGGAAGGAAGAATTGGAATCCAAGGACCTCGGCGCCCCTGTCAAGCTCAATGCGAGAGCCAATGACCAGCTCCGGAATTTCGTCGAAGACTTTCTCGATGCGGGCTTCAACCCTCTGTTCGAGCATGTCCGCAAATCACTGGACCGAGAAGCCTCACACGTTCTGTCTTATCATCGGAGACAGTTTATGTACCTCGTCGCCTGGTTCTTGGAGGCAGAACGGATTCGAAGAAACTCTAAACGAGAATCCAAGACGCCTGGCACGGCCGAAGAGGTTAGCAGCTTCAACATCGTGGCCGGCGTGTTGAACCAGCCAATGTTCGTCACTCTCACGAAGACGATGCACGATTCTTGGGAACACAAGGACTGGCCCACCCTGACGGCCGCGATGCGCTGCTTTACTCAAATCCTACTCACCGTCCAAGAGATGACGGAGTCTGGTCACGAGGACGACCAGGAGATTGCGGAAAACACCTTGAGCCGTCTTTTCTACGAGGATTCTACGCACGACCTGATCGCCAATGTCGTCAGGCAATACAAGGAGCAGGGCTTCGAGTATCTTGACAGCGCCACAGAGCTGACACATCACTTTCTGCGAATTCTGGAGGCGTACTCGAAGCAAAACGTCGACATGCAAGTTCGGTCTCGCAAGCGGACCCGACGGAAGAAGAAAGCCGCTGCTCAAGATTCCACAGGTGTGGATACCCTCGACGAAGACAATGACGATTCTGCAAACGACGAAGCCAACGCCGAGAAGACTTCCAAGGAACGCAAGTTCGACTTCCACCGATTTGCATCACGATTCACGCCCCAGGGAGTCGTCGACACCTTTGTCGCCTTTACCAAGTTCTACCGGGACCTTGACGACTCGCAGCTCAAACGTGCACATCGTTATTTCTATCGTGTTGCTTTCAAGCAAGAAATGAGCGTGATGCTATTCCGGGTCGACATCGTACACCTCCTCTATAGTATGATCAAGGGGCCGGAGCCTTTGGACAAGAGCTCTACGATGTACAAGGAATGGGAAGAGCTCTCGAAGCAAATTCTCAGGAGATGCATGCGCAAGATTGAGCAACGACCCGAGCTTATAATCGAGCTGCTGTTCTCCAAGATAAACAGCACCGTCTTCTTTCTGGAGTATGGCTATGAGAAACAGACAGTCTCGACATCACATGCCCGGCCTGCGGCAGAACTCGAGTTTAAGCATACCGAAGAACGCGATCGGCAAATCGCGATTGTCGTCGGAGCCCTTCTTGACAAGAACCAGGCGGATCACATTGCTTGGGTCAAGTCCATGCTCGAGTCTGTGGAGAGCGAGCGGCGTGCTTGGGCGGCAGCAAACGAAGTTATACCGTCTGTGGAGCGCACCGAGACTGCCGAAGATGCGCCAACTGACGAGACGGCCAATCTTCCCCCTCCATTCAGTAAGTTCAATTTTCGAAGCCTTCGCATGGAGCCAGGCAGCTAACTTTTCGAAGCCGTACGACCGGATAGTGATGCCCGTAGAACTGCCTTGTTCAAGAATGCTCACCTACGCCTTTTCATGAAGCTTGTGGGTTTCGAACGGCTTGCTCCCACTCTTGAGGAGACTCCACAGTCCTTGTGGATCCTGCCTGCTCAGGTGACTGCAGAAGATCTACACGAGAGCCTGGGCTTCATCAACAAAGCCGAGTTCGACCCGCCTGTCTTCGAGGACGGTCGCGGTGCCGAGGATCAGCTTCGGCGAAAGAAAGTTGCCCGAAAGCGAGTCGAATATGACGACGATGAGGATGAAGACCTCGATGACGGCTTCATCTTTGATCCCTTGGGACCTACCGCCCACAAAGCCATCGACGAGCCTGCATCCAAGAAGACGAAGCGAAGGCGTCGCAGAAAGGGAAGTGAAGAAGGAGAAGAGCCGAACGATTCAGAGTTGGAAGAGAAGGCCAAGAAGCGTAGGGAACGCGAAAGGGAAAAGGCGAGGAAGGTCAAGAGCCAGGCGTACGTTCACGCCAGTGACGACGAGACGGACGAGGAGTACGATCGCGAGTTCTTCCTTCGAGAGGAGGCTCAGCGTTTGCGTTTGGCTCGTATCGTGGAAAAGGTCACTCTGTCGGAGACCACCAAAAGGCCGCTTGTAGACCTTGATGACAACGATGACGATCTGCTTGACTTGACGAGGGCCACCCAGTCGACTCGAGAGAGTGCCGATGTAGACATGGATGGTGGAAGCGAGGCGGAGCAGGATGGTAACAACCGCACGCCTTTGACATCGAGCCCGTCTTCCTCGCAGGGTACGATGACGAACAAACGGAGACGGCTGTCTCCCGAAGAAGGTGGCCATGGGCAAAAGGAAGCAAGCGCCGACTCGGAAAATGACGAGGAGGACGCTCCGGTGACCGCGGCACGCTCGCGGCAGCGCACAAGGGGCGGATTCGTCATGGATAGCAGTGACGAAGAGTGAATGACGACAGGCTTCGGGCGTTTGGGATCTAATGAGGGTCGGATGGTTCTGGGATGCATAGCCTAGGAGAATATCTGGTCGATAATACCATTGTCTTTTATCGTTTTCAAATATAGCGTCCAAAGTTGATTGGCCTAGTGTCGGCCGGTTACCAGCCCGTTTCTTGATCTGTTATGCCCAACGAGAATGTTGACCGTCCAGGTTGGCGTAACGTCCTCTCAAGCGCTTGTTGCTTCCGGTTTGGCTTGGGCCGGTGGGTTACAGTAAGAGCGAGTGTGCATCCAGTTGCCTGGTAAAGTTGTGACCACATCGTTACTGACGAATGTTTCCAGACACTTTTTGACAAAGCTGATGCAGCATTCTGCACATCTATCATTGACCCGGTCGGGCAACCCACCGGTAGGAATGCAGAAAACCCCGGTGTCCGAAATTTGGAGTGTTTTGTATCATACATAATAAACAATAATGGTATTAGTCGCCTCAGTTCCCAGAAGCTTCATCCGGGCTTGGCCCTGTCTTCATGTATATCATCCACACAGCCTTCCCGGTTCGTATCCTTGGTATCATAATACAAAGAAAAGCCACATTAGCCGCCGTGCCAAGCTACCGCAAGCCCTCGTTGAGCGGAGGCGTGACTACAATGGTATCCGGACTGGCCCCGTCAAAGTCCGCGTCGGGCCCGGCGCGCGCCCTGTCCTCCGGCCGCGTCTTGTTCGGCGTCTCGGAAGACTCGCGTATCCTCTCGAGCCGCCAGGTCGCTTCGCCCTGCGCGGTAGGGGCCATCGTCTGCGGAGACCGCGGCTGCGGCCGCGATTCCCCACCCGAGGCGGAGTCCGGCGGTACGACGACGACGACCTCCCGCAGCGGCGCCGTGCCAGGCTGCTCGCGGTTCCTCAGTCTGCTGCCGCCGGAGGAGGAGAGAAGCCTGCTCGCCAGACCCCTGACGCCCTCGCCGATGAGCTCCGGGCGGTCCCGGGCGACCAGGCCCGGGCTGCCCGCGATGCGGCGTATGTGTACGGCATTATAGGAGACGTTGGCCCACGCGGGGCACGCGTACGGGACCAGCGCCGCGCGGGGCAACGTGTTCTGGGCCTCGACGTCGGCGTCCTTTGCGACCCCCGAGAAGACTGTGATCGCGACGTCGGGCTTCTTTGCCGGCCTCGGCAAGCCCTTTTCCTGGTGCGTCAGACAGTACGCCCACAGCCGCATCGCGGCTTCTGGCCCGGGAAGCCACGCGGTCTGGGTGAAGGTGATGATGTCGGCCTCAGAGAAATCCTTCTGGACGCCGAGAACGCGAATGATTTTGAGGACGAGGGTGAGCAGCCCGACGGGGGAGTCGCACAGGGCGTAGGACGGCGTGTTTGGCTCGATGACGGACGCGGGCCCGGGCGATATGGGGCTCGTAGACCGCCCCGGAGCGGGCCCCGCCTGGTTGAGAGAGAGCATGTCTTCGCTCTGGTATCCGAACAACGGGGCGCGGAAGAGTCTGGCAATGGACCACTTCATCCACTCAAGTGGTGCCTCTTTCAGGGTCGGCGCCGACAGTAATGGATTGATGAAGTGGGCGCCCAGGCAGCTGCCGGAATGGTACATGGCCAAGTGGTTCGCGAGCCTCCAGTCGATCCCGGCCGGGCTCGACGCGGCGGAGGACGTGTTGGAGACCAGGTAGTGCTTGTACGAGAGCCGCGACATGACGAGGTCGAGGATGTCTGCCGTCGCCGGGATGACGGGAGTGTTGCCGGGCAAGGCATCGCTGAAGCCGAGACCGGGCAGGGACGGGATGACGACGTGAAAGGGTTGCTGCTCGTCCGGGTCCTCCGGCTCCGCGAGGGGCCGAATGAGGTGGCCTAGGGAGAGGTTCGCGAAGGGGAAAGGGGGCACCAAGATGAGCGGTACGGCGTGCTCGTGAGGCGACCTTACGTGGACGAAGTGAAGCCGGACGGGGGACTCTGACCCGGGCACAGTCACGGCCGTACGAAACTGAGGCAGCTGATCGTTGAAAACGTCCTCTTGCTGCCTCCAGTCGTACTTTTCAAGCCTGGATGTGCCGCGAATCAGCGACCAGAGCTTCTTGTGTCTTTTTTCTAAAACATCACCACAGCGTGAACTCACCAAAAGTCGATGAGAGGCTCGATCTGTGTCTTTGGTTCCCACCAATCCCTGGACGTGGGCCCCGACGTCTCATGTGGCAGTCTCGTGAGCTCCAACTTCTGCCTCGTGAGATCGAGATACTTGCTGGAGACCTTTCTCCCCCAACTGTGTTAGCGACCAATCGCATCTCTCTCTCTCACTCTCAGAGGCGCTCACATGGATGCGGTAAGGTCTGATCTCATCATCCCAGAGAACGGCGCCGGGTTCTAGAGGAGTGGCCATGATCGTTGATAGTGCACAGAAGCGACGATCCAGCAAACAAGATCATATATAGCTTTTGGCGACGGGCACCTAGAGGATTGCAGCGCAAGCAAAGGGCGGAATAAAAATGGAAACAAAAAACATGGACGAAAAACACGACGGGGAAAACAAAAAGAAAGTCACCACGGCTACATAAGCGAGTCGAAAAAAAAGCCTTTGATTACAACCTCAGCCCGGAGAACGACGCCCTGCGCCGTCTCTTTCTCGCTGCTATCGCCCGGGGATTCCATAACTGCCCGCCCTACCCTCCAAGTTAACTTTGCTTGCCGACCGCTTCCACGTCGTCGTCCGTTGGTAGCACAGCGCGCGATGCGCCATCGTGGCGTACCACCCTCTACCCCCCTTGTTCCACGACGCGGCTCCTGAGTGGCCCAGGACGAAGGCGGAGGAGCGGTCTGGGCCGGATACACGCCGAGCGAGCTGTGGCGGTGCGTACGAGTGCCCCAGCGCGTTCGGAAATGATCACCGCTTTTTGCTACAAGTGCCAGGCACAGCGTTGCATCCGTGGCCAGTCCCGGACGCAAGGAATGGAAGAAGGGCCCCAGATAGGGTATTTATTGGCCATGGTTCATTACGAGACCCTTGGTTAGCCCCAGTGTATTGGTGCACTCGCCACGTCAAGCCACACCTTTGAGCTCACCTTCACGAGTGTGGTTGGCAGCTTGGCCTCTTAGCCCGAGGTACGGGAGCCGCCAAGCTTGCTGTCTACGTTGCTCTTCCAGTCGCGTCTGAGGAGAAACGCCCGTCTGTTGACTAGATTAAGATTCCCTATTGCCTGCGAATGTCTGACCAATGCCGCTAAACACGCGTCCGCTTGCCACAGCCGTTCGACGCCAGCTCTGTCCTCTGTACATGGTTCCTACTCAAACGCCGCCCTTCTCATTCATGGTCGGAGGCGACCCATCATCCTCAGCGTGTCCCAAGCTCCTTGCTTCTCCGCCAATGCCCTCGATTCCGCAGAGTTCCCCCGGCTGTCACAGCAGTGCGTTCCCAGCCGCTTCGTTTGACGTCTTTCAAACTCCCACATATATTCATTACCTGTTGTTAAGCAACGTTTTTGCCTTTCCCGTTGGCAAGCAAGCCCTCACGACAGACGTAACTGGACGAATAAAAAGTAAACAACGCTGGCGTGCTTTAGCCAGGCCTGTTGATGCTTCATCCAGGGCGTTGAGACGCGCCCGGAGGCGTGCCACCTGGTCCTCCACGCAAGTTCATCGCACCGATCCGAGACACGATGTTGCTTCCCACTGCGTCGACGGCTCCTCTAGGGGATGCCAAGCTTGGGCCTTGCGGTGCGGTTTCTTGTACACGGAACAACTTGATCGCCGTACCGTTCCAAATCCCAACCGTACCCTTTGAAATCTGGAGCTCGCTGGTGAACACGAAGCCCCATAGAAGGGACTCGTACCAGCCCAGAGACAGTTGCGACCACTCAAACGAGTGCACCCGTGGCGGGGTCGGGTCTACTCCCACAAGCTTGATTTCTTGAATCTTCATAAGCGTCTCGCGGGTTGCGCGTTCCCCGGCGAGTGCTTGTCTGGGCAGGAGAGCCGACACTTGCTGGATCACAGTGAGAATGGTATGAAGAGGAAGCTCTGGGAGCCAGCTTTCGATCCAATGAGCCGTTGGCTCAAAGGCGCCGGACTGAGACTGCCCACTGGCGGAGAACCCGCCCAGGCTGGTGGTGCTGTTCTGCCTGGAGAAGTTGCTCATGCCAGCAGGCATCTTGCCTCTGGCCTTCTCAGACATGCCTCGGAGCTGTGTCGGTACCGCGTCCTCCACAACCGACGCTTGTGACGACGCCAAGGACGGATTCTCACTCGTCGTCGATTGAGCCGGGGTTGGACGGTGGTCTTCGTCTTCGCTATCGTCCTCGTCGTCCCCAATGGCGAAAGTGTCGTCTTCTTCCGGGACATTGCTCAACGTCGGCGGCCGAGGATGAGATGTTGTTGGACTGCGGATGCTCTCGACCGAACTCCTGACCGAACTGGGTTCAAGCCCATCACCATTGACGGCGGACTCCTTGCGGCGACGGTTTCGCCTTTCGATTTCCTCTTGACCACTCTCAAGCGTGAATGTTCGCAGGGCTTCGATGCGTTTTTTATTGCGTAAAATCGCAAAAATAAGCTCCGGGTTCCCTGTGACACCATCAGCATGCTTGTTCAAAAGGGGAGGGGTGCGGCAGGGTCAGTTCCTCACTCTGGTATTGGTGTTCCACTATGGAATTGATCGACTCTAACAATGACCTAAGCAGGTCATGGTTGCTGTCATTGGCGAGAAGGAACGAGGGTGAAGACATGGACGAGAACAGTTGCATGAGCTTCAAGGCAGAAGCAGAACTCAGGCCTTCCAGATAGGGCGCGATGTTGTTGATCACGGCCAGGAGAGCCGGGTAAATGGCATTCAGCCTACCTTGACTTGTGGTGATGAGGTTGTAAATGGACTATTTGGGGTCAGCTAGAGCTTGACAAGATCTTCTGGTTTTCCTACCTGGATCAGAAAATCGGCATACGTTCCACCGAACCCGGGTATCCTGATTGCCAGAGGGAGGCTGTCTTGCCCTTCGAAGACCTTATTCAGGTTGGCGCCAAAGTTTGCCTCCACACTCAGCGTCTGAAGTAAGAAGGCGCACATCCTCACGAGGCCTTGCTTGGATGCATCGTTCTTGTACTCCAAGGCGTAGAATAGAGTGAGTACGAGGAAGTCGTGCGCCCGCTCAGTGTCGATAATGAAAGATCTGAACCTCTTATTGCATTGAGTGATCTCCCAAAACAGCATGAGGATCTCGGGAGCAAACTTTGATGCCGCCTGTCCACTAGGGAGATATGAGCTCTTCTCCTGCAGCGGCTGGTTGAGGATGCGCGTCATGCCATCGACAATGAACTGGAAGTCCTGGGGCCGATGCAATCTGCCGAGAAAGTGACGGTAGTAGTTCTTCGAAGTGGTACCGTTCTGCTCAGGAATCGGGTATAGGAGGAAAACCAAGAGAAGCTGTAGCGTGTATGTCACCAGAATCTGTTTTTCGTCCTTGAAAACCAAGGTATTGTACGGCACACGCCAGGTAGCCGGATTGTACTTCAGGGTCTGCTATTGTTAGCATAGTGCTCATGCACGGCGGGCATATCTACTGGGAAAATGGTAGAGAGGCGTTGGGTCTACGTACGGTGTTCAGCAAGGAGCACAACACCGACAGCACAACCTGCTTGTCGGGACATGTACAAATGTGCGTCAGGGCGCGGACTCCCCTTTGCGGGAGCGTGTTTGGCGACATGTACATGCTGTGGCTGGTCATGGTGAGAAGGAGGCGGAGTATCTCGCTTCGATTGTTCTCGTATTCTTTTGTTGTAGCCACTACTGTGTTGCACCCAACGCCGCTCTGCCAAATGGCATAAGTGACTTTCGGCCGTCCCGGGTGCTGCCTGGGCAGCGTGAGGTCGGAAAAGAACATAAGGTCGATCAAAGTGTCGATAAGCTCCTCGGCGAGAGGTTTGGCGTCCTCAAAGTCTTCGACATCGTTCTTGGGCGGTCGCTGGCCATCCTGGGCCCCATCAAACAGCACCTCGTTGGCGATGGCAGATTGTCTCGTCCTCTTCCTTCGCGCACCCCAGAAGAACACTTCCTCCCATGATTGAAGGTTGTCTGCCTCGTAGACGAAGGGCAGGATGCGTGTTAGGACGCGGATGCAGTTGAGAGCATCTCGTTCGGGAGCGATTTCGGGGTCGGGAAAGGATGGGTGATGGCGCAGGATGAACAGCCGAGATGTTAACGCGAGTATCAGAGTCTCTAGATTTTCGAGGGCCTTGTCTCTCGTGCGACGGATGTCGGCGGGAGCGAAAAGACTGAATATATCCTCGGACGATTCGGGAAGCTCCCAAAACTGTACGCATCGTCAGGTCAGTGTCCAGGTAAGAGGTACCCAAGATAAGGGCGAGACGCAGAGAGGCCAGCTTACACTAGTCCAGTAGGGGTCATCGGCGGGGATGTGTCGTTCTTCAGAAAGCCTAAAGATGCCTTTCTTGAAGACGAGCTTCGAATCGCTGGCGCCCATGTTGTCACAGAGCGATCATATCTGTCGAAACGTTCTGACAAGGAGGAAGCTCGGGAGGACTACGGAGTAAAGGTTCTAGACCAAAGGTGCGCAGGCTGGGTGCTACGTAATGTGGCGGAAGAGCGGGTCGGCAACTGGTGTGTCCAATGAAAGGTGAAAAGCGGGGGCGGGAGTTTTCCGAATTCCAAAGTCCACGTTCCTGATCTGTTTCCCATCTTCAGTGAACTACCTACATACCGGGGTACGTACCTGCATCTCGCATGGCACTCCTGAAAATGGGTAGCTTTCGAGGAGGTCACGAGCACAACCGGTTACCTAGTAGATATGATAATAAGTAGCCTGCCTGCTTTACACTTTGGCGGCTTTACACCTGCCACTTGTTACGAACTGCGCGTTGGGAAAAGATTAGGAGGACTTTGGAGTCGAACGAGGCCTGGCCGCCCCCCCTCAATTACTTTTAGCATGTGGATCATGTTGGAGCTACAGCACGCAATGACATGGAGCTGCATCAATGAGACAGGACCCTTGATCTTCAGTCCCTTTATCGTCCATTTACGTCGTGCGCCAATCTATATACAGTCCTGGGTCTGCTGTTGCTCTCGGCCCGAGGCTTTCGGTCATCCTTCGCGTCGTCCCAATAGGAAGATGGTACAGGAAAAGTGCCCAACACACCTTCCTCTTCGCGGATGCAGCCGTCTGCATCTTGGGCCACCACGGTTAAGAGTCCCATGACATGGGGGGCGCCAATATCGCCGTTCCCTGCCCCATCAAAAATACAACAGCTCATAAAAAAGTCCTCAGTGCATCCAGTTGCCACCTGACGATCTCCTACCCTTCTCGTAAAGCCACTTGTTGTTCAAGCCGACGCTGGTACGTTTTCCGGTCGAAGGGCTCGGAGTGCCTGGATCGGGGAATAGGGAAGAGGCCGTGCTTGCCCCCAAGTTTGTCGAAGAGCCAAAGGACGACCTCCGATTACTATTGAGGCTTGCCGAAAACTTGGAAGGGCTGTTGAGCGGAGAAGGAGAGTACGACTGTCCGTTCAGAGAGCTACCCAGAGCCGGGCTGCCTCTGCCAGACAGCGGAGAGCCGGAAAAGCTTCTGTTGCTGGCGGGCGAGCCTGCCAACGACGGGGTACGCGAGTATCGCGGCGGTGTGCTGTAGACAGCATTAGGCGTGGCTGTTGCAGAGCTGGGTGGTAAACCGAGGAGCTTGCGCTGCGCAGGGGTCAAGGGAATATCGGACAGGTCGTCCTCGGATCGGAACAACGGCAGCATGGCGATAGCAATATTGGCGAGGGGAATGAGTTGGACCAGGTGGTACGCCCAGCCCAGATACGACCGTAGCGAAGCGCTGAACCTATTGCAATGATTAGAACCGGCGGGGTTCGGCGTGAAGAAAGAGAGCGCATACCATTGCGTAGGAATGTAAGATCGGGAGAGGATCTGAGAAATCCAGAGACAGAGAAGGAAAACAACGTTCAAAGCAACCCTCTTCACATTCTTCTCGGAGAATGTTGTCGCGTTGCGCCGTCTCGAGATCTCGTCGAGACGCGGGTGTCTCCAAGTGCCTGGGCTGTCGACAACGGGGGTGGACTTTTGTGGCGTTGATCTGACAGGAGTGCTAATAGCCGCTCGGCTACCGGAAGATGACATGTTATCTGCCGCGTCTGAAGGGAAGCCAAAGGACAGGCTAGAAGGTCGAAGTCGGGAGGCGGTGGTCACGATCAGGGTAACGCCTTGCGCGCAACATTAGTTCTACTACATGGCATCTTTTCAATGGAGGAGGCGGCGCTCACCAGTCCGATTGATGCTGCAAACCTGTTCTGTGTTAGTAGTTAGTACTATGTCGTTTGGACGCTGCGCTGTCGCCGAGCGCGGGCGTGCTTCAATGCGCCGCTTCAAGTCGAGTTGTAGATGGTGATGGATGTGGCAGACAACGATGGCTGGAGCATCTGGTAAAGGCATTGGCAGAAAAACAATGCTTCAGCCACAAGGTCCACAGCAACCAGCTGGAAGCGGTCTGCCGCAAGTGGGGACCTTCGGCCTGGCGGGGTGGCTTGTCTTACATACGTAGTAGATAGGTAGCTGGGAGGTGTACGTACCTTCAAGTACCTGGTCTAGGGACACCCGACACCCGCAACCGCGAGACGGGCGGGGAGTACCTTAAGGAACCTTCCCTAGCTGTCTACCTTCTTAGTATTTTGCAGATTTCTTCTGACCATGGTAATACCTAGACGGACAAACTTTCCGAGGCTTGAGAACCGCATAGCCGGAGTCTCGCAGTGTTAGTTGCCCGGTTGTTGGAGCACGCTAGGGACGGGTACGAGTAAGTACCAACCTAGGAACCTACCTAGGTGTGGTATGGGGACCGGGGACGTCAGGATCCCCGCCGTTGACTGCCAGCACAACCCACCTCAGCACTCCGAAACCTCCGAGCTCGAGCTCCGCGGCTCTACCTCGTGCATTTTTCTCCTTTCCCTCTCTCTAAACTCTCCAAGCTTTCCATGCGGGCCACGTAAAGCCTTTTGTTGATCTGTTCTGACTGCCGCAACCACCTCCGCAGCCAACACTCGAGTCTTGAATCGACTCGTCTTACTTGGACCGCCGCACCGCCGCCCGACATGGGCTTCTTCGACAACCTTATGCTCCAGATGGACGAGGGCGTTACGGGCCTGTTCGGACAATGGAACGCATACACCACCGCCCTCGTAACCCTCCTCGTCGTTATCATATCCTACCGAGTCGTCTCTAGCCAGGACCCCGATACTCATCCTATGCTTCTTGCGCGCCAGGCTCAAGGCTCCCCCGTGCGGCAACCAGGGGAATCCCCCATCTACCGATGTCACTCCGCCCCTCACGGAATGCCTCTGAACACCGGACTCAATGTCAAGGACCCTGGCGCTTCCAAGTGGTCAAGAGGACGCGACGGAGATCTTCGGGACATTTGGAGGAAGGCGGCGATGGGCGCCTCTGAAGAGGAGGGTAAGCTTTCTGCAGGCAAAGGCCGGTTGTTGACCGTCCTGGGCTCCGAAAATGTCGTCGAACACAAGCTTGGTAAGTCCTTGTGCCATTGCATCTTCCACTTCTCGCTTTCTCACGCTGCGGCGTTGTGCAGACGACATCACCCGCCAGATCAATCTTATCGGCCAACACATTCACGAGCAGGGCGGCATCCGCGTTGCCCTCTACCTGCCCAACTCTATCGAGCTCTTGGTGGCACTGTTCGCCTGTAGTTTCTACCCCAATCTCACGGCCATTCTAATCCCCTTTGACGTTTCGGACGAAGAGCTCATCACGATGCTGCGTCGTTCTGCTGCGGACACCGTTGTCACCGCTCCCGGCGCATTCCCCTTTGACCCGGTTGTCAAGGCGTACCCCGCCCTCCGTCAGATCGTGTGGGTTGTGGACGAGGGAAGCGCTCATATGGACTGGAATGAGGTGCCTGAGGGTACCGGCGGCAGCGTCAACGTCGCAACTTGGCAGGAAATTCTTCGCGATGCCCCGGTCGATGCTGCGAGAGAACTACCTCCGGTCAATAAGGAGGTCGAACCGAAAGACGTCATCACTTTTTGGCAGTCAAAGCCCGGAACCATGGAGGAGATGGTGCGCTTTACTCAGTCCAACTTGGTCTCTGGAGTCGCCGCTCAGCTCGCTGGGGTTCCTTCCACGCAACGCCTCGGCCCCTCTGATCTCTTCTTGCCGGTCGACTCCCTGACAAGCATTCACACTCTCACCCTGACGCTGGCGGCTCTGTATTCCAACTCATCCATCGCCCTAAACTCTGTTACTGGAAAGTCTGCCGATCTGGCCGTTGCCACTCAGGGAGTTTCTCCCACGGTATTGGTGCTAACCCCTGAAACCCTGTTGAAGATGCACCAGGAGTCGTCCAGCCGCCTTTCCTCTGCTCTGGCCAAGGCTGCTCACTGGGCGCAGTCTCGCAGTCTCACGGAAAGTGGTGTCATGCCCGTTGCTTCTATTGCTGCTCGCTTCAACAGCGCATCACGGCCCGCTATAGGTACCACCCCTGGCAAACTGCGCCTCATCTTCGTGGCGGAGAAGGTTGGGGCTGGATCGCCTCCGCTCTCGTCCCGCATCCTCTCCGACATTCGTGTCTTCACCGGCGCCAGGGTGATCTATGCTTTGTCCGCTCCCAAGGTTGCAGGTGCCGTCGCTCAGACTGGTTACTACGACTACAGAGTTCACGATGATAAGCAATCACACTTTGGCCCGCCCACGACGAGCACCGAGATCTTGTTGAGAGATACGGAGGAGCACAAGAATGCCGACCAGTCGTACCAAGGAGAGGTGAGGTTTTTTGTTTACTGAGTGGCAATGATGATTGACTGCTAACGTGTTTTTGTATTAGATCATCGTCCGAGGTCCCTGCGTAGCAGGCCATGAGGCCTCTATCAAGGCTGTGGGAAAGATCCGGGATGATAACACATTAGCTTATGCATAAGTTTGTTTCCCTGTCCATAGAGCAGTTGTACGAGTAGAATACATGCAAATGGATGATGGAGTAATCTTTTTTTTTCTCTTTCCAAATTCAAGATATTCTAAAGTCTATTTAAACGACGTGAAGGTTCGACATGCGCGATCGCCTTTATAAGCACGGTAAATAGCTTGATGCAGTAACCGTCTACTGTTTGCTTGTGGTTTCCATGCAAGTCTCTTCTGGCCTCTGTGCTTGAGTTTTGGCTGATTTATACGGGTGCCTATAGTTACCTTTTTGTATTACAGTAAGTGTTTGTACAACGCTGAACCCTGGATGGTCGATAAGTATCTGCCTGTAGACACTCACGTGAAACACGTAGTAAAGAGCAAACAGTATGCCATGTGCTGCTGGCCCGGTGTCCGAGGCTGCTCGAGGCTGCATTGCGCCAGGCTCTCTTGTTACGGAGGAGAGGCCAGCTTCAGCAGGCCCGTTGGGCCGGACCGCCGCACCGGACCGACGCATACGCGACAAACCAGATGCGCTGGCTCATCGCCTCTCCAGGGTCGAGTGCAGGACGTGCTGCTTCATGAGGGAGACGAAGATAAGGGCGAGGAGCGAGAGGCCGAGCATGGTGTACCAGACGCTGCCGAAGGCCTCCTTGAAGGAGGCCACGACGCCGGGCTTCCACCCGGGCGGCAGATGGTTCAGCTCGTCGAGGTCATCCCGGATGCGGCGGATGATGTCGGCCGCGTCGGGGTAGTCCCCGAACCGGTCCCAGAGCCTGTTCCGCAGCACGTTCTGGTAGACGGCGGAGCCGATGGTGATGCCGATGGTGCCCCCGAGGCTCCTGGCCAGGTCTGCGCGTTTGTTGTCAGCTGGTCTGCCACTAGAGCACGTCATTCCGGAGATCTTATGCACTTACACGTCGCTGATGTTATGACCGCCTGCTGGGAGTGGTCCACGGCGGCGATGCAGCCGAGCAGCGTGATGGTCAGCATGGCGCCATAGCCCCCGCCTACGAGGAAGAAGACGACGTAGATGACCCAGTCGGGGGTGCCCTCGTTGTGCTGCGACAGGATGATGATGCCCGCGTTGAAGATGACGAGGGCGCAGATGCCCGGGACGACGTACTTGCCGGTCCGCTTCATGACGTAACCGGCGCTGAGGGACATGATGGACACGCCGACGGGGGAGGTCAGGATGTGAAGGCCAGCCTGGGTGGCCGAGAGGCCGCTGACCTGGAGGTAGAGCGGCACGTAGAACATGGCCATCATCATGACCATGGTGCACAGGAAGTTGGTCAGGCAGGCGGCGAGGATAGTGCGGTTGTAGAGCAGGCGGACGGGGATAATGGGCTGCTTGACCCTGCTCTCCCATAGGATGAAGCCGACGAAGGCGGCGACGGAGAGGGGGATGGTGGTCAGCGGGAGTGGGTGCAGCCAGGGCACGAGGTTGCCGCCGGCGTTGAGGCCGAGCAGCAGGAGGACGAGGAAGGAGATGGTCAGGAAGACGCCGAGGAAGTCGATGCGGGCCAGGTAAGATTTGTCGGAGGCCTTGGGGGGCACCTTGACGAGGACGGCGACAAGGACGGCGGAGACGAGGACGGGGGGCACCTGGACGAGGAAGGCGAGGCGCCAGCCCATGGCGGTGTGGTCGTTGATGAGGCCGCCGAAGACGCCGCCGAGCATGGCGCCGGAGCCGTAGGCGACGTTGCCGATGCCTTGGTAGATGCCGCGCTGACGCAGGGGGATGAGGTCGGAGCCGAGGAAGGTGGAGATGGACATGAGGCCGCCGCCGCCGATGCCGGCGACGACGCGGCCGAGGATCATGGCGGACTCGGTGCGAGCGAGGCCGCAGATGAGGTTGCCGGCGGCGAAGAAGACATTGCTGAAGACGAGGCCGGGCCCGCGGCCGAAGATGTCGGTCAGGCGGCCGGAGATGGGCTGGCAGGCGGCGTTGGAGATGAGGTAGGCGGTGGCGAGCCAGCTGAGGAGACTCAGTGACTTGAACTCACTCGAGATGGGGCCCGAGAGCGTGGCGATGATGGTGCTGTCGATAGCGCCGAGGAAGACGCCGAAGTAGGAGGTTCCCAGGATGAGGGCCAGGCGGGTGCCGGAGACGGTCTCGGCCACGATGGTCGTCTCTTCTTCAATGGCGGCGGCGGTGACGGCGTCGGCGGTCCCGTTGATGGTGCCGTTGCCGTTGCTGCCGTTGAGCAGAGGCGTCGTCTCCGAGGTCTGCTCGGCGGCCGCCGCTCGCCGGGGTTGTTGTTCTTCGTCCGTCGCCATATCGCGGGGCTCTTCCTCCGAGATTTCCTCCTTCACTTTTGATTCTGCACTCGCCTTGGGAAGGTGGTATTGTCACACTCTGGTTGTAGTGGGCGATGAATTGGGGATGACGCCTTATCAAGACCCTTGCTCATCTGGAAAGGCGAGGATTTCATGTTGCATTATGTAATACGGGATGGATTCCTTTGTCGGTCCCGGAAAGGATGTTATCACGCTGTCGTCGAGAGCCCTTCGCTGAGTAATTGCCGGTCCATCCGCCTGTGGCCAGTCAGAAGAGGCCACAGCGGATTCCCAAAGTACCAAACTGCCCCCCGAAACTCGGCGCGTGCCCCCAGCATCTGCGCTCGGGCACCCGCCCGTAATAGGCAACTGCACTGAACGTTTGGCAGGCTACGACCAGGCTACGCCCCACCCAAGGCTTCCAATATTGCGATAAGCCATAGGCTTCGGCACCGTCTTGCCATACCAACCTTCCTCGAGCTAACCTTCAACGTCGTTCGGGAGGAAGCTAGCCTAGCATTTAATTGGGAAAGCAATTCCCGAAGAGTCGTGTATGCCTCTCTTATCTTACCCACTGGTGGCACAACCTCGCAATCACGTCACTGCCGATGTCGGTGTCGTCTTACACGGCGGCGTCCTATTCATTAACTCGTCCACCGCTCGCGGCTGACAACGAAGACGCCAAAACACCGACTCGCCATCGCCACGGAATGGAGGAGATGCTATCATGTTCAACGAGTATTCGACGACTCTTCGGCTCATCGACTGTTGTTAAACCAGGGATCGTGTTTTGATATTGATATCGACGCCAACCGACTTACGATTGCAGCACACTGATAGGCCGGCCGGCCTACGACACCGTCGATATCGAAGCCGGTAAGCTCAGGTATGAGAAGCGTTCCTCTGGTCGCGCGTGCCTCCTCTTGCCCTACCCGGAAGTACGTATCAGAATAAGGAAGGAAGGAAGGAAGAAAGAAAGAAAGAAAGAAAGAAAGAAAGAAAGAAAGAAAGAAAGAAAGAAAGAAAAAGAAAAACACCAGGTAGAATTGAACCACTGTTTCCCCCTAATCAAGGATGTCTTCCCAAAGAGAATTTTCATCGAGGCCCCCTCCGAATTGGCCTCAATGGCCTTGATTTCATCATCTCCCCGCTAGTCTCTTCTTGGCGACGACTCACCTCCATCCGATTGCGCCGGTCAAACAACAACCCCCTCTCAAAGGAGGCCAAAACATGGCGTTCTGAGAATTGACTTAAGCCGAGCGACCATCCGATCTGAGCAATGGCCTCACTCATCGCATTTCACGGCCGTACTTAAACAAGCTTCGAGAATTGGTACTCCTGGTTCAACCTTCACTTCACCAGGCTCATCACTCCTTTTAACCATCTCATCTCCTCAGTTTATCTGCAGACCTTGGAGTACACCACCCGTTTATCTCCCGCCATCCGCATACAAGATGGCGTCCTCCGATATCCTGTCACAGACACTTCACACAATTACCAGCGTGAAGCTCAGCCAGCTCGACAAGCAGAAGGCCTCCTATGAGGCGGGGAAACGAGCCCTCCTGGACGATGCGGCCCACGAGACGGACCACCGGAAGCGGGCGAAGCTCCTGGTCGACAGGTCCGAGAAGCTACCCGCCATGAACTCCCTGGACGACAGCACCCTGGTTTCCGTCGACAACCTCAAGCGGTTCGTGCAGCAGGCCGACTACGACCCGTGCATCTCGGAGAGCCTCCTCAATGACTACGAGAGCGCGATGCGCAACGAGCTCGACGTCCAGTCTGCCAAGTACCGCTATGCCGAGCTGTACGGAAAGCTCGTGAACGAATGGATCTCGGCCGGGAAGGCCGCCGACCAGGACTCGGAAGCGGGCTTCGTGCCCGTCGGCAGGGAGGAGATGCACCGCCAGCGGGCGACCTGGGAGGAGTACGTGTTCCAGGCCAAGGAGACGGACGGCCAGGCCATCAAGAGCTACCTGGGGCGGCTCTTCGCCAGGTCCAAGGACGTCGACCGCGCCTTCGAGGCGCTGAAGGACCGCATCGCGGCCTTCCAAGAGAGATGGGACGGCAGGACGCACTTCAGCGAGCACTCGCTCAAGAACACGATCCGGGGCCTGCTGCGGACCGACATCCTGACTGACCAGAAGAGGACGACGCTCAACGACTTTCTAAGCAACGAGGTTGTGCTGAGCGAGATCGCCGACGTGCTCAACATGCGGATGCAGACGCGCCAGACCTGGGCCTGGGACGAGCCGACCGTGGTTGAGCAACGGCGCCAGCTGAACGGCCGCTACCGCTTCTACCCCGACGAGGACCTCTTGCAGGCCATCTTCATCCACTACGTCGGCAAGCAGTGGGCCGTCGAGATGCGCGGGGCCCTGGTCGCCTTCATTGAGTCCCCCGGGGTCGACAAGGACGCCGCGACACGCATGTCCAAGGAGGAGGGCCGCCGCTGGCGGTTTTTCACGAGGACCCCTGGCGCCACGGAGAGTCGCATGTCGGTGGTGGGTCAGTTGTCCAAACACTACAAGAAGGAGGTCTTCCTGGACCAGCTGCCCGATTCTGCGACGGAGAAGCGAGGGGGTTACGGCTCAGACGGTAAGGAGGAGGCGGACGACACGCGCAAGTCCCACGTGGCCGTCGCGCAGAACCTGCTACACCTCATCCAGTCCGAGATCATCATGCGGACGAGGCTGGGGGACGACACGACCGTCATCCGCTCGGACCTCAAGTGGTTCGGCCCCAGTGTGCCGCACGCATCCATCGTCGCCGTTCTCGAGTTCTTCGGCGTCGGCGCCGAGTGGATCGACCTGTTCCGGCGGATCCTCGAGTGCCCTATGCGCTTCGCCCAGGACCCGCCCGACACCGCCGCCCGCGTCCGGAAGAGGGGCACGGCCCTGTCCACGCCCCTGGCCGACTTCGCCGCCGAGACCATGCTCTTCTGCATGGACTTTGCCGTCAACCAGCGGGCCCACGGGTGCCGCCTGTACCGGCTGCACGACGACATGTGGCTGTGGGGCGGCCGCGAGACATGCCTCCGCGCGTGGGAGACGATGACCGAGTTCGTGGCGGTCACGGGGCTCGAGTTCAACGAGGACAAGACCGGCAGCGTCATAGAGTGGTTTGAGACACTGTCTAGAGAGACGCTCTTGGATCCGCTCCCCGGGGGCGCGTGCACTGCGTATATCATCTGGGTAAAAGGGATAGCAATATGACTATAATAGCCTTCCGCGCGCACCTAATCTACGTATCCGTGTCATGATAAATAACAGAGAAAAGGGACGGCCTGTACTGAATGTCACGTGTGCCCATCTCGTCTATCATTGACCGTAGGCACACCTAGGATTGCCTACGGCACCCTAGGCAGTCATATGTCGCTATACTCATGGCGAGGTCGCTAAAAGTCCCCGTTGATGGGACGTCATCCCAGTGAGAGATCCTGTTCCGATATCATCCCGAGGGGGACGTCGTGTGGGGGTTCCTCAAGCTCGACCCGGCGTCCGGGCGGTTCCTCCTCGACCAGGACAAGATCGACGGGCACATTGACGAGCTCCGGCTGCAGCTGGACGCGTGCGGCAGCATCTTCGACTGGATCCAGGCATGGAACATCTACGGCGCGCGCTTCTTCCGGACCAACTGCGCGCAGGTCGCCAACTGCTACGGCCGGGCGCACGTCGACAGCGTGCTGGCGACGTTCCGCCGCATCCAGACGCGGCTGTTCGGCGAAGGCGGGGCCGGCGCCTGCCTCAAGCGGATGATCAGCGACCGCTTCGGCATCCCGGACGTCCCGGATGGCTACCTGTACTTCCCCGTATCCCTCGGCGGGCTGGGCCTCGAGAACCCGTTCGTCCACCTGTACCTGATCCGCGACGCCGTCGCCGAGGACCCTGACACCATCATCGACGAGTTCTTCGCCGAGGAGGAGGACATGTACCGATATTTCAAGGCGGCCTACGAGGACGACTCGGCCGGCGCCGACTCGGCCGGCAGCAGCGGTGGAAGTAGCGGAAGCATTGCGCAGGTGCGGATGCACCGTCGCATGCCGGCGCATTTCCCGGACGACACCTTCTCGGACCTGCGGAACGAGCCCTTTATGAGCTTCGAGGAGTTCACTCGGCACCGGCGGCACACGTCGGATACGCTGGGCCGGGCGTTCGGGCGGCTGCGGTGGGTGCCGGCGGCCAAGACGGTGGAGCTGACGAGCGAGCTGGCGGGGGCCCTCAAGGACGGGCCGACGGGCTGGATGGACCTCGGCGACTACGAGCGGTGGGTCTGCGCGCTCTACGGCCGAGACATGATTGCGAGATTCGGCGGTCTAACGGTCGTCGACAAGGGCGTCCTGCCAACGGGCCTGCTCGACATGTTGAGGCAGAGCCGGTTCAGGTGGCGCGGCTGAAGGGAGGGGGCTATTGTGGCGTGTGAGGGCCTCGAGAATCGGGCAATTAGCCACGCGATGGGCAGGTCCTTGCACGAACCCTTCTCCCAACAGGACGGTAATTAACAAAGCATTCAGTAGCCGAGAGTCATGAACCGGCGCTTAAGGGAAAACAGGGGGGGGCGTGAGCGCGAAAGGCATCGGACACCCTGGGAGAGCGGCGAAAAAGCGCATCAATAGTGTAATATGTCTTTCGGAGCAATCTATCGAATTGGGCTTCTGCGCCTTTTCACATTACTCGAGCAGCGAGCGAATCCCCGACTGAGAGAAGACGGCGAAACGAAGGAGTGATATGTCATGCGTGACATGCTGCGGACCGTGATGCTCGGAGTGATTGCGAGAAGTTGGCCCCATCCTATGTTCCCTCTCCCCCTTTTCCCCCATCCGCCATTTGTTTTCCGCCCATCCTTGTCCCCTGCGGACAGATATTCGTGTTTGGTCATGATGAATCGCACGAAGGGATCGACAACGGGAAATTTCGGGGCAAAGGAAAAAAAAAAAAAACTAGGCCGGGGGGGATATAGAGAAGATGACCAGGACCAGGTGCACACGGACTGTTTCCGGCATACTATGTAGTTCATGACGGAGGAGGACTCTTCCCAACCCGCCCCGCCAACAACCCAACGGTGTCGTTGCCTCGGCTCGCGTCGTCTATACGTGTGCTATGTATGGCGACACGCTCGGGACCTCGTCGTTGCCTTTTCGCTTCGTCTTTTGACGCCCCCCTCCCTCCCCCCCCCGCCGGATCACATACATAGCCACGGTGGACCTGCGCTTGCGTGCCCTCGGAGGCCCAAAGTCAGACCAAGATGGAATCCGGCACATCGAATGGGGACGATAACCTAGGGAGCCGTCGGCTGTCAGTTGTTGAGGCGGCTGTGCCGTCCTCAAGGAAGAGAAGTGTTGGTGAGAGGGGGGGGTAAATAGACCGCGCTCGTTCATGAGGACTTCAACTCGGAGGCCGCCCTCAGGGATCGTCAAGAGTGCGAGGTCGTTGTCGCGTCGCAGGCAGGTCGGCCGTTTAGGCGTAGCAGATCCCCCACGCTCCGTCGTCTTCCGGTCTCGCGCGGTATATGGCCACATCATCAGTGGCCGGGGCTTGACGGGTTGACACGGGCAGCCCAGTCAGTCAGGGTCGCCTCGGGGACGTCCCCGTATCGCTTCCTCTCGACGGCCTTGCGCTTGTTCCGCGCCCCTCTCGTCTCCGGCGACCTGCCCGCCTCCGCCGTGTGTCGTGTTCACCGCGGGGCTTGCAAGCGGTTCTGTCTCATCTCCCCTCGCGTTCGGGCAGAGTCATTCAAGGGCTCCCTTGTTTGGCGAGGAGAGCGTGCAGAGCGAGCAAATCAAGCAGAGCAGGTGACGGACTTGGTGTAAAGTGTAAAGACAAAACTATGGAGACGAACCCCTTCCCCCCCTTCCCCGCGAGACATCTCTTGTGACTTTGTGTCTTTGCTGCAGGCGAGGCGACTGACGGAGTCGGGCATGGTAATTAATATGGATTAAGGTGTCGCTCGGCCCCCTCTGCGCGCCGTGGCCGGTTCCGGCGACCGTGAACCTTCGCATGGTGTGTCTTGATTCCATGACGGCATGTACACTGTAGTGTATCTGTAGATTGGAGTCGTCCCCGTCGCCACCGCCTTGGGCTGTCCCCTGGGGGAACCCGTGTCGTAGCCGTCGTTGTCACTCTCTCTCTTTCTCTCGGGGCTCTCTCCACTGTTTCCCACTATTCTTACCATAGTACTCCGTAGTATGGGTATATGCCATACCTAGTACGTGTAGTACAGGTGCGTACCAAATTTCCTCTCTCCATCATGTCAAACGGACCAGCTCTCCCCCCCCCCCCCCCCCCCCGTCAGTCTTCCGCCGTCCAGCTCCCCCGGCTCACCCCCGGCCCCTGTTTAGACCTCGCAGCCTCCCCCCTTGCTCGATGTTGCACCGCCAGATCGAAGGCCACAAACGCCCGTCTAGTCCCGCATCTCCGTCGTGAATTCCAACCAGTCAGGAGCGGGCTCGCTGCATGGGCGGCGTCCCTTATCACCCCCACTGGGAACTTTTTGGACTCGGGTGGATTCGCAGAGAGGCGTCTTGGGGTTTCCCCAGCCCGCAGGAACCACCCCGGGCCCTTCCTCCTCCTCCTCCCCCCCTGCCTTCCGCTGAACATCGACCCTTGAATCATGTCTAGACTACCCCCCCCGGTCCTGGACTCCTTCCCTTCCCTTCGTTGGCTCGCTCGCTCTTTCTCGGTCAACTACCCGGTTTGTGTCTGCCCTTCTGCACGGCCACGGCTATTCCCCCTCCCCCTCTTCGTGCTATCCGCCTTTCAACCTTTCCTACTGCCACCCTGAACTCTAGATCATGCCGGGCTCTGCATCGCTGCCCTTTTCTGCCCATCCCCCCCTGCACCCTTCCATCCTCGAAACGCATGCGGAAAAGTAGCACACAGGCTAATTCGACCGCCTTGGTGTGTGTGTCGCATATCAGGTGCTACATACTGTACAAAGCGGCCGGCATTCCAACATATGGGCGTGGCTCGGTCCGGTGGGACTCCGTGAAGAGGATAGGAGCCGGGGGGAGGAGGAAGGGGGAAGTGATATGTAGCCTCTGGCGACGGAGAGAAAACTGGCCGACTCCCTATACAATCCCGGTCCCCTTCGTTGTCAGGTCGGAACGATCTAAACTCCGATATCACTGCCAACCTCCATCCCCCCCCCCCCCCCCCAGAGGGGCCGCCCATTGGGAACCTGTGACTGTTTGGGTGGACTCTCGAGTGATGATGCGCCGTCGCCGTCTGCCGAGTGCGCCCTGGCCGTTCTCGGTACGCAACTGCAGGGACCAAGTCGGAGACGAAGGCGGTCGACGGAGCACGCCATCGGCGTCGGCCATCGAGCGTCCCCCGCCACTCCCTCGTCCCTCGTGCCCCCCTCAGGAGTGTTTTGACTCTGAACTGCTTGACGGACACGACATCCGTGTCGGCCCGAGGCCTGTGTTAGTCGGTTAATCGGACCACACTTACTTACACACGACAAGGAGATGGCCGCGTTGGACAAGTCAACGTTTGTTTGTTTGGGTGACGGATAGTATTTCTCTTGATTCTCATTGCCTCCCCATCCTATCCCCCCCCCCCCCCCTTCGCAAACGTTCGTGTCATCTCATAATGCCGTATTTGCAGGAGCTAGTCTTCCTTTCCCTTCAACAATTCCCAGATCGTCGTCCATCATGGTACAACAGTCCGTCCAAGGGCATTATATACCGTTTCATCCCAGTAGCCCCCTCTTCCCCTGCCCATATTACTCCTTGCCTTCAGTATGCAGTTTTGTAGTAGTTGCTATTGTACAGTTACAGATGGATCCTTCTCGTAGGCACCCCCCGTCTCATCAATCGTGACCAAGCCCAGCTTGCCGCCGTGCAAGAAAAAAAAAAGCCCATAAACAATAAAAACATTTGCGCAGTCCGACCGCTGTTGCGCGTGACTCGCGCGCTTCCGAGTTCCAATATGAATGCATCTAGTCCCCCACCTTGTCCACAACTCCCCCCCGCCCCTTTACAAGTCTTATGAAAGTAGAGGGGCGACAAGGGGGGGCTTCGCTCTCTCGTCAAAACATGATCCACTCCACTTCCACTCCGAGACCACCGATGCACCTTGTCCAGTTGAACGGGCCTCGTCGCATGGCCTCGAGCTTGACCGCCGCAGGGCTTCGGGGCTCGCTGTCCTTCCACTCGCCGGCCCAGAGGCGCTCGAGCACGTCGAGCGCGGCAAGGTTGTTCATGTAGCCCGAGCGGGCCATGATGTCGCGGCACTTGCTCCGCACAATGTTCTGCTGTAGCTCGTTGACGCACTCGCTACCCGCGACGAAGAGCGGCCACAGCAAGAACTTCTCCGCCTGGCTGCCGGCCTCCAGGCTCGTGGCGTAGTAGACGACCTGGGAGACCAGGTTCTGGAAATTGCTGTGCGTCGACGGGACGTTGGGCGATGCCAGGCGCTCCGTGTACAGCAACGCCGCGTAGCGGAACGCCTCCGACAGCGAACCGAGGTCCCGGACCTGCGCCGGGGTGGCTGGCGAGGGGAGAGACGCGTGAACCCGCGCCGAGTCAAACTCCCAGCTCTGGAGCGCGAGGCGGGCCTCCTTCCACTCCCTCCAGAAGTTGTTGCGGTGGTCGTCGTACGTCGCCGAGGAGCAGAGAGACGACGAGACAAACTCGTCGTCGTCGAGGATCGAGCTGAAGCCGTTGCCGTCGAAACGATGGCTGGATAGGCCGTACATTTGCTGGTGGTGTTGCTGCTTTTGCTGCATGCCGTTGAGGTTCCCCTTGTAGGCGTGGCCCAGGGGCGACCCGAGCGGCGACTGGGAGCGAGAAGTGCTGTTGGTGAGGTTCTGAACCGAGCGGTGCTGGGACAGCAGGTTGAGCCTGCCGAGCTTGCTGATGGTCTTGAAGAGCTCACGATCGCATCCCACCAGGTTCTCGGCCCCGGGGGGCAGGAGCTGCGCGTCCGGCATGACGCCGTGGAAGGTCGAGTTAAGCTGGGTCTCGCGGTCGTTGATGCTAGCCGAGATGGCGTCAAAGTAGGTAAAGATGGCCTCCATCCACGCCGAGTCGCGGGACGGCGCCAGGTTCTGTGCCCGCCGCATGGAGAGGATCTTCTTGACGCCGGCGAACTGGGTGTGGAACTTGGCAATGCCCGACTCCACCATGCGGTAGTGGCAGAGGAGCAGAATAGTTGCCAGGACCGAGTCGTGGCTGGACTTGGCCGGGTCGTTGAGTTGCTGGTTGAGCAGGTGAACCGCGAGGTTCCGGTGTTGGTACTCCTCCGAGAGGGACTGGTCGTCGGGCTGGCCGTCCGCCAGCGACTCGGACGTCGACTTCTCGGCCATGAGCTTCTCCGAGAGTTCGCGGGTGTCCTGGCCCAGGCTGAGCCTGCGCTTCATCCGCAGGTTGCACGCCGACAGGGCGCAGATGGCGTGCTGCAGGCTACGGCTGCTCGCGGCCAGGTGGAGGATGTGCTCCCGGTACGGGTTGCCTGGCCCGTCCATGAAGACCATGGATGGGCACATGATGTTCTTGTAGTAGTCCATGAAAAAGGGCATCTTGGCGATGAGGTCCGAGTTGACGTGGACGGCCTGGGGCTCGAACATGGTGGGCCACTGGGCCGAGGCCTGGTGGTCGGAGTGGCGCGGCGACATCTCCTCCGGAGGGGGCGAGGTCCAAACATGGCTGTTGGAGTTGCAGCTGGTGCTATACGCATCCATCTCGGGAATGCCTAAAGCCATCACGTCAGCGAGTCTGATCCTACAGCAGAGCCGGGCAGGACGTCTCACTCAGTGTGTCACACTCCCGCATCAGTTTCTGGCTCAAGTGGCTTTCGAAGTTGTCCATGTGCGACGTGAGGCTCGAGCTGTGGTCTGACGGTGCGTACACGAGGCTCGGGCACGACGTATGTACTCCCCTCTGGTTGATGAGGATGGCCGAGATGGGGCTCTGGGGCACCGGCGAGCCGTGGGTGCTGTAGCCGTCGTACATGACGTTGGGGCTGTGAAGGAAAGGGATGTCGTCCCTCGGGTACGAGTGGCTAATGGGCGACAGGTAGTCGGTGTCGCTGACGGAGTCAAGGGACGAAGACAGAGCCCCGGTGATGGGGATGGGGCCTAGGTGAGCCCCCAGCTTCCGGTAGTTGGGCCCATCGTTCGAGTACGAAATAGCGCCCCAGTGTCCCGTCGTCATGGACGGGGCATGCTCGGGATGTGACATGGAAAGCATGTCGAAATTGGGAGCGAAGGGCGTCGTGGGCGTCGACACGATGTGATCCGGCGAGAACCTGGCCTCGTCGCGCGATCCCCTTCTAGACATGTCGTCGACATCGGCCCATGTTGCGGTGGTGGCTATCGAGTTTGTGCGGGGACGCGCGGGCGACTTCTTTGCGACTCCGGCAACGGGGGGTGCTTTCGCAATGGGGAGAGACAGGCCGCGCAGCTTGCCTCTGCTGGCAACGCCAACCCCCCAGGTCAGTTGTGTCTTGTAGCCGGAGCATTCATTGCCGATCTCGAGACATTGCGAGCAGTAGGGCCGTCTGCGATCACACTTGACGTTTCTCTTGGAGCAGGTAAAGCAGTCATCGGCGGCACCACCTGCGGCAGCGCGTCTTCTCCGTTTGCGCACGGAGGCGGCGGCAGCCGCGTCCTTGGCCTGGGCGGTCTGTTGCTGGGTTATAGGAGCAGTCATTTTTGGTCTTGTTCAAGTCGAGAGATTGGTTGGGAGTGCGAGGTGCGTGTAGCACATATGCGAGACTGGCTGTTGGTCAGGGAAGAGGCGGGACGGTCTAGGCGTCAAGCAAACGCGCAGTCCGGGTGTGATTTGGATAGTGTAATAATGGTATTATTGGGAAGTTGTCATGCCACCGCAGGTAAATAAGCAGAAGATGGAAGCGACAGAATAGGTTAAGAGGCACAATGTGAGTATCTCAAGTATGGCGAGCCTCGGGGATGAGGAGTGTATAAATGGATAAGACTTGGTGAGCGTGCTCGCTGGCAACGAACTGGTTGCATGGATGAGAGATTGGCTAGAGATATACGGATACAAGCAGCGAGCGAGCATGGATCATGGACCTCACCCAAGCAATCCGTCCGGGGGAGGGAAGCGGGTATTGAACGAGGAGTGTGGAAGTACATCATGGGCGGTCGACGTGGGGCAGGAGGCAACTTGAGTAGGAGACAGTATCGACCGGGGTGGGGGGGAGGAGGAAGAAGCAGGAGTAGAGGATGCGCAGGAGGAACGCACAGCACAGTAAGAGAGACCGGGGGCGGCGACGTCGACCGAAGCAGAGAAACCTACGTGGAGGCGAGCCGGGTTGTGTGGGTGTGTGAGGAAGGAAAAGCAATCGGGGTGTGTACCTCGTCTCTGGGCCCCCGGCCGTTCTCTCGATCTTAGTGGCCGCGGGAACTGAGGGCCTGAGAGTCACAATCACTATAGTAAGACTACTATGTAGGAGGCAAGACCAAGGGCAGGACAGGAGCGAGTGGGAAGAGAGAGCGAGTGGCAGGAAGAAGATGAGAAGATCAACGGGTCCGTTGCCTTAGTCCGAAGAGCAGGGTGGGTGCCCAACATATGAGAGAGAGAGAGAGCCCCCCCCCCCATGTTATTGCAGGTACTTCGTACTCCGTACATAGCCCAGGGATTTTAGGTTGTTATGGTCAAGATGTGTGGACGGACGACGTGACAGGGGGTGCCCTTGTCGTCCGGTCTTTGGAGGGCGGTTGCATGGTGCAGGCTTCTATCCTTTCCTTTCCTTTCCCTCCTCCCCCTCTCCCCAATCCAAAGTGGGAATAGGCACGGATGAATGACTTTGCTTGTCACTGCATCTAGGTTAATGATGTTGGGGAAAGGGAGAGAGTATGCGGAGAAATGTCAGGATCAAGGCCTCTCTCTCCAAGAAGACGGTGAAGAGTCGAGTTGGAGAAGTGTGGCGCTTGGGGGGAGTCTTCTTCGCGTCTTGTTCGGCCGAATGCGTCCCAGTTCCATATAAGCAATGTCCGGTATCCGCCGTTGAGACAACTAAGAAAAATATTATCGTAATGATCGATGACATACTATGGATGGAGATTTAACCCGGCCGTTTGCAAAGGAACCTGTAGCACGGGAGGCCAGCAAGATAAGACGTGATAGAGGAATGCGGGTGGGGGTAGAGGAGACGAGACAGAGAATGATCAATGCACCGCACCAGGCAAGTAAGCAAGCAAGCAGACGAGGGATAAGGCGTCCACTTGGGCGGCGCTTACGACCCCCCTCCCCTGCTGCGAGGTATCCGGCCCTAACAATCCGTATTCGTCGGTACCTGAAGACGTTGGCAGCCCATGCACGAGCGAGCCGGCCTCTCCCATCTGGCGTATCCG